TGAGTATGTGATGTCTTCTGATCTGTTCCAGTTAAGTTCTGAGTTCGTGCTACTAGCAGAGGTCAATCTTTCAAGAAAAGGTTTTCAGTGAAATTTTTCAAGTAAAAGAAAATGACTACAAGCAGTTATTCTCCAGATCTAATTCTGGGAGGTGGGAAATATGTTTTCCTAACGAATTGCCATTGATTGCTCTCTTTAATCATTTCAAGGGGTCAAGTACCCAACATATGAAATGTGTAGCATATAGTAGCCTTTCTGTTTGTACTTATCCTAAGAAAATGCAAGGTGGGTTGATCCAAGCTGAGATTATTGAGTACAGAGTGGAGAAGGGTAATCTGATCCTCTCCCAATAGCTCCAACATTTATTTGTTTGTTTGTTTATTAAAATTATTTTACCGTAGAGTAATTCTGGGTGGCTTACAGTTACATATACAGTTAAAATATAAAACGTTTTATGTATATAAAACATATATACATTCTATCACCCAGTGGGTGAGCACAGAAACTTTTAAAAACAAATTTGGTATCAATGGATTTCTTTAAAAATGCAGCTGCATGTATGTGAATGAAAGAGGAAAGGTGCGTTATTACATTTTCAGACATCCTATTCTAAATAGTGTTCCTTAAACTTTAGTTTCCCAAACTGTTGGCTGTTAGCTTGTTGAAGCTAAGAACCAATATTTTGTGGCTCTGCTGTTAAGAGGATGAGCCCTGGTGGCGCAGTAGTTAGAATGCATTATTGCAGACTAACTATGCCTATAGCCTGGAGTTCGATCCTGACCAGCTTGAAGTTGACTCAGCCTTCCATCCTTCAGTAAAATGGGCACCCAGATTGCTGACTCTGTAAACCACTTAGTCAGGGCTGTAAAACACTATGGAGCAATAAATAAGTCTATTGCTATTGTTGAAGGATGCTAAATTGAAGAAAAATGCTATATATACTTTTTTGCTATATACATTGTTTTTGTGTGTCTGTGTGTATGCACGCACACACACAGACACAAACATTCCTTTGAGTCAGTATAATACCTGGTGACCTCCTAGATAGGTCCCTGCAGTTTTCTTGGCAAGATTTCAGAAGCGGTTTGCCCTTGCCTCCTTCCTAGGGCTAAGAGTGACTGACTGGGTCCCCCAGCTGGTTTTGTGGTGAAGGTTGGAACTCAGCTTATACTCTGATTTCAGGGTTCAAATACTTTTATTAGTTTATCAAAATATAAAATATAGAAATACAAAAAAATGAAGAAATTAAGGGAGAAAAGGGGGAAAGAGAGAAAAGTGTATGGTTAAAGGGGAAAAAGAAAAAGCATTGATTTCTGACTCCTTTTGGTGCAGTGGAATAAGGTAGTAATATAAAACCTCAGCTTTTTACTTTTGTTGTTAATTGCGAAGTCGTGTCTGACCCATCGCGACCCCATGGACAACATTCCTCCAAGTCTTCCTGTCCTCTACCATCTTCTGGAGTCTATTTATGTTCACGCCTACTGCTTCAGTGACTCCATCCAGCCACTTCATTCTCTGTCGTCCCCTTCTTCTATTGCTCTCAATCTTTCCCAGCATTAGGCCCTTCTCCAGTGAGTCCTTCCTTCTCATTAGGTGGCCAAAGTATTTGAGTTTCAACTTCAGGATCTGGCCTTCTAAAGAGCAGTCGGGGTTGATCTCTTCTAGGACTGACCGGTTTGAACGCCTTGCAGTCCAAGGGACTCGCAGGAGTCTTCTCCAGCACCATAGTTCAAAGGCCTCAATTCTTTGGCGCTCAGCCTTTCTTATGGTCCAACTTTCACAGCCATACATTGCAACTGGGAAAACCATGGCCTGGACTATACGCACTTTTGTTGGCAGGGTGATGTCTCTGCTTTTTAGTATGCTGTCTAGATTTGCCATAGCTTTCCTCCCCAGGAGCAAGCGTCTTTTAATTTCTTGGCTGCAGTCCCCATCTGAGGTGATCTTGGAGCCCAGAAAAATAAAATCTGTCACTACCTCCATTTCTTCCCCATCTATTTGCCAGGAATTGAGAGGGCCGGATGCCATGATTTTGGTTTTCTTAATGTTGAGTTTCAAGCCAACTTTTGCACTCTCCTTCTTCACCCGCATCAAGAGGCTCTTTAGTTTCTCTTCACTTTCTGCCATTAGAGTGGTATCATCTGCCATCATTCTGCCATTAGAGTGGTTTTTACTTTTACATGATAATATATACTTGCCAATTCTATAACAACAAACCTATCTAATCAGCAAAACCCAAAATCAAAGTTTCATCCCCCCCCCACCTCAAGCACAAAGCACCTTCACTCTTTGTTAGACAGTGGAGCTGATTTTAAATTCTGCATAACCAGCTCAGTGTGAGGTTGATCACTAAAAATGCTTTGCATCTGGAAGGTGGCAATGGATTTAAGGCCCCAAATTTGCTGAAGTATTCTGTCACATAGGGGAAGGGAAATATTTTTGAGGAGAATCCTTGTTTGTTGATAAAATGTCATCCATCATCTAAAAAGGAAAGGATTTTGCAGCCAAAGTCAGACAGAGATCAAGAGCATTCTTGGCTTTTATTATATTTTGAGAGAGAAAGAAGCAGGAAACAACTGGTAAACAATGAGCTTTGCTCATTGCCGGATAATTTTTCTTGGAATTTATTAGTAGAGGACTATATAAGAAAGATGCGGACGAATCTTGTTGTACACATGTACACACACATAAACAAATGAACAAATAGTCTGAGGTATGAATGTACCAGGGTGGACAACATGATGTCTATGGCAAGAATGTGCCTGCAGATCACTCTCTCAGTGCCCAATAACCTCTGTGACCTATCTGACTTTTATTTTTTAGGTTCTTTTATTTTTTTTAAAAAATGGGAAGCTATCAAGCATCAAACCAAAGCACAAGCCTTCAGCACTACTGGGATTCTTACAAATAATAAAAAAAGATGGATGGTTGAAGTTTAGTGATTCAGGAAGGAGGAGGAGGTGCAACCATGGCAGCAATGATAAGGAATATTTGGGGTGTTAAATGAGAAGAAAGAGAGCAACCTCACAGGTCTGTCTTCTAGTAAATGGATGTCCCTAATTGGTCACATACCTCCGGCAACCACTTTATGAATGATCAAATCCTCAGTTGCTAACTTGTAATGAGAGTGCCCAGAACATTATCTCAGAATTACAAATGTTGCCATCAGCTCTTAAAGATTTTCTATCCATGCTGTGTAGAAATAGGCATGAAACTTTCTGGTCACAGTCTGTTAGTAATACTTAAAGCACAGAATAGGATGTTTTCAGTAACCAGCCTTCTCATTGATGGATTCGTAATTATTTGCATATGTGGCTGAAATTTACACTCTTCAAAAAAGTTTGCTGTTCAATTAAGTGTGCTTCATTGAGCACCTAGAAATGAAGGCAAACAGCCAGAGGATTTGAAACTGGTTTGGCAGTAGTATTGGGGAAGTCTTACTTAATTGTGTTTTACTTAACATTCCTTTCATTCTACATCTGCAATGGGGCAGCCATATGGATCAGGCAAAAAGGAGGTGGGGTAGAATGGGGTGGGATGGTCCAGGTCCAGGAATGCTGGTTGGGAAGGTGCTTAGACTAGCAATGTGTTGTTTTATACTCCACAACTGCAATCAGTGCTGGGGATGCCTCCAGATTGGGGTCACAGCCAAAGCTCGGAAGAATTAATTTGGCAAAATAAGATAATGATGCCTAGGGTGGTATTGACTTCCCCAGACATGAGAGGATGTGTTATCTTTCAGGCCAGAATACAAGTTGCTATACATTGTCCTTGTCTTGCCAAGGATGGAAATCTTGTGTTCCCAAGGCAAGGGCCAATCTTTGTAGTTGGGCTGCACATTTTTGAGTATTTATTGGCCATTGACCACATAGAGCTGGATAGTGTTATCACTCTAATGAGAAAAGTAATTGTTTGGGTTTCAAAAATATCTGGGATTTGCATTTTTCAGATATCAAATATATCTGTGTTGTGCAGATTATTATATAGAGAGCTTAGCACATCTTTAAAAAGTTTTATGCTGGAAAGACAGGAAGGAGATGTGCTAATCTTCCCCCCATTCATTCAATGTATATTTTATTAAAGTGTTCTTACAAAGTATGATTCTTGGACATGAAATAAAATATAGTGATGGTGACAACTTGAGTTTTAAGAGGCATAATTCAGTTTCCATTTCTTGGAAACTAAGGGCCTGTGGCATATTTTAGGTACCAGAAACATTTCCCCCCTTATCTGGCAAATGTATATGCCCTGAGCTGAGCCCATACAAGACACCAACCCATCTTTGTGTTGGAAAGATTTTGGAAGAATTCAGATGAGGCTATGATAGCTTTGCTGTTCAAAGCAAATAAATGGCTGTCTCGTTAATCTTATTCCAACAGATCTGGCTGTTGATAGAATTTTATGATCTATAATTATAATGAATATTCATTTTGAATGATAACTTCAAGTTCTAGTCAAAGTTTTGATGTAGTGTGGTTGCAAATCCTACCTTCCTATATTCTTGAATTGATTCCCCTTGAATGTCTCCACCTGAGTAAATAAATAACAATTATTTCAAAGACTTCCTATTCATTGGATAAATATGCATTATTTCAGGATAAGCTTCACTGCCATCTTCTATCTTGGAAAGACTGCACTGAATATACCTGTTTAGGGAAACAGGGAAAAGCATACCAAAAAGTTATATATAACAGCAACATAGTTTTGCCTTATGTAAGTAATCTTTCTTGGCACCCCTTGTGATTTTCCTTTCACTGTCTCTTTTTTGCTCAGAGAATTTATGTTCAACTGCTTCTTAATAGTGATAAGAGAGATAGTAGTTGTCTTAGAGCTGATAGGGATTTCAGACACATTTCCCATTATTTTCTAAGCACATCTTGTTGCCTCTGGTAAAACAGGCTTCGCAAGAAAGGAAAAGCAGTGAGCTGGAAAGCATGAGCCGTCCTTATTTTACTTTGCTGTGAGGCTGGGATGGACCGTGTCCTGTACTTCTCTTCCAGATGGCCTTGTGGATGTGCTCCAGGCATTTGGCGTGCAGGAGGGCAAGAATGGGGTCACCATCGCTGCTGGGATCTGCACTCAGAGGAATGGATCGGAGGAAACTGACCTGGCCTTCCGCCTGGAGAATCGGACTCATTTCATCACTCCCACAAGGCAGCTCTTTCCTGGTAATGTAAAGCATAGTTAGTTGGACCCCAAAGCAGATTTATATATGTATCTTAGGGCCCCATCACTTGCATGTGTTCAAAATGATTTTTCAAAGTGCAAAAGATAGATGTGTTTTAAAACTTGTTTCCTAAAATTGCAAAAAGCTGAGGACAAACACATGCATTGTATGTGGCCATCTGGGAAACTAGGACTGGCTGAAATTAAAGGGGAACCTTTTTTGAATTCTACACTTATTCTGCACTAAATCTTTCAGGGATTCAGGACTACTAGAAATTGTGTAAAGCCTCAGGTTGGGGAAAAGGGAGATGGATATATTTGGGGATGGGTTAAGGTGCTTGTTGGGTTTCTGGCTCTGTTGATTTTTCAGGATGCATTATCTCCTCCTCTTACAGATGGCCACTTCCCAGTGGACTTTTCAATATTAGCCACAATGAGAGCACTCAAAGGCAGCCAATCTTTTCTGTTTTCCCTGTATGATGAACGTGGTGTACAGCAGCTTGGTGTAGAGATTGGACGTTCCCCTGTTTTCCTCTATGAAGACCAGCTGGGTTTTCCAGTGCCCGAGGACTATCCTCATTTTCACAGAGTCAACTTGGCTGATGGCAAGTGAGTTGGGATTTTGGGATAGGAAAACAAAATAGAGGGACGCTATTTAGAAATGGTTATCTTATCACATAAATGTGGATAAGACTGAAATATTACTTAGTTTGAGTGTGTTTTTTAATGGGATTACTTTTGCAGTTGTCTTTAAAGGGATACATCACAGGTTCTTTGCTGTGGCGGATTGAGAAAGGTAATATTTACACACACACACACACACACACACACACACACACATCAACACTCTTGATTTTAATCCCAGGATTAAAGATCCCCAAATCTCAACAATTTTGGTTTGCAAAAACTACTTGCTGTAAAGTACAGCTTCTTAGGTACAGTTACTGTATCTTAACTACTAAACAGAGTTAAGTCAATAGTGTCTTAGATGGTTTAATAGAACTAAAATTGTGTGATAAAAGCATAATTCTCCCCTTCTTATATGCATCAATGTTTATCAAATTGTTGTCACTGTTAAACATATTTTCTTGATGATCAAAGCACTACAAGAAAATCAAATACCACTGATACTTTTTTTTTTAAAAAAAATGTTTTTTGGTGCCTGTAATATAATGCTCAGAACAGCTCTCTTATTCTGGCACTTTCTGGTTATGTTGAGCACAATTTCCTTATTCCTCAATCAGCATGAGGATTGTAGTGTGTTACACAGCTGGAGATTATAGGTAGGGAAAATTGGGCTTGATTTATGTCAGAGCTGTTTTCAAATCCCCCACCTCACCCCAGGAATTATATTGGGTAATCTTAGCCAGTTCTTTTCTTCATCCCAGATATGGAGTAATTGTGACAATACATTAATGAAAACCTACTAAAAGTTTAAACTGACTCCTTCTATAACTATTATTATTATTTCTTAGTGACCAGATTTGTAATTGACCTCAACCCTTGGTCCTGCTTTCAGCTGATATGTAAAACAGTTTATAGGAAAAAATATTATAAGCAATCATTATCTAAAACTGTCAAGTTCTACTGGGAAGAGTAAAATCTTGTGACTTTTGGTCATGAGATTTCAGCCACTTTTTAAAAACTCTTAAGTTGGAAGTGGGTTCATGTATTTTATATTGTCTCAAAGCATCACAGTGGTAATCCTTGGCTTTTCATGAAATCTAGTGATTTACATAAAGAAAAAGGGTGGAACCTGTAAAACATATTTGGCAGTTTAGCATGTTAGCAAAACTCATTGTGCTGCTAGATGAAAGTAAGATTTATCTGTGATGCTTCCAAATGGAAGGTTTATTGCACTATTAATGGAAAGGCATTATGCGGTTATTCTATTCCTTAATATGAACGAATGAATAAATGAATGAATGAATACAGTAAGAAAGTAAGAGTTCTTGGGAGGATTACAACTGGAAGATACATTTCTTTTTGTGAATAAGGCAGAATGATTGCACAGTAATAAACTTTATCTGATCTATCTTTGAAGTTCCCAAGCCAATGCTGCTTTTGTCCCACTAAGTTGCTTAATTCTACTGTCTTTTACCAGATGGCACCGCATTGCTCTAAGTGTGAAAGGTGAAAGTGTATCTTTGAGCATTGACTGTGAAGATGCTATAATGTTACCCCTGAAGCGAAGCAAGCAGCCAGTTGTCAGTATCGATGGGGTCACCTTGCTTGGGGCACGTCGACCAGATGAAGACATTTTTGAGGTAGGAAAAATTATTCACAAACCTCAAATCATTTCTCCCACTCTAAAGAAAATATCAATCAGTTACATTGCTGAAGCTAACTTATACATGTCTCTTTGCTGATTCCAGTGATGTTAGAGTACAGATCCCTCCACCTCACCTTTTCATGCAACCACCTTAGCATCTCCTGATTCTAGGTCTTTCTCCCTCCATGCCAGTTGTGCCATTTCTTTCACTGTGCTTGGCAAGATTACAGGAGGCTGCTAGGGACCTGGAATTGACAGATTGCACCATCATATATTTTGTAGAGCTATAAAGCCTCACAGAATATAGATGACCTTTTCTGCTCTATCCCTGCTCTGCTGCCATGGGGAAAAACAAATTGATTTCCAAGCATGGAAAACCAGCGACTTGTGTACTGTGCACACTACACTAAGCAGACTTAGGGATAGCTCCATTGTTCTTGGCTCCAGACTCTATTAAATATGTTGTTACTCCCGCCAGTTATCTTAGCCAGTTGGAGTCAGCAAACCACCAGAAAGCATTTTCGCTTGCACAGTGCCATGCGCTTCCATCAGCCATCCTGTACAATAAGTATAAAAAGATGCCATTGACTGAAAGACTCTGCTCCTGTGGTTCAGGGGAAGTGGAGACCGTTGGACACATTCTCCTTTGATGCTCTTTCTATAGAAATATTCGAAAAAACCATATCCTCCCAATAATCAATAGGTATCCTGGCCATTCTGACACTACTTATCTCCATTGGCTGCTTAAGGATGAACAGGCTGTGATTACAGCACAGGTGGCTAGATTCTACGCAGCAGCACTGGAGATTCATCAGAAACATAAAAAAGATAAATAATATTTTTAGATCTTTTTAATATTTTTATTTTAAAATTAATTTTATTACATGTGTTTTTATTCATCATTAGATCATTGCTCGGTGCATTTTTATATACGTGTGTGTGTAAATCACCTACAATTGGATATTTTACTGTTTCTGTCCATCTGGCTGTATTAAACTGATTTGATTTGTGTACTCTGTCATCTTCCCTTTGCTTCCTTCCCTCTTCAGCACTTGCTGCCTGTGTGGTTGAGAAGGCTCGGCAGTCTGACTTTATATGCTTATACTGAATTGGCTGATTTATGTTGGAGGCCTTTCTTATCGAAGTAGTTGTGTGATCAGCAGACAGGGGAATTGTTGGGAAGGGGCCATCCAAAATGACAGGGCTGAGATTTGGAGTCCATTCATTTTGGGGGGGGTGTGGTAAGAAGATGAGCGCATTGATAATATATACCATAGATAATAGTTGAACTCATGTTCAACTCCCCAAGGAATGTTGGAGGGCTTTCAATTAAGTATCTGTGAAGGAGGGGAATCTTGACAGTTTGGATGAAAAGCTGAGTGGTAATTAGAAATAAATCATAGAAGATGGAAAACCTACAGAACAGAACTCAAAAGACTATATTGCTAATGACAGAGAGTCAAGAAACAGAAACCAAGGAAAGGATAGAAGAAGAAAAAGACAGAGAGGATTGTATGCCACTAGCATTCCAGACTCTCCTTTTAAATGCATACTCTCCTTTTAAATGGGAGACTTTTCAGGAAGACAATTTAGGGATTTCTCATTTACAAAGGACACCATTAGTTTCAATAGCCTTGAAAGCAGAGAAAAGTCTCATTTCCTCCCCCCCCCCAGTGCATTCTTTCTCCAGGCATAAAATGTCAGAGGGCACAAGATTTTTGAAGGCGTCTAGGCTGTTGGCTTGGGGGTGGCCAAGAACAAGCATTTCTTGTTGTAATGCTTGGAAAACCTTGGCTTAGGGCCACCTGCCTCTGGTAATTTGGGCAGTGACTGAGGGAATGCCTAGAAATGTCAGCTTAGCAGTGGGTGGCTGCTGAGGGGCAACTCCCTTTTATAATGAAGATGGTGGAAGGGATCTCTGCGGTTGAGTTAGAGACAGGTGGAGTGGAATCCAGAAGACTGTTCCCAAACTGGGCTATATGTTTTTTTCCCATAGAGCTTCTCTGTTTTGTAATCTTCTCTTTTACATCGAGCAAAAAACATGCATTCAAAAGAATTGGGAAGCAGTGGATGTGGGATTCAAGATGAAACATTTTTTTGCAGGGAGAACTGAATAGTTTTACAAATTATTATTGTTATAATTAAGTGACAGGGCCTTGTGAAGCTCTCTTCCATTCTTCTAGTTCTGTGAAATCTCTGTGTATGCTGCAGTCATGTTCATTGTGGCATGCGATAAAGTATAAACTTAAATGTGTGAAGGACATTTCTGTAAATAATCAACAGACACATGCATCCAGTCCTTTGAAACTCTTCAGTATGTTCATTGCATATTAATGGATTCGCATCCACTTTTCTCTCCCTCGAGTCCTGTTGTGTTGCCTCATCATGGTGAGATGAAGGGTCTTTCTGAAAAGGAGAAGCAAAGAACTCCAGAGTCCTTGCCAAGTAGAGCCACTCAAGTCATAAAGCTAAAGCAAGTGGGCATCTATGTTGGCCAGCAACAATATAGGAAGATGTTGTAGAAATGATCACCTTAGTGACAATTTCAAAGGCATCATTTCAAAATAAAGGGTAAAACTTTTTTATCAAGAAAACCACCTGGACAAACCATACATGCCTAGCAAAACAGGAATCCCAGAGTATCTCATTTGCTCTTATGCAAAACCTTTACACAAACCAGGAAGTTACAGTGAAGATGGAACATGGCAAAACATAGTGGCTCCTCGCTGGCAAAGGAGTGCAACAGGACTGCATACTCTCCTGTTATTTATTCAGCTGATATGCTGAATATATGTTGATGGAAGCTGGACCGGAAAATGATGACAGTGATTTTAAAACTGGAGGAAGAAATACCAGAAACCCACACCCTCTTGATGGCATGACTCTTAACAGCTGAAAATAACAGAAGATTTAAAAGTTCTAATGATGAAAATTAAGAAACATAATTACAAGAATGGGACACAGATTGTCGCCCACTTCGAAATGTTGGATATGATTCAGAAGAAATAATGAATGATAATATTGGAAACAACTAAGAGATCAAGTGGGAGTAGGAAGAATGCAATACCCCTATCCTGGTCCTGCCAGACATCACCGGTATCATATGCATGTTGAATGCAGAGTTGAAACCAGACTGAAACAAGTTCAGATAATCTGCTTCCACCAGTTGCTGCCCAACCACTTTTTCTATGCAAGGAATGTATGAATGCTTGATGTCCTCAGGAACCAACATAACAAATCCAGCCATGAATATACTGTAATGTTTAAAGGAATAAAGGCAAGCTCTGAACCACGTTGTTTGCCTGACTACCACGTGCAGCTGTTATTTATATATCAACTGATTCTTCAATGTTTGGTTTTCTTGTATGTGTATATAGTTGGAATTTGAGTTTGGGTTCATTTGGGTGCATATATGCTTCTCTGTGTTTATTTTTGAATTATGGGAATGTTGACATTTTCCCAATACTGGCTGCTTTGCTCCTTCCCCTGTGACTTCCTTTTTTTAACCACAGGGCTTCTTTGCCTTGATCTAGCCTTCCCTGTCCCTACCTGACCCCATCTCTTGGTCCATGACTCACTGTAGTCCACTTTCCGTCTTGCTTCTTAATTTCTCTTCCTTTCCATCACCTCAAGAATGCTGGGAGCAGATTAATTGTGGGTCCCAGCTGAGCAGGTGGGAGCAGCGGTTTTGTGAGCTCTTCTGGAAGTAGGCCTACTGTCCATACTTTAGGAGATGATTAATTGGGAGCAAATGTTCTCCATACACCAGGACTGCTAGGGTCACACTGGTTGAGCAAGAGGAGCTGGGGCATGTTCAGCTGCATAAGAGAATGTGTTTGTGTGCAGTCGTAAAAATTTAATATAGCTATTGTTGGCATTCTGATTCTGAGCTATAAAAAGAGGGAGAGGACAGAAAAGATTGAGCGGGCATTCTTTGTTATACTAACTGTGGTTAATATACAAATATCCAAGTTTTTGAAGTGCACAGAGTTATTTGCAAACTTCACAACTGGCAGAATGTGTGTGTGTGTGTGTGTGTGTGTGTGTGTGTTTGGCTTTCTTGAGCAAGGTTAAAAGACCACCAGATTTAGAGTGACTAATAGATCAGCTGGTTTGTTCCACTTGTATTAAATCAAGTAAGGAGTGAGAGGAGGTATACACACAATGGAACGAGAGTTAGGTACATCCAGAGCCATAGTTAAATTGATTTGGATATATGAGGCAATTTAAAACTTAGCAACTGAGTATCAGTCAGGGCCAGACTGAACCACAGGTTTACCCTGTTTTAAGCAAAGGGTTATAATAACCTTGGGAAACAGGAAGAAGAACAGTAGCCAAGGCAATGGTCAGATGAGAACTATCTCACCCCACATCAGGAAGGCAGTTGGAGAAACTAACTCTCATTAGTTCTTCAGAAATTAAAGGCAAAGGAAGGAAAAAGTGATTTGAGCCTTGCAAGACTAGTGTCAATCCTTTGAGGTAGTCCAGAAAGGAAACCAAATCATGAGTACTAATATTACTTTTACTGTAAGATTATAGGATGCTACTGCCTTTACTTGCCAGAGAATTAGGGAGGATCCCTTCTGAGATGCTTTCTCCACCCCTTTCTTTCTGTGGGCTGAGATATCTCTTGTTTGACCGTTGCCCCGGCTGTGGCTCTTCATTTTGTCTCCCAGGGTTATTCTCACAGTCCATTAAATTGGTAGAGGATGGCTAGGCTTCTGGTTCCGGTTTGCGGTGGTGCGGTCGAGTGAAGGGAGTCATCCCTTTGCCAATCGAGTTTCCTCTGCTGGTAGACCCCTTAGAGGGTCGAAAAGACACTCTGGAGGAGCGTCTACCATTGAGGAGCCTTCTCAGATTGTTGCAGAGGAGTGGCAGCATCCTCTGTGCCTCGAGTATATCCTTTGGGCTGACAGGGTAAAGATCGGCCAATAAAATGGCTGATCATTTAGCTGCGCCAACCGCAAGCCACAAGATCAGCTAACCAAATGGACCCACCGTGGAGAACTCGGTGAGACTTTCCTTTTACCTCTATTTCCTTTATGCCTGTGAAAAGTCTTTTTTTTCCTTGGATTTATTTCCTTCTCTGGTGAAGCGGCTTTTTAAATGGGGGAAGAGAAGCACAAAGGATTAAATTGATTTTTGTTTTAATGGATGGATGATTTTATTTTTCGATATTGGGAGCCTCAAGAAAGTTTTTTTAATATTTGGAGAATATTGTTTGCTTTTATTTTTGATGGTGTCTGGAAAGATTGAATATTTGATTACTTTCCGGGGACACTCTCTGACAAATTTATTCATTGTACTTGCTATCTTTTCTTCGCTGGAAAGGCTTTTATTTTGTACAAAGGAAAAAGGCGAGGAAACTGGGAAGGGGTGGATATTGTGATCATTTTTTAAATATAGTCTCCTCTAAAAGGATAAGGACTTGAAAGCTAATAAAGATGGAGGAAATCGGTGTAGATATTACTTATAAATATATTTTGGACAAAATTTTGGAAAATACGGAGAAGATAGTTGCTTATTCAAAGGAGATTTCTTTGTTTTGACAAGGCAAAAGACAAGGACTAAATGAAACATCAGTTTATACACAAGAGGCTTGTGCCCTGCTTACTGAGGTGGAAGAAGTAAATTCACAGTAGGATAATCAATTGATTTTGGAAAAAAGACTTGATATGAACGAACAAAGGACTTATGATAAGGAACTAGATGATCTCGCTTCAGAAGGACAAGTTGGCTTGCAGACACCATTTGAATTTGAGACAGAGAAAAAAACATGGGAAGAAGAGAAACACATGATCAAAGAGGACGATATAAAAGAAAGGATTTTAAATGAAAATTATTTAATGTTAAAAGAAAGGGGAAATGATGTGCTGCTATGAGCCATTCAGATTAATTATAAGTTTTGTATTAATTTAATAAATTGTGCAATGGGAATTTTCTTTCTGGAGTGTATAGTGTGGCAGGCAGAGGCCCGATTATGGAAACCTGTTTGGACTGGAAAGAAACCTAGAATAAGATACAAATATTAAATTTGATTATAGTAAAGTGGTAAAGGCCTTATAGTAATCTGGATTGATTTGGATTTGACTTTGTTAAAAGGGCTTTATATGTTTTTAATATTAGAGATGGTATAATGAGAAAAAACTGAAATATGAGAAATGATGGAATTAATTATTGGAGATTTGGAGACACAGAGAAAAATAATAGAAGATTGGTGAGAAAGAGAAGAATTTATTTTTGGAGTTAATAATGCTTAAATAAAAAAACACTTGGGGCACCTGAATAGTAAATGAATATGTTAGTTTAAGATTAAATATTTGCAAAATTAAGAAAGCATGATACAGGATCTTTGGGATGGATAATGAGTTTGCAAACTTTTATTGATTAATGAAATTTATATAGAGTGATATATTTAATAAACATTTGTTTTAGAAATGTTTTAATGAGCCTGTAATAATATAAATAGATAGAGAATGTTAGTTTATTTTTAATTATATATTTTGGATGAAATGTTATATTAGCGAATGAATTGGTTTTAGAAAGATATTGACTTGATTATAATGTTTTTAAATAAATGGAGTTTATTAAGTTTAAGTTTAAATGTGTGAAGAAATATAGGTTTTTATAGATTAAATTTTTTATTGATTAATGCAGTTGATGGTTAGATATAGTAATGAATGAATTTATTTGAAAGTGTATTAATTCAATTATAATATTTTATATAGATCAGTGCTTCTCAATGTTTGTGTGATGGCGACCCCCGTCACACAAACGTGCCGCGCATGCGCGGCGCCACCCCCATGCGTGGTGCGCATGTGCGGCGGCGCCCCCCGAGGGGGAAAAATGGCGGATCGCCCGAGAAATGATCGATCAACCCCAAATGGGGTCGCGACCCATAGGTTGAGAACTGCTGATATAGATAGAGAGGGAAATTTTTAAGAAATACTAGGTATAATTTACTATGTCATTGCTTGTTTTTTTTAAAAAAAATGGATCACCATGTTTCAACGTGGGTTCTTAAGCTGTGTTGGTGTAAAATGGAAAACTAATAAAAATTGTTTTGAGAAAAAAAATTGGTAGAGGATGGCTACATGGTTAAGCTCTGGATAACGGCAGTCTGAGTTAATATTCTGTAAGCGTCAACAACTAAAATGTGTAATTTTTTTAGATGTATAATCTCACTTCTTTAGAGTTGTGCTTAAGAGTGTAAAATATACTATACTTGAACTTTTCTACACAATAAAGTCTTGGATTTGCAAGCATATCATATGTTCCTAAAAAGATTCTGAATGGTTGTACTGTGCTTCTTCCTCTTCAGGGAGATCTCCAACAATTACTGCTTGTGCCAGACCCAGCAGCTGCTGCCCAATATTGCCAGGATTACATGCCTGATTGCAGCAGACAACTCATCTATAAATTGCAGACTCAGGATGCAGAAGAGGTAGGTAGACAACCAAAAGGCAGGAGCTGCTAATAGCCAAGTTCCTGGCTATGACTCCTAGGAAAATCCTTTATGCCAAATTCCCTGCAGACACCCAAAGAAAGACATTTGCTTGTGAGAATGAAACTAACACCCAGTTGATTAGCACTATGGAGTCCCTGCTCTCTGTTTTAAATATAAAAGTTTCTCTTTCTCCATGTTACTCTAAATAACTGTGGGTAGAGATATCATTAATATGCTGATGATACTCAAGCTTACATTTCCATATCTTGTGACTTGAGTGATGCTGTTGCTACCCTGTCATGATGCCTGGAGGCTATAGGGGCCTGGATACGGGATAGTGGGCTACAACTGAACCCAGGCAAGACTAAGTGGCTTTGGGTGTATGGAACTTCAAGATCAGGGTCTTTGACATCTTTGAGCTTGTGCTACCCAATTCAAACCCAATCTGCAACTGTTCTCCTGGACTTGCAGCTCCTGCTTAAAGAACAGGGGTGGTTGTGACTAGGAGAGCCTTTGTACAGCTTCGGTTTGTGCACCCGCTGCAGTCTTTCCTGGATGAGAACTCAAGCCCTGGTCATCACTTGTCTGGATTATGGCAATATGATTTATATGGGGCCACTCTTGAAATGCATTCAGAAGTTTCAACTGGTAGAAAGTGCAGTGGCACAAGCAGTCTTTGGGGCCTATAAAATAACCCATGTTACACCACTACTTTGCAAGCTGCACTGGCTGCCAGTTTGCTTCTGGGTGCAGTTCAAGGTATTCGTTATGACCTTTAAAGTCCTCCATGACATGGGTCCAGATTGCTTGATGAACTGTCCCATCCAGTGCTAAGACAAGCTTGCCCTAATCCTATCAGCAGAGGAGGCCTGCTGAGGATCCCTTTAGCCAAGGAATTGATGGGATCCAGGAGAAGAGCCTTCCCTGATGTAGTGCTATCCCTCTGGAACATCTTTCCATTTGGGGTGAGGTTTTCCCTCATTCTTCTATCCTTCTATAAGGGCCTGAAGAGTTGGCTCTGCTGGTTGGCCTGGGGACCCAATAGGGACTACATCACTGGAGGTGGCTACTGGGCTAATTAGTGGACCCCACCTCCTCCCTGTGCTCCTGCTCCATATCTGCCCTTCTTTTTAATTCCATATTATTATACTTCCATTTTTATTTTTAATGGTTTCATTCCTTGGCTATTGTTATGTTTATATTTTTAATCATTTTTTTCTGTTTTATTGTCATAAGCAGCCCAACATAGTCCCATGGTGAGACGGGCAGCAAATAATTTTAAGAAACAAACAAATAAATAAATGGATCTCTCTCCCCTTCTAAGGATTTGATACAGATTTTAGAACTTTATACTAAGCAGGTATACTTTTCCTGTTCAGTAGTTTATCGTTGTTATAGGAGGAGAGCTGGGTTAATCTATGGTGGGGGAAAAAAAATCAGGAATCTAGTAGTATCTTTTCCCATTAAAAGTTGTATTAAAAGGCATACTGTAGTTTTTTGTGTGAAATGCAGCTCACCATCAGATGCATCTGAGGAAGTAAGCTGCTTCTCATGACAGTTTATGCCTTTTGATAGTTTTTCATTGGTTAACTCCTCCTGATTTTTTTTTTTTTAAGAATCTTCTTAGGGTGAATAGAGCTGAACCTAATATTTGACAGTGCTGATTTAGTAAAATCAAGAAGTAACGAACGGGAGTGAGAGAATTTCAGGGGCATTAAACCATCTGGGAAAATCCTTATAAAAGAATATAAATGCCCCTCTACAGACCATTGGACTTACATTTTTATAGATATCCATCTTCTCCTCACTCAAGCTTTTGCCAATTGCAGTCCTCCTATAGCTATTTTAAACACGCATTTTCCAATTTCCTTGGGGAAGAATGGTTAAAAAAGTGGCTTGCTGGAAAAATGAAAGTTTGTCTATTTGTCAGGTCTTGTCCCTGCCTTTAAGAAGTTTGGGCCTGTTGAATGTGGCTTCCTCAGAAATACATAATCACAGCATCTACATGATGATGTCATTACATATTTGCCATCATTTTAGTGTTGTAATTGTTTGCTGTCTCTGGAACTTTTTCACTGTAAGCAGTAGTAATCTGGTAGATGATGGAAATGCCGAGACACTATCCTATGCTGCTTTAGCTGTATCCTTTCCACTATTTGTGGAAATCTTTACACCTCTTTTATATCCATAAAGTGATCTGCCCCAGGACTTATCTCCTAAAGATAAGGCTCATAAGTAACTCAAATTACTTCCCCTTGGGATTCCTGGGAATGGTCCTTTAGGTGTCTTAGATGACTAGCCCACAGATAAAAAAAAGAAAGAAGGATTGCTCCCCAGAATACTGAGAAGGATAGAATTAGGGCAATTTCTGAGCATATGGATAAAAAGAAACAGATTACATTCTTACTATCCCAAACCTGTCTTCTCCCGAAAGTCGTATTGAATCACAAATTAATTTGTTGTGTGATGGTCTTTCCTCTGTGTTCTCCAAGGTGTTGATGCCATGTTCATGTCTGTCTCTTGTGAATGGTTTCCTGGTAGCTGAGCCTGGATGTATGGGTGGTGACTTTTGGTGTTCTAAGGAAATGGGGAAGTATTTTTTTTTCTTTCTCAAGTGCCTGTTCTCTCTCTTTTTCTCTTTCCTTCCCCTCCCCTTTTTCTCCCCTTTTCTATCTATCTGACCCCCCTTCCCCCCTTTGTGCAGAACATTCCACAGAGGAAGGGCAAGAAGGGCAAAGGCAGAGGCAAAGGAAAGGGCAAGGGCAGGAAGAAAGGTAGAGGCAAGAAGAAGAGAAACAAAGAGTCCCTCGAGAAGTCCTCGCTCATTCCAGCCTCAGGCGAGGTAGAGAGTGCAACTAACTGCTCTCTGCTGATCTAATAACTTCTGGTTCCTGCCAGCCTAACCCACTGCCCCCTAACATGCCTAACCCATCTAATTAGCAGCTTCCTCTTGCTTTATCATCAGTGGTTCTTCAGGCAGAACTGCTCCCAGAGTACCTGGCCTTTCTGCCCTTATGGCTGCCCATTGACTGTCTTGCATGAGGGCTGATGGTGCCATATGCAATAGCCTCTGGCTAGGGAACTCAAGGACTCCACTTCCATTAGCCCTGATTGGCTGCAAAGTCCCAAACACAGGTGAGTTTTAACGCCTGAAGACATGTTCTTCTCCATCAAGTGCCAGGCCAATCCATTTTCAAATTTCCTTCTGATGTTCAGTCAAAATCGAGGGAGCGCATGATCAGTTCAGGAAGAGGGTGAAAGAGGAATTTCTATGTGGATGGGCAGCTGAAGGAATTCATGATATGTCTCAGGAAAATATCTGTATATAGACTTTTATTGGCTCCTTTTTGGTACTATGGCATCAGCCTCTGATAGCCTCTGACAGCCAGATGTTGTTCTATTGGGGCCAAACCCTCTTTTGGGAAGTGAACTCATGGATCTTTGCACTTTGGACCATTATAAACAATGCATTAGTTTTAGGAGCTATCTAGATCCTGGTGCTAAACAGTTGGAGGAGAAAATATTTTAGAAGCACCACCAGAATGATAATAAAGGTAGTCCTCATTTATTATCACAGTTGGAAATACCTGCATTAAGTCCATCTTTTGGAGATGGCTTATAATTAAAATATCACAGGGTTCCTTAGCTACCATATGCAGGGTTTATTTTCTTTGAATAAAAAGCTGAGATAACAGCTATTGATCTGGATCACTAAGTGCCTTTTCAAAAAATGACATTGTAAATATATGCCTCAACATCATCAAAGCACTTCCATCATCTTATCAGGTTTTGAATTTTGTTATCCTTAAATGAAAACATATTTTGGTTTAGCACATGCAAAAAATACAGAATATGGCCACTCTGAGAACTCAAACCAGGGCAAATTGAAACATGATATAGTGGAATGTAAGAGTTAAAAGGAATCTTGGAGATCATTTATTTGAATCCTCTTTACTGCACATCTCCGGCAGATGTCCATATAGTCTCTGTGTATACACTTCCAATAAAGGAGAGTCTACCATCTTCTGAGGCATGGAATAGCTTATGTCTTAGAAAAATTGTGCAAATGAAATAATTTAAATCCACTGTTACATATTACCATTTTCTGCAACAGTTCTAAATAGTTCCACTCCATCTTCTATGTGACAGCCCTTCAGATACATGAAGTCAGCTATCATGTCTCTCTGAAGTTTTCTGGTCTCCAAGCTAAATAAATTCAAGTGCTCTTCATAATTTTTTTCCTTCCAGTCTTTAATCATTTTGGCTGCTCTCCTTCGGATACACTCCATTTCTCAATCTTCTTCTCAAAATGTGGTGCCCAGAGCTAAAAATTTTCTAGGCACTGCATAGCCAATGTAGGATTGAGGGAAACAATAACATGCACAAAAAGTAGGTGCATACAAATGTACTCTTTTAATGTATATAAGTTGTACATATCTTTCCTATTCAAAATTCTTGTAAATGATTTTTTTAAAATTGCAAATTGCCTACATTTTTCAGAAAATGGCTTTCTGTGTTAGGACATTAATAATACTCTATCAGTAATAGGTCCAAGTTTGGGTCTGCCATCGAAACTACAAATATGACATTGGAAGATACTGTAGCTTGAAGAGGTTAATTCAGGAAAAACTGTTACTGATTAATCAGCAGTTTCTTCCACAAAAATAGTTGGATCCAGTTTGCTTTCCTGGTGATAATGGTTTCATATCTCTCCTTTTGCCCATTTTATTCAATATTTTCCATGTTCCCACCCCTGTTTTCTCTTCTCCGATGATTTTGAAAAGAAAATAGCAAAAGTTCTATATGCTTTGCAGTTCAGGCAGCATAGATGATCTCTCTCTCCTTCCCCCTATTTAAAATATTAAGGAGCAGTATGTTGCAAAGATACTGTGAAGATTTGAGTAAAGATGTTACTTAATCACAAGCTGCTTAAACCTGCTGGTTAAACCTGAAGAAGATCAACTGTATGCTTTTTAATAAAGACCTAAAGGTTGTTAGGAGACTCTCCTAATTTGCTGCTGGCATTATCTATGCAGTGAAAAGGGATGTTAAAAATGGTATTAAATAGCTTGCAGCTACTGTATAATAACAGCTTCGGACTCAACCATTATTTTTGGTTATTGTAAGTTGTAGGTTTACGGCAGTCGAATACTATGCACACTTTTGTTTAATTTTGCTGGCGCAGACAGGCTTAGTAGTTTAGGAGATTTGTAATTTTATAATAGAATCTGGACATTATCTTAAGAGTTTTGATGGAATTTCCACTGCGATTGTTGATCCTTTTATTCTGATTGTTTTAGCTTATGATCAAACAAATATATTTGCATTTTGTTTTCCTCTTCTTGTCTTCCTCCAATGATGTTTTTATGTCAGGGAAGCATCCCCAAATGTGTGAAATACAGGAAAGGGGATGCTGAGCTCATCCTGCCAGTGAATCATTCTTGCCTTGGCCAAGTGGAACCTTTTCCCCGCCAAATGGAGCAGCTGGCAGAATTCCTTTTTCTAGAATCAAAATTACAGCTGTTTGGCTGTTTAGTATTGGCAACAACAAAGCATTTCTTTTTTCCTTTTCTAATCTCTTCTCAGGAAGACTTTGCCACCCACTTGTCCTTTCTCTCTCTCTCCTAATGTAGGCACACTTCATTTCATCTAATTCTGCAAACACTTGGCTAGCAATAAAGTTCGGGTTTGCTATGCGTTCGATCAAGTAGACAGTCGTAGCACCCCTTTTATACAGATCCCTGTTGTACGTAAGTGAGATTGCAGTCTATAAAGTTAATTCTTTGGTTAGTTTTTTTTTTTTTTGGCTTAGTCAGTTCATTTTTCCAGTCATGCCTTACTGCATCCTGAGATATCTTTGCAATGCTACAAGATCTAGAAGAATTTACTAGACTGATTTGTCTTCTCAAAAGAAACTCCCACAGGATGAGAAGTTGTCCATGGAGATTTATGAACAAAGTTGAGGAGGTGGCCTTCTCTGCAGTCTTGGGAGTCTATAAAGAAGCTATTCCAGTAGTAAGTAGAAGACAGAGTTACTAATACACATTTGTGTCTACATGCGCACATGCACACGTACACACACAAGCTATTGCTAAAGAAACTATATGATAGCTTTGATGTAAACATCGGGATTTCAACTTTGCCTGAGGGCATCTTCAGGCAAAGTTGGCAGTAGTTTTGAAAGCGATTTGTCATGGCCTTCTTCCTTCATCCAGGTTAATACTTGATTCAAATATTAACTAAGCCTTGCCTTGTTTAGCTTTGTAGTCCTTGACAAGTTCATCCAGATTCAGATCCCACTTTGGGATATACTTGAGATTAAACTGAAGAACTTCACTGCATTCAAGAACACATGGAAAGATTTCTTGTGAGAGGAAATACATGACCACTTTGGATCCGTTGTCTTTGTACCTTTCCTGCCTCCTGCAGTCTATTGGAATCATTAGAGTACAGTAGTCGTTGACTTATGACCACAATTGAGCCCAAAATTTCTATTGCTAAGCGAGATAGTTGTTAAGTGAATTTTTTTTTACAACTTTTTCAACTTTTCAGCTTTCAAGTGGATTTTACAACTTTTCTGGCTGCAGTAAACCATTGCAGTGGTTAAGTTAGTAACACGGTTGTTAAGTGAATTATGCTTCCTCATTGACTTTGCTTGTCAGAAGGTCTCAAAAGATGATCACATGATACCCCCCCAGGACACTGCAATAGTCATAAATGTGAGTCAGTTGCCAGGTATCAGAATTTTGATCACGTGACCCTGGGGATGCCGCAATGGTTGTAAGTGTGAAAAACAATCATTAGTTACTTTTTTCAGTGCTGTTGTAACTTCAAATGGTTACTAAATGAACTGTTGTAAGTTGAGGACTATCTGTAGTTAAAAAGATTATGTGATTTCCTGACATAGCATCTCTTTCCCCAGTAATTTTGAGTTTCAAAATTGGAAATGCAGAAACCTTATTTCTTTCTTAGGATCGAGTGGTGTTCCTTCTGTAGTTACATATATTCATCAAACCTTTTTTTCTTCTAAGTCCTAATTTAGGGGAACTTTCCCTATGTGTAGAGATCACATGCAATAAGAAAATAATTCTTTTCCCAGGATGCTATTTTGTCTTGCCTCAGGATCTGCTGGGTGTTCCTGGGAAGATAACACTTGGGATACATAAATTGGACGTAGTCTTTAAATGAATGGTGATGAGCTTACATAGAAATCAGAAAATAACAGTGCAGCATAGACCAAAATTCACTGGCCTTCAGGCACATCAGTCCTAGAAAATGACATATCTAGCACATAGATGTCCAACAACCCACACAGTTTACTCATATGTTGTTGATGGGCTGGGGCAAATTGGCAGAAGAAACTCTATTCCTCATATGGATTTTACAGTCTCTTTACAGATTTCCAGATAAATGAATGGCACCAAATGTGAATTTTCATACCAGGTGTTCTGAGTTTTGTAAGTCTCAAGAGTGAAAGACTGTACTTAATGTGCTTGAAAGCTCAGCTGCATTTCTGCCTCTTTCCCAATATAGCATAGCCTCTGGTCCACTAGAGCTTTTGCCCTTTCTTACCAAAGTCCACTTCTAGATCTGCTAGCAAAGATGGTTTAAGTAGTAGGTGCTGCCAAATGTATTTCAGTGTTTAAACCCTCGGGGAACTTTACAGAAATGATGCCAGGGGATTTGACACTGAAAGATTAATCTTTTACAATAAGTTCCAAAAACATCTCCTAGGCATGGAGCTATGAAAGACTGTTTCTGCTCTAACCTCAAGGTACTAGATTTTATTGGCCTGAATTTCTCTTTCATCATGACCACTTTAGTTGGCTTTTGGCTGCTGGCATATTTCTAACCCCTAAAGAATTTGTACAAATCTATGTGCACATTGCTAAATGTCTGTTGCCAAATAAGTTATATAGATTTCTTTAACATCTTATGTCTCCCCACCACCCTCAAGAATGAGACTCCAACTGATATTAGTCCGACAAAGGCAGCTACTGAGTTCTGGGAAAAGGATCCTGATGCAGAGCTTGGCATCCTCACTTCTACCACTATGACAGCCAACTTCAACCTTACAGACAATTACCAGGTAAAATAGACATTGTTTCCAAGGCCTTGGGGGTGCTCCTTCATTCTCAGAGTTTAAAGAAAGCAGGGAAAGGGTGAAATGTGGTTTGGATCAATATAAAAATAGGAAAGACTAGGTGCAATACTTGGTTTGTATTGAAAACTCTGTTTTGGTTTTGGAGCTTGCTAAGGCCCAACTCCAAAATGTAGTGAACAGGCCTGGAAACAGCTGAAGTTAATTTCATTGAAATTTACTTCCCAGTCATGTATTTAATAATTTAATTCATATGCTTCACTGAAAGTATAATTTGGCATCAAATTTTGAAGGTCTTTAGAGGCTGCTTTGAGGGCCACATGAAGCTCTGGGGACTCTGTTAATTCATCTGTGGTATGCCAAAATTCATGAATCTGGTAAAGACTTTAAGGCCACAAGATGTCTTCAGACCATGCATATGGTCCCACTTTCCTAGGACTTCTATCACTCCAAAATGCAGAATCCAGAATAACATGTCTAAAGAATCTCTGTTGCCAATTCTACCTTTAGATACAAAGCTGTAGTCTACTCAGATCAGGGAAGGATTTGGATTTGGACCAAGTCCCTACTTATTGTCCTCCCAAGCTACTGTCTATAACAGTATGTTGTGCAATGTCTTGTTTGTTCTGGCAGCTGTTCACAATACAATATTAGGCTAAGAGTTTAGCATTTACAAAAGGATTGTCTTCTCTAGCACCTTCCTTTTCAGAGTCCTCATACAAGGCACCATGATGGACAGAGAGCCACTCTCAAGAGCTGCCCCAACTTCTTCAATATTTTGCTTTGAATACTAATTGGAGAAAAGCATTGGGGACTGCAAGTTCTTCAGAATAGTTGCTGTCCCTGAAGAATGCCTAGAGCAAGGGTGTCAAACTCGCAACGTCATGTGACGTGCCGCAACATATCGCAACTTTTTTTCCATTGCCGGCAATGGGGTGGGCGCGGTTTTGCTCTGATGCATCTGGCCCGCGGGCCGGCAGTTTGACACCCCTGGCCTAGAGTAAAACTTACGACAGTCTGCCATACCAAAAACCTACACCCATCCTGGAACCTGATTAGTGTGGGTCTTTGGGGCACTCATTGGGACCAATAGCGGACTTTAATGGGAGAAATGGTCAAGAAGGGAGAACGGCAGTCAGTGAAGGATGGCACTAGCACAATGTATAAAGAAGGCAATTGGGATAAGAGGCTGGTGTTTCTGCGACATCCAAAATCTTTCTATTTTTACTTTATTTTGGTTGTAGGACAGAGAAGCATCTTCTTTTGAATGTAAATTGAGGATGTTTATGGCTTTGATCTTATCTAATAATGGATTGTAGTCTGAAGAAAGTTATCCATGATCAGAAGTTACCCTAAAACTGTTCTAACCAATCCTGTTACAGCCAATATATTTATGTATTTTATACGTGGTCATATTTTGACTTTTGGGTGTGTTCAGTTGTATCCACTCCTAATAAGAGGTATCATAGTCCCAGAGAAACTATGGCACATATTTTTTTTTTTGCCTAACATTACAATTGTTTTCATTAAAATCTTGGAGATGGAAGCTATTTGTTTCCAGCCACCCAAGATGTAAGCTAAGCAAAATTGTACCTGGGATTCCTACATCATGCTCTAATTAAAATTCAGTGACATCAGTATCAGGTTCTCCACCCCTCATATAGTTTCAATTCTAACCTTTTCATTAAAATTCTCAAAAGAGTGTATAATAACCCTTGTCGGATTGTTGAAAATGCTGAATGGAAGGTACTTTCAGGACTTCACTTTTGAAAGAATAACTGGACATACTCTAATCTCAATAGGGGTTGCACATAACTAGTAGCAATTTGGTGATTTAATTACTGCTGGGAAAATCCAACTGTATGCTGCAGTAATTTCCCATGGGATAATTGTAAGAAATAATGTTGACATTTCTAGGGTACAGTGTAAGTATTACTGTCTGGGACAGAAATCATTCAGCTGCCTTTTCCCTCTCAGTGTGTGGCAAAAATGAAGAAGTAAAACAGTAATTTAATTCTTATGCATTGGAAGTGTAAATCTAGTTTAGGATAGAACAGAAGTGGGAGGGTAATAATCTGGGATCTACTGGTAGATCTTTGTATGATTTTAATTTAAGACATTGAACTTCCATTTGTTTATCTACACTTCTTCAGAATTATGGAATCTACTCCTTAAGATTTACCTTCAATCTATTTAATATTTAATAAAAAAGTGGATTGGGTTTTTAAGTCTCATATTATAAGAAACTCTTTGCTAAGAGTGTGGAGAAAGTATTATAAAAGTGACTTCAAAATACCATTATGGGCTATACCTCGGCATGCCATAGAAGGTATAAGGAAAGGGGTAAATATGGACAAGGTCTCTTACGTACAGTTATTAAGATGGGATGGCCAAGACTGGCAGTTAAAATCTTTGGAAGAATTAACACATGAAAACTTAACTTATTCATGGTTCCAATATAGACAAATAGTGGATAGATGGAAGATAGATTGTAAAATGGGCTGGCTTAGAGAAGATGAAATTTTTTTAAAACAAGTAAGAGATCAAAGGCCAACCCATATTAAGAGAGTTTATGGGGTTTTAGTGGAATTAGATTCAGAACTTGAACTAGTTAAAGATTGTATGATTAAATGGGCACAGAATATTGGTGAAACGATTTCAATGGATACTTGGGAACTTATTTGGATAAGAAATGTTAAATTCACACAAGCGCAAAATTTAAGAGAGAATTTTTATAAGATGTTTTATAGATGGCACCTTGACCCAAAGAAAATGTCCATTATGTACCCTAATCTACAGCCGAAATGCTGGAGATGTGGATATTTGGATGCTACCTATTACCATATTTGGTGGACGTGTAAGCATATAAAAGCTTTTTGGATTAAGATATGGTGGAATATTCAAAGAATTTTTAAAAGGAGGGTAAAATTTACTCCGCAATTATTTTTACTAGGTATTGTTATTGACTGTGATGCTAAGGAGGTTATATTGATGTTAAATTTGATTACAGCCGCTAGGTTGTTAATAGGACAATATTGGAAGAAGGAATCTTTGCCTACTTTACAAGAATGGTTTCATAAAGTTTCGTATTTGGCAGAAATGGCAAAGATTTCGGCTTTCTTAAAGGAGCAATCTCAAGAAAATTTTTTTGCGGTATGGGAAAAATGGATAAATTTTATACAACATAATTTGGATATGGAAAAATATTATCTAGCCTTTTTATAATTTGTAATGATTGTTTTTTCTTTCTTTCTTTCTTCTTTTTCTTTTTTATATATATACATTTTTTATGTATTATTATTCATATATTTTTTTTTTATATATATATATGCTTTATTCTTCGTCTACTTTCTTCTTTCTTCTTTCTCTCTCTCTCTTCTCTTTTTATTTATTTTTTTTTCTTTTTTAGTATATATTATTCATTTTAAAGTTTATGTTATGTATATTATTATTATATATATTATTATTGTGATTTTTATTATTATTATTAATTATTTTATAATTTGCAAATGTTATTTTTAAAATATTTGTTAAATAATCCTATATTCAGTTCTGGGAAGTCGGGGGGGGGGTGGGGTGGTTGGGGAGGGGGGGGTGGATTTTTATTTGTAAAACTTTTGAAAAATTTCAATTAAAAAAAAAAAAAAAAAGATTTACCTTCAATCTCTGTTTGGGAGAGACCTTACTAGGCTTTTAAAATTGGATTAAGATTTTAGATATGATCTGGATTGTGGTTTAAATAATTTGAGGAATTATTCTAAAATATACAGTATGGCTGAAATGATGAAAATGGGAAGAGAGTAAGACTTGGATTCATTTCTGGGATACAAAGAAAATCTCAAGTTGCTTTAATTAATTAAAGCTACTTTGATTCTATGTGTATATATTCTTGTTTCAGTTGGTGGATCTTGAGGTTCTGGTAAATGAAGTAGAACAACGATAAAGGAAATGATGTAAAATAGAAAAAAAGTTCTCCAAAGTCTAAACCTTGCTGTTATCTCTTAAAAATTGAAACGGGAATAAATTACTACTTCCCTCATAACATTACTGTATGCAAATCCATAGCTTTTTCAGTTGTCCTCCAACTGTTTAATACCTAGCCCTGTCAGGAGAAGAAAATCCACTGGATTGAACCTTTGGTTCATGTTCCCCATCTGACCTAATCAGAAGCTACATATAACCATTTTCATAATTTATTAGATCCAGTCATAATGGAAACCAGACATATGAACAACCAAAAGTCTGTTGATATGTTCAGGACAGGAACATGCATATTAAAGGCTGCGGCCCACACAAAATCATTACCTAAATTCTAGAATATGCATATCTGCAGGCCCAAACAGGATTCAGTGAACAAAGTTTCTTTTCTTTTAAAGGAAAACAGAATGTAATGGTAGGGGAGAAAGAATCAACCTACAGGAAGAAGCTAATAGTATGAAAAGTAATTGTCACTGAATACATCTGCTGTACTTTATATCCCCTTTTCTAATCCCAACAGGACCTTCTTGGAGAAGAGTATTTAATCAATGAGAATACAGACTTGAACGCCAGTGTCACTTACAGAGCATTTGAGGAGAGACTTGACAATAAAGATTACGAGGACTACTATGACCAACGAGGGGCCAGTGAAGCAGAGCGGTATGATCCAGCTGAGCACATTGAAGCCACCATCATATTTCCCGAGGTAGCAACTTTACAAACATTTCTCTAAGCAATGAGTAACAATCTGAGCACTGCAGAAAATAATCTCATTTCATTCAAATAATGCATTCCTTATTTGGAATTAAGCTCAATTTTACTCAGTGGTGCTTGTTTTTGATTGTATAAATTCAAAAACATAACTGAGGTTTAACCAGCTGGAACGCAAGTATTACAATTCTAATTAAAAGATAATCTTGCAAAGGAGAGATACCATTTAAATACTTTAAACTTTAGAATAAGGGAGGAAAGGACCTATCTCACTTGTATTAAAAATACTGATTGTACAGTCTCTTGAAAATAATAGTAAAATCTGAGAACCAACTTAACACTCTTCTCATTGCCAAGGCAAAGAGAATCTTATCAATGAGGCTGGCATTCTTGGACATAAATCGCTCCTGATTTGCACTCCCTCATAAGCTCCTACTGTTGCTTCATTGCTAGGCCCTGACCCTCAGCTGCACTGATTGTTGAGGGTCAAGACCCAAAGTCTCATCTGAAATCCATGAGAAGATGGAATAGCAAAAGGTGGTAGTCCACCAACAGAGCTACAATGTCTTTATAATCTGCCTCTCATTTAACCCATTTGCATAACCATGTTGTCTTACCCCCTCCTCAGTCTGTGCATCTGATGAAGTGAGATGCGGCTTATGAGCTGAGCCCATTAAAGAAGCTGAATCCACTTTCAGTCGTGCTTCCAACTGCGCATCAGACTGCGTTTGTTAATCCCCTATATATACACCTACAACCATAGTCTCTCTTGATATTAAAAAAGTCACAGATATATTTTAATGAGTAGAATGAAGATGAGGAGGTGTGTTGGTGCCCAAGACATATTTTCAGTTGTCTCTCATGTCCAGGATGCTCCAAACATACCAAACTATTTCCCATGGAACCTACTACAGATTATTTTAAAAAGAGAATGTTATGTGTTTAAAGAGAAGAAATTCTGGCTCTGCTGCTTCTCAGAAGGTTATGTCTGTCTCCACCTAAATATTTGCCAAGAGTGCCCTATTTTTGTTTGGAACCTAGGAGCACTGAAACTTCTATGACATTAATCAAAAATATTTATGAATGTCTTGTTGCCCCTGTGCCTCACCCACTCTTTTCCCAATGGCTAATTGCCACCAGGCTGGGATGGAAAGTTGGCATTTAAACCAAGTTTGACTTGCCCTCTCTTCTGACTCAGTCCAGAATCTACTGTGCATCACATATTCCCAGGGTGCATTATTTCTCATGGCAAGGATTTCAGTTCCATCTTTTGGACTAAGAAATTGCTTTTCAGCAACATCAAGAATTTCTGTCAAGTCAAACGTAACTTTCAGCACTTAGATGGCCATGAAGAAAGAAAACATGTTTGCTGCTGCCTTCTTCTTGGATTCTGGGGGCGGGAACTTTCCAACCCAGCCAATAGCCCTGATAATTCCTATTGGTACTAATCACATCCAGCCTGGCTCAGCTTCTTAAGATCAGTCAAAATTGCCTCTGTGCTGCCACCTAGTTCAGATCAAAACATGGAAACATTATAAATTAAAACACTATAAATACTGTTTTTTAAAAATGCCATCTTCTAGGATCTTTTTGCTCAGGGCTGTTAGTGATAAAAGAAAACACAGTAAGATTTAATTCATACTGTAGGTGCTCAGGACTCAGGTGAAAGGATTTTAATTAATTTTATTCCTTTGTTTGATTTGATGCTATTTTGCTTTTGGTCTCTTGCCCTATGCTCCATGGACCAACTCATGGAAACTCAGTTCTTGAATTTGTTTCCAATATCTGGAGATATTAAGCCATTTATATGCTCCCATTTCACTCACCACGCATTAAGCCTGGAAAAGTGTGGGATAGCTCCCTTTACAGGAGAGGTCACTGGAGATCACTTTCTATCTAAGCAGCAGCTAGTCCTCAGTGCCAGTTCTCACAGTCAGTCAACTCAGAAAAATCCCACACTTCCTTCCAACAACTCACATAGTCCAGAATCAAATCCACCTTCATTTTAAGGTACAGTAACTTGTTTCTGTTTGAATAGTAGATGGCATAAGATTTGTGGCTCAGTAAATCAGATTGAAGAAACAATCATCTTGAATTTCTTCTGTTCAGTCTCCTCTATTTTAGGAGATCCTCTCCATCTCCAATGCAAATTGCAACATTATCATAACTACTAGACCTCGTGGTTATTTTTTATTTTCTTTGTGTCTGTAGCAGCAACCAAATCTGAAAGGACAGAAAGGGGAGGCAGCGGTAATTGAACCTGTGAGTAAAATACGTTTTCTGTTCTGGCTTTGCCAAGATCCATTAGTCTGTTTGGAGACTTAATTTCACCACCAAATGGTGGTTTGGGGTTTGGGGTCAATTCAGTTTTGATTCTTGGAAGGATAAATATCCAAACTTCTAGTGGTTGTCAGACAGTTGAGAGATGATACTATCAATATTCTCTGGAAATTTGAGATGGAGAATTGGATCTTGTATGAGGACAAAAATCTTGCAGACAAATACAAAACTAAACATTTACAAATATGTGAGAATGGGAAATCTGTTTCTTTATATTTATTCACAGAGTGGTTTCTGGATCTTAACTGGATGTTGTGTATGCTTTATTATTAGCTGTGATATGCTGGAGTTTCCCTCTGAAAAGTATAGATCACAATATAGTTTTCCCTTCTGAGGATTGTTAGCTTAATTATGCCCCAGAATCACTGGCATATATCATAATAATATCTCACAGGTACAGGTGATCTAATAATGCAACAATTAGCTACCTATTTTTTTATACATTCAACAAGGATGTCTACAAGCTTGTTACTTGTGCAGAACATTTAATCATAAGCATGCAAGTGGTTTATTCCTCAGGTATTAAAGAATCATTAGCATTTCCCTTATCCTTTTTACAAGTGCGTGAACTTATTTCAGTGCTTAGAGGAAACTATATTCACTATGTAATTTTGTGAATATTCACAGGCCACCGAGTCACCCATTCCCTTCAGAACCAGTTCAGGGTTATTAAATCTTTCCCCTTTCTTTTTCTTGCAGGGTATGATTTTTGAAGGGCCAGCTGGATATCGAGGACCACAGGTAAGAGACATAATAAGTGTAGTGTCATCAGTTTTCCCAGCCAATTATTTAGTTATTTACCAAAGTTATTTAGGAGGTGGTCACCTCCTTGCTGGCTCCTGGCTTTCCCCCCACCTTCTGGGCAGGGAGAGACGATTTGCAACAGCACAATCCAGGTTGGTGCTATTATATAGGATTAGGAATAGATTTTTCTTCATGCCTTTCCCCTATGTGTCCTTAGATGAGAGAAACAAAATCACAGGAATGTCTTGAGAGGGTTGATTGGCCCTTCTCTGTAGGATTTTGTCTCAGTCACAGATGTTTGAAAATATATTTAATATACAGTAAACCTGCTCTCAGGGCTTGGAGTAAGTCCCAAATACAATCAGGGTGTATGCAGGCAAAAAGATACATTTGAACTTCATATAGCATGATTACTCCCATGAACATAATCCACTGAAGTGTGCAGTTCGTGCACGATCATTGATTTGCCCAAAAATGCTCAGTACTTTTCATGGGAATGTGAGTATTTCTGTGATTCCTCCCACCCCGATATTTTAGCACGAAAGTAACAGTATTCTTCTCTCTGTTTTGTTTTGCCAGGCAGTTGCAAGAAAATATAAAAATTAGCATATTTGGAAATTAGATGCCTATTTATTGAATTGAACTGAGTTACAGCCCTCAAACTGTTGACTCCTGGAAACTTAATAAACCTTTATTTCAACAGCTCATGTTCAAGAAAAGAAATTATAAGAAGTTGGGAGTCTTTTTATCAGTCTGTCAAAGATCAACTGGTATTCTGATCATAGATCTTTTAAACACTTCTTAACTTACTTCCCCAATATTGCCTTCCTATAATCAATTTTCAACTTCTATAGAGTGAAAAGTCCAACTATCCCTCCATTTAAACTCATTATAAGAAAGTAAGCAAATAGATAAGAAGTAAAGGAGTAAAGTAAAGGAGTAAAAAAAAAACCAGCCTTGGAGGAATTAGAGTTGAGTATTTCTTTCTTCAATAAGGACCTGTTACCATTTGTTGCTTATTGGTAGATTTCTCATAAAACATGTCATATGTATTTGAAATTTTAGTCGAGGAGTACAGAGTTTTGCAAAAAAAAGTATAATCCAAGTACATCTGCAGAAGCAGACTAATGATTGATGTTAGTATTTAGGTGCTTTATGCGGTCTTTTTCCTGTTACTCATAGGGAGGAAAAGGGAACTATACATAATTTTGAAACTTCATTGCCTGCAGCCTGATTTTTGGAACAGTCAGGCATGATATTGTTGCTATTAGATACATTTGATACAAAGCTGGACTTGGATATTACTGTGTCATGATGTTTCTATTTTAAAAGAGGAATTGTGTGTGAGCTTTTCTTCATTTATCTTAATTTTGTGCTGCATCATTTCCCAGGGAGAGACGGGTCCCATGGGATCACCAGGGCCACCAGGATTTCCAGGAGACCCTGGTGAGCAGGTAAGGAAATCATGATATGATTCAAAAGAATGATACTCTCTTCAATTTTCCCCCTGGGGTTTTTTCATCCTCTCTGAAAATGGTGGGTGTGGGGAATAAGGAATTGTCGGCATGTGCCCTTTCAATGTATCTCTTTGACAAGCCCCAGCTTGATGTTGCTTCCTTTTAGCCCAATGTTTCTCAAGAATGATTGTCAGAGGTATCTTACTTACTTTTGCACAGGGACCACCAGGACACCCAGGTCTTCCAGGAGCTGACGGGCTACGTGGACCTCCTGGAACAATGCTCATGTTGCCAGTAAGTGATGCAGGGAAATGGGCCAGTTTGAGAAGGGTCATCCAGTCCCTTTGAAAAGCAAAAGATTCTAGAGGGATGTTGTTTTCAGCGTTAGTTAGTATTTGATGTAAAATGAGAATCCTTTTTTTAGTTTCCAGGGGCATTACTTTGAGTATAATCCAGGTGCAAAACTGTGTTGACATTGATTATAAAATAAGATCCCAGAAGATAGGTTAGATAAGAAATGGAGCAAGAGGAACTCACCTTTACTGTGACCCAAGTATCCAGGAGGGAGGTTTTTTTGATATGGAAAGGATTTTGATATGGAAAGCTTGAAGACTGATGAGCTAAGTTCAAATATACAATTCATCCCTCTCTAAGAACAGGAGAGTTGAATTTGTGTTACCAATCTATTTCCAGTTCCAGTTTCGTGGTGATTTACTTAAAGGCCCTTCAGTATCTTTCCAGGAGGCCCAGGCCCAGGCTATTTTACAGCAAGCCAAGGTAAGCATGGTGGGCAAATGTATGAATATATGTGCATATGTTGAGCTTCTTTGTCTTAAATCTTGAATTCTCTAAGTACCCGTAGACAACTTGTTTTGCTCCAACATTCAACACCTCTCTCTCTCTCTCTCTCTCTCTCTCTCTCTCTCTCTCTCTCTCTCTCTCTCTCTCTCCCTCTCTCATTTTTTATTTCTGTTCTGGATAATGTTCTATATTCTTTTCAAATTCTTTTTTTTTTTTTTTATTAAAAGTTTTATAAATTTTACAAAAAAGAAAAAGGAATACAAAACAAGAAACAACATATACAAAAAAAATAAAACTAAACAATACATATATATAAAAAAAAAAAACCCCACCCCTCCCAAAAACCCCCCCCTCCCTTCCCCCCCCCCCCTGAGCTTCCCAGAGCAGAATATAGGCTTAAGAAGTAAAAATAAAAATTAAATTAAGAACTTTATATTTATATATATAAAAAGATTATCTATAATATATATGAAAATAAAACTTATGAAAAAACTATATAATATTTTTGTATACCCAATCTAAACTGTATAAATTTTATCCATTTATCCCAAACAGCAAGAAACTTCTCTTGCGTTTGTTGCTTTAAGAAAGCCGAAATCTTTGCCATTTCCGCCAGATAAGCTACTTTAAGAAACCATTCCTGCAATGTAGGCAAAGATTCCTTCTTCCAATATTGTCCTACTAACAGCCTAGCGGCTGTAATCAAATTTAACATCAAAACAACCTCCTTTGTATCACAGTCTGTAACAATACCTAACAAAAATAATTGCGGAGTAAATTTTACCCTCCTTCTAAAAATTCTCTGGATATTCCACCATATTTTGATCCAAAATGCTTTTATCTCTCTGCATGACCACCAAATATGATAATAGGAAGCCTCCTTATAACCACATCTCCAACATTTGGGTTGCACGTCAGGGTACATATAAGACATTTTTTGTGGATCAAGGTGCCATCTATAAAACATTTTATAAAAATTCTCCCTTAAGTTCTGTGCTTGTGTAAATTTGACATTTCTCACCCAAATATTTTCCCAGGTGTCCAATGAGACTGGCTCACCAAAATTCTGCGCCCATCTTATCATACAATCTTTAATTAGTTCCGTTTCTGAATCCAATTCAACTAAAACCGCATAAATTCTCTTAATGTGGGTTTGTCTTGAATCCTTCACTTGCTTGATAAGATTTTCATCTTCTCTAAGAAAACCCACCTTACAATCCATCTTCCATCTGTCTAATAATTGCCTATATTGGAACCAAGAATAAATAAAGTTTTCTTGTGCTAACTCTTCCCGTGATTTTAATTGCCAGTTTTGTCCATCCCATTTAAGTAACTGTCTGTAAGACACCATATCCATTTTAACCCCTCTTTTTATTGCTTCTATCGCATGCCAAGGTATAGCCCATAATGGTACTTTGAAATCACTTTTATAATATTTTCTCCAAATCCTAAGTAAAGAAATTCTTAAGATATGAGATTTAAAAGCCCAATCCATTTTTTTATTAAATATTAAATAGGCATGCCACCCATAAAGTATTCTTTTCAAATTCTTAATGCCATCCAGAGGTGTTGAGATATTTGACCTTGCAAATGTGAATGATAGGTGAATAAATTGAAATAATAATATTGCAGGTTTTCAAGTGATTTCTAAATCAGGTGGCTCATCACAGAATGTCAGCTAATCAAATTACTGAAATCACTCTCTTAATCTATTCATTACCCATTAAATCACAGCATCCCAATTCCCTCAGTGAGGTTATGTTTGCTTCACCAGGTCATGGGCAGAATTAGTGAAATGTACAAACAAAAGTATATTGTATAAAACAGAGAGCCAGCTTGGCATAGTGGTTAAGGCATCAGGCTAGAAACTGGGAGACCATGAGTTTTAGTCCAACCTTAGGCACAAAGCCAGCTGAGTGACTTTGGGAACTCTTTCAGGAAGGAGGCAATGACAAACCACTTCTGAAATCTAGCCAACTAAACAGCAGGAACATATCCAAACTGGCTCAGAACAAACAAACAAACAAACAATAAACAATTAAATTTAGCTAACTGTGGGCTCAGCAAAGTTTTCATCCTAAAAATTCTGCATTTCTTTGCACTTAAATTAATCAGATTATCCATTTCAAGCAGTCTTGGAAGAGAACAAGCCAACTTAGAAGAGAGGAATCATAGAGGGTTAGCATTCCCTTTTGCACCTAATATAAATCAAGTGCCTAAAACAGCCCTCACAAAAAATGAACCTCTCTAGGAACTCATGTTCTCTGATTATTTCACACTTTTGAAATGTGAAATAATGACAGTCCTCCACCCACCCCTTAGAAGACATAAAACTGCACATAGTGACTCCAGCCTGATAATGGACTTTCTCCATTTGATCATGGTGTCTATGTTGCCAGTTGTCAGTCATGGCAATGTATGTTTACCTCAGGATGCAACATTCTGTTTCAAGGAGTAGTTTAGTAAATCAGACTTAAGCAGATAAATCATCATACAATATGGAAGAGAAACAAAATCTTCACCCAGCCCAAGGGAGAACTGATTTGATTGATTTAAGATTTTTTTTTTAAAAAAAATGATCCTAAATTAAATCTGCAACTGGGTTGAGAGTTCATTTGAAGAACAGAAGATCTTTTCAATAATTAATTTAGGTTAATGATATAATCATGCCCTACAATAAGATGAAGAACATGCCTTTTTTCATTCATTTGAATTAGACAGAAATTGGCTTAGTTAAAACCAAGCAAAACCAAGATCATTCCTGAGCTCAGTTTGTCCATTTCTCCGGCTATAGTGGTACGATCAGAAGAATAAAGATGAATGAAACGACTGCCACCTAAATATTCTTTTTTTCCTCCCACTTTAAACACCTACTTCAAGCCAGCATCTTCTTATTTACAATTATTCAATGAATTTCTTCCCAATTCCTTTTGATTTTACTGCAGCTCATCATTTTCTTTCTCTTCTCAGCTTTCCATGAAAGGGCCTCCTGGCCCAATGGGACTCACGGGAAGGCCAGGACCACCAGTGAGTAAATGTGATTGTTCAAAGCTGTCCCATAAATTGAGATAATAGGGTATATTTTTTTAGGAAAGTTTTGAGTTTCATACTCATCTCTATGCTGTGAATCATGGGTTAGCTTAGTAACGTCTGTGTACTGTATTTGGGCTGAAATGAAATATTCTTCAGCACATAACAGATTTCATAGAAAAAAAGTAGTACGTGGCACACAAGCATTTTTCTTCCATAGACATTGAAAAGAACTTTAATCTCCTGAAATTGTCTAAACATATTTGTGCGCCAAGCTACAAATGATCTTAATAGTGTCATATTGTGAAAGTACAAAATTCAGGGATTGAGGAATGGAATGTTTCTGAAAACTCCAAGATCTTCTAGTTCCTCTCCAAACCGTGAAGTCTCTGGATCATGCCATTTTGGGGAGAATTTAGCAGTTTTTAGAAATTCAGTCCTCCTTTGGAACATGCTAGGTCTTCCTAAAATGGCATGGCCCAGGGAAGAATTTGTATGGTCTTGAAGGAGACATTATTACGTTTTGTGAAACATAACCATTTCCTGAATTGCAAAACTTTGTGTATTTCTATATTGATCTTAGGTATGGGATTTTTCCCACACAACACAGAAGGTGCAAAGTGGGTAGAGAAAACCATACCGGGATGTAATGTCTTTATCTGATTTCCCTTTATACTGCATTGTTGCTGGTATCAGATAATAGTAGTTTACATATAGAAAATTAATTGGCTTAGGCAAATGTGGAGCTCCCACAGATATAGATGATAACAACTTTAGCTCCTATATTTTTTGCTCCAGACCATTCCCCCAAATTTACCTTATGCTATGTGAAATCACAATTCCCCGTACCTCTCCATTAATGAATAGGAATTGAATGTGTAGACAATATCATAACATGTATCACTTTCTGTTCAAGGAGAACCTAGTGTTTTCAGGAGAAGAATGCCTAAATTTTCCCTCATATGTATTATTTTGCTGATTTTTTTTTAATTAACAGATAGAATAGTCTTCCTCCCCCATCAAATCCTGGATATATATATTTACTGTGGTTGGATTGTTCATCTTTGGAATATTATGGAAGAAATTAACCTACTTACAATACGGTTTCTGCAGGGTCTACCAGGAAAATCAGGACAAAAAGGGGATTCGGGTGACGCCGGACCCCAGGTTGGTTACTGAAGATGGAGAGGAGGGGCTTGGGCTTTGCTGGTAGGGAATTCTGGGAGTGGAAATCTAACACCCCTGGAGGACACAAGGATGGTAAAGTGTGAAGTATAAAAATGCCAGGCTGATGTCCAGCTTCTTTTCCATTTAGGCTTTCTCATCCTTTTCTCTCTTTGTGCCTTCAAGCCAGTCTTGACTGCTGTTGACTGCCTGGACTAACCTCTGCAGTTTTCTTGGCAAAATATTGTCAATGTTTTTCTTCATGAATGAATGAATCATAGTCACCAAGCTGAGTTTGTTCCCAAGATGGGACTAGAACTCAGTCTCCTGTTTTTAGCCTGGTGATTAACCATTAGATTAGAGGTGGGGAACTATGGCCCCTTTATGACTTGCGGACTTCACCTCCCAGAATTCATGAGCCAGCCATGCTGGTTCAGGAATTCTGGGAATTGAAGTACACAAATCATAAAGGGCCATAGTTCTCCACCCCTACTTAGACCAAAGTGGCTGTCTCTCATTATTCTTGCACTTGTTTATCTCCTGTCCATTTTATAGTTTGTACAGTATACATTTTACATTAAAATTTCTCTACCCTGATAGATTTACTTTGCCTATTATATTGTACTCTTCCTTATTGAACTGCATAAAAATTGAATCTGAATATGAAATAAGCAGTTTTGCAAAACAGATAATAATTCATCCCTTCCCTCAAATTTGGAACGTGTACTGTAGCCATTTTAAGCATGCTGATCTTTTCCCCTGGCATGCTCAGATGAGAAGGCTTTTAGGTTATCCTTAGCAGACAGAATTCTGGCATTGGTAGCAAAGTAAGTAAAAGAGTCTTTTTTCCATCAGTTTCTTCTTTCTTTCCCTCCCTCCCCTCATCATAAACATTTACCATTCATGGAATAAAAATACATCCCTGTACTGAAGAAATGTAGATCTTTTGCAAGATTTTCCTGGTATATTATCTATTATACCCTCATCCTACCACTGACTGGTAGAAAATTATTTGTGATTTATTTATTTATGATTTATATTGTACCCTATTTCAGCCCCATCCTCCCCTTTAAAAATGTATCATAAAATGCATTCAGAGGATAGAAAGAAATGAAATAAGATTAAACATACAGTAATTTCGGATTTTTGATCACCACCTGTCCCAGGATAAGTAATCCGTAGCTCTCACAAACAACTTTCAGGGTCCATAACCCATGGACATATCTTATAAATGGAAATTGAGAGTTAACGGACAGGACACTGTCTGGAAAATCTGAAAGTTCTCTTCTTCTGATCTAACATCAGGAAAGGAATGAAGTACTAAGTCTTTCTCAAGAATATGCTCCAAAGAGCAAAATTCCTAATGAGGAAGACTCCACCTTCTTGAATCAAAGTTTGGGATACACACAAGAAGTCTTTCTTATGGGTCTGAAGAGATAACCGTATATGCCGGCGTATAAGACGACTCCTGGAAGCGCTAAACTCGGCGCCAAAGATGGGGGTCGTCTTATACGCCGAGTAGTCTTATACGCCGGAAATACTGGTAGTTTCCGGCGTATAAGACGACGTTCTAGGAAGGCGGCTCAGCGATAAAGACGGGGGTCGTCTTATACACCTGGTTGCCTAATACGCCGGCATATACGGTACGTATTTATAGGAATAGGCTTTAAAATCTTCTCTTTTTCTGGAATAGTTTTATTATGTAATAACAAGTGTAATGAAATTGGTGATATTAATAGTTTAGATATTGCATTCTGGAGTCCTCCAGGAAATGGCACACTGAGTGGTAGGATAAATTTTTCTCCTGCTGACAAACAGCTGACTTTGCTGCCAAAGCTGGCTCTTTGGCAGCACACTCCCCAGATTTGAATGTGAGTAATTAGGAACGATTCAAGACTATGAGAAGATGAATCTAGACAATTGTGATTCTTGATAAGAGTGATTGGAGGGTCAGGTCTCCATCTTTTCCTGTAAGCAGTTTTTTTTTAGGCCTAGGTTTTAAACATCTTGTTTTGAATTTCTTTTTTGCTTTTGACTTATATCTTTAATGAAGCATATGGTTGAATGCTGATTTATTTTTATAGCCCTTGCTATACTGTGAACTTTTTATCTTTTTTGTTGCTTTGCTTTGGATTTAAGAAACATTTGTTTTTGCCATGTTGAAACCAACAGCATAAAGATTTTCTCTTTGGTAGTGAAAGTGATGTGATTTGATTTATATCTGTACCAGACCACTGCAAGGCTTTTGTATTTTACTAATTTTAAAAAGAACTTGCCTTTTTTAATTTGCTTTTGTATATATTACTGGTCTCTTATCTTTTTTTCTCTCTGATTAGATGGAAATCTTCTCTTTTGTTTCTACTTATTCTCCTTCATGGGAAATATTATCTTAATTTTTCCTGCGGACATTTTGTATGTGGAATATCAACTTCTTTTGTCCTTGAGAGGAATTGCCTATGTTTTTTTGTGAAAGTCCAGCTACGGTATAAAAGAAATTTAGACTATATTAAAAATGGAAACAACAATAAAGCCATATCAACATAATCTCAAAGCCTTTTGGAAGCTTTAAAAAATGCTTTTCAACTTACAAGCTCTGAGTGAAAATATAGATAAATTGTTTGATGGTTTAACAACAGTCATAAATCAACCTAAGGTTGCTAGTCAGATACAAATAATACAGCTAAATTAGACTTCCAATTGGAAGTCAATTTGTTGCTGACAGAACTGAAGGAGAATGAGCTTTGTTTGAGAATTGCAGGCCTGTTGAGAAAGCTGAAAAGGGTATGAAGGTTTAGAGATGGCAATATGGATGAGTGATGAACTAGATTTTCTTAAGAAAACTGATGGAGATTATGAAATAGACTTAGTATATTCAGTCAGAAGACAACTGTTAAAGAGATGTTGTGGTTTAATTGGCTCAAAAAACTTCTGAACAGCAAGTGCTGTGGAAATACTCACCACAGAAAATTATGACTTTGGGGAATGAGATGGAATTGTTGGGAAATATCCCAGTTATAATTTTAAGGAAAAAACATTATTATTAAGAATCAGTCAAAGATATTTGACCCTGGACAGATTAGAGATGATGATTGCAGTGGAAGATTAGAAGCCATAGTGGACTTTCTGCACGTGAAATGCAATAATAGATTGTTAACAGAGGACTTTGGAGTTTAGTTTTGTTAGCTTTACCTGTTAACTGATTTCCTCCCCCCCCCCCAGTAAATATATGGTAGGTCAAATTAGTTGGGCAACTATTGCTAGAGAAGTTTACAGATTGTAGACCTGTTTTGCAAACTATTATTGTTGAAATATATTTATTAATATTCAATTAGGGGGCAATATGTGTGTATGTTTTTTATGCATTTATACATTTTGGTTTTGTTTAGTTTTTGCTTTGCTTGTTGTTTTTGGAGTTTTTTTGAAGTTTGTATTTTAATTTTGGAAATAAAGTTAAAATGTATTTAAAAAAAGATGTTGCATTCTGGATTGGTAATTGTTTTTGGATCTTAATATAGCAGTAACATTTAGACTTATATACCACTCCATACAGCAGCCACTTTTTACATATACCACTCTTTGCAGCAATCTCTTACAGTGTTAGCATATTGCCCCCAGCAGTCTGGGTCCTCCTTTAAGGGACTTCAGGATGGAAGGCTGAGTCAACCTTGAACCCATTAGAATCGAACTCCAGACTGTGGGCAGAGTTAGCCTGCAGAGTTGCATTCTAACCACTCCACCACCAGGGCTCTTTACAACTTTGTCCTTATCAGTAGGATAGGGCATCTATAAGACGTCCTTTCTGATAGATCTTATATTGATGTTAATGTAAAATATGTATTGCCACTAATGGCCAAAACTTCCAGATGAGATTTAAGTCAAGGCACATCATTTTCCCAATGGAAGTGAATTTTCATATGAAAACAAACACACATAGAGCAACTGTTGGTCTCATTTATTTCAATTCTCATTATAGGGTTCCCCCGGGATACAGGGACCAATTGGACCTCCAGGGAAAACTGGCAAGCGGGTAAGCATCAGATACACAGATGGGTGCCAATCTGTAGGAATACTTGCCTTTGCCCCCTTTTCTCACTCTTTTTTTCCTTTTCATTTTTTTAAAGGGTCGTTCAGGAGCTGATGGTGGCAGAGGACTCCCAGGAGAAACAGGACCCAAGGTTTTCTAAACCTTAATTGTAGGGTGGAATTCAAATGAAGGAGGGGAAGAGAGCTCTGAGATTCCCACTCCCATGGTGGTTTGATCTTTCCTGCAATAGCAACACAGCCGTGGGGTGCAAATAGAGCTGAATCAAATGTTGTTTCCACTTTCATGTTGAATTTGTTGGATTCAAGAGAAATTTTCATCCATGTGATATGCATGCCACGCAAAAATCCAAACCGCCCCCCCCCTGCATTTTGTGACTGTGGTCTTGGAACCCATTCAGCACTCAAAAGGAAATTGTGCAGGAAATTAAGAGGCATCCCATTGAATCAGAAGTAGGCCCATCTAAGCCATCTAGTTTCCCAAATTTGGCCAGCCAGGCAATTCCACAGGTACACAAACAGGGTAGGAAACCAACAATCTTTCCCTTGTTGTTGATTCCTAGCATATATTCAAAGATATAATTCCTCCCTGAACATGAATAGTATTTGAAGTAGCTCATTGGCAACACATCTCCTTAACTGCCAAAGCCTTCACAGGTAAGACTATAAAAAACTGTGCAATTTGCCAACCTAATCTGTGATTTGTCATCAGCTATCCTGGATTTTGGTCTCAAGATACAAGAGACTGAAACTGGAGCTTTTTGCATATTTGTGTGTCATTTATCATTAAGTCATTAAATTCTCCTGTGTAGCCTTAAAAATGATAATAAAGGAGTGAATGGAGAGGATCCGGTGTGTGGGGGCTTTGTATGCACAATTTCCTCTGAGCAATTATTAAGTAGTGGGATGAAAAAATCAAAAGCTTTGGAAAATATAAATATTTTTAGTATTTATGAAAATGAAATTCCATATACAAGTTGTGAGGCCAAACTGCACATAACCATAACTACATAGTTCTATTTTTTAAGGCAGCATGTACCCCCATATGCATTGCCCCCCTCACAGACATATACACATGCACACACAAGTACTCTAGTATGTGGAATAAGAGGACTTCAGACTTTTGTCCCTTTGAATACCCATAGTGCTTTCAATTTTCATTGCTCAAAAGGGGAAAAAAAAATGCAGGGATTCATCCTTCCCTTCTCCCATCAGATCTTGTTAAAAAAGAGATCTATTATAATCTTTACAATACAAGGATTAGATCTCTGGGATATTCCATACATGCTACAACTCTATATCCTTCATGGCTGACTCTATAGAATGGGGTCAGTGGAAGTTGTAGTTCAACAACATCTGCAGAGTCTCACTGCTGACAGTCAATATTACATTTAATTTCCTGCATATTGCAAAAAGGGAGATGGGGGTGAAGCTGCTTTAGTTCATCTGAATTGAAAGTCAAACCACAGAATTCCTGAATCTTATTTGTCTCAGCTGCTAGTCTCCAAGACATACACAGTCACAAAAATAGCAAATCCTTGGCTTTGGTTTACAATCCAACAAATTTAAACCTCTTTTTAAATTTTCAGGTTTTGCTTCCTTTTAAATTCTGAAGCACCATTGTTGCCTATCAAAACATGGCAAATTGATCATCAAGACAACATTGTCCTCCCCTTACCATGCCCCCTCATTCTGTGCACCTATTTCTTGGGTATAATTTAAAATTTATGTTCTTTAAAAAAACTGTTTATCTTGTAGGATTGCTCTAAGGACAAAGAGCATTGTTGCTGTAAAATTAGGCATGCAAATCTATCTATCTATCTATCTATCTATCTATCTATCTATCTATCTATCTATCTATCTATCTCCATCCATCCATCCATCAGCTGAAAAACTGGTCTATACTTGTCAATAATCTGCTTTTTTCCTTTCTTATAGGGTGACCGGGGCTTTGATGGTCTCCCAGGACTCCCTGGAGAAAAGGGAAACAGAGTAAGAGTACCCTAATATCTATACTACTGTCGTCTATTTAAGCTACCACCAACATTCACTCTCCACTTTATTGCTTTGCAGGGAGATATAGGAAAGCCAGGCCTACCTGGACCTCCTGGAAATGATGGTTCTAAGGTACGTACTGATTCTGATAGAATATTTGTAGCTTAGGGTTGAACTGTGGGATCCTTGGTACTCTCTGAGCTTCGTTGTTTTCTTGCAGATGTTTCATTAACAAACTAGGTAACATCATTAGTGCTAGTATGGATTTGCTGTTGGTGTTGGTGGGGAGTGGACTTAGTGGTTCTTTGATTAGGCTATTATTTACTGTTAGCTTGGTTGTCTGCATTGGTAGTTTCTTGATTGGGGTATTCTTTGCTTCTTGATTGTTGGTCTAGTGTAAATCTTGGTGTTAATCTCTGCTTATCTGATTGCTGGTGAAGAGGTGTTTTTGTTTCCTTTTTGGCTTTTTGATTGTCTCTTTTGAAGAGTATGTAGATGTGGATCTCTGTGTGTCTCTTGATGGCTAATTTGTCTGAGTGCCAGGCTTCTGGGAATTCTCTAGCATTTTGGGACGTGTCTTGGTCTAGGATGTTCACAGTTTCCCAGTTAAAACTATAGTTAAGTCTGTTAATGTGTTATGAAATTAGGAGTTTTCATCATGCTTTTTGACTGCTAACTGATGTTCCTTTTGGCCCCTGTGGCTATTGCAGTCCTTACACTGTTATATTGTAAATAATTCCTATTTTTTCTTCTGGGGTTGCTGGGTCTTTTGGTTTACTTATGATATTTTGGAGGGCTTTGGTTGGCTTGTGAGCTACAGTGATGCAATGTGGTTGCAACAGTTGGTTGGTGGTTTCTGAGATTTTTTTGATGTATGGCAGTGTTGTGCTTTTCATGGCTTGTGTTAGTTGTGCTATATTGGGTTGACGGGGTCAGTCACTTTTCGATAAAGTTGCGTGGGCATCCGTTTTGTTGCAAGACATTGCATAGGTGCTCTGCTTCCTTTTTCTGATGTTCAGGATTGCTGCAGTGTATTTGCCTTACTAGCACTGATGATGTTAGCTAGCTTGGTAATGAGATATTGGCAAGAAACAGTCAAGCTCAGTAAGCATAGATTGAAAGTGGGGGTGAACATTTAGATAAGGGGGGATATTGCCTTGTAAAATAGTGTAGAACCTTTTTCTTGTAAAACTTTTAGAGATAGGGCTATTTTTGACTTCCACAATAGTATAGCATTTTTATCTTGGAAAACATTTAGAGATGGAGTGTACTGTTGTCTTCTATAACAGTGGATTACACCCAATACTCTCAGCTCAGTTTGGGGTTCCCAGAATCAAACCAATAAAATTCAGCATATGATTTACAGTATTTCAAAGATATTAAAAACATGCTCTATATTTTGAGCATTTTCAGTTCTATTTCAAAATAGGGTAAAATACTTAAAACAAAAGAGTTAGCAGTAAAATGGATTTTGCTTTTTTAATATTTTAATGATTTTAATGGTAAAATAGCACACCTATTTACTGTTATTACTATCATATCATTGTAAGCCTAAAAGAGGCCAGAATTTCAGTCTCATTCAAAGCCAGCAACATCACAATTCCATTTTCTCCTACCCAGCAGCTCTCAATAACCAATAATAAGGTATCAAACAAAAATACAATCCCTGACTATTTTGTTTTGTTTTAATTAGAGTTACAGAAATAGGCCAAAAATTTTCCCTGTCCTGATTGTAATGTCACTCTGGCACCACTTGACAGCTCCCAGGATCTTCTTAAGACTGAAAAGTATAGTCCTCAGTAAAAGTATGACTTGCCCTGTTTTACAGCTATCTTTCATTTCAACCATCAAGGACTATGAGCCATTTGATCTGGTGGGTTTTCTAGTCCAGCGCATCAACTTAGGAGGCCTCCAAATCATGTGTCGTCATAATTCCATGTCAATTGACCAGGGATAACTGGAGTTGAAGTCCATCTCAGATGCTGCAGATGGAGAAGACTGCCTTTAATGCTATATGTTTAATTGAATTGGGTCCAACAAATATAGCCTTTACTGAAATAACAATAGAAGCAACATATTTAAACATCTAGGACATTTAAGTCATAGGCAAGTGACAGAGGAATGTACACCAAAGCTTAAAGCAATATTATATAAATAAGTATTAATATTATTAATACTTATAATTATTAAAAACTTTAAAATATTTTCATTTGACATGCTTATTTTAATTAATATCACAAAAGGTGATATGGGAAACAGCATTTCTTAAGACGTTTATCAGGGATTCTAAAGTGAGGTGGGCCTGATAGCACTTTCTAGGAAAGCTGGTTTGTTTTATTTTTTTTTCTTACAGTGTCCAATAAATGAAGTGTATTCTGTAAATCGTGTTTTTTTCTTGATAGGTTTACGTTATGACCTGGTTAGTGCCCAGCATCAATTGTATAGCTTCTCAGAACAACATCTAGAATCAATTGCAGCTTATATATGGATTTGGAAAATAGACAAAAAGATAAAATAATATTAGAGCATTGCAACTTTCCAGAACACTTCCTTATAAATCTCAAAGTAACCATCTTGGAAAAAAATAGTTGCCAGCAGAATTGAGTGAGAGGTTATTAAATTCATATACATCAAAAAGGTCTCAACAAACGCAATGATTTTAAATCAATTATAGTTGATAATTGAAATGTCTCCTATCTAACTTGTGTTTGCATAATCATTCTGTCTTCCTCATCCTTTCCCCCCTTCCACCTCATCCTAATTTCAATCCTACAACAATTCAGCCCCTTGATGCATGTGATGAAATGAACTGTTCTTAGGAAAGCTTATATCTTTTCATAAAATTTATTGCAGTCAGACTCCTGATTTTTTAATAGTAGACAGTAGTTAGCAGACAGATCCTTGGGACAAATAGTCTATGATGAAAGAAGAGTTGAAAACAAACAAATATTGTTTTATACTTAAATTCTTAACTTCTTTTATTAAGTAGTCTGAAAATATTAAGGGTGAAATATATGGAATATAAATTATTTATATATGCTGATGTTAGTATGACTATTCCTGATAATTATGTGATGTCATTACCTATGTTTATTGAAGTCATATACAATATATTTTTTCCCTCTGGTTATACTAATAATTGGAATATATCTGATTTGCTGCCTTTGGGATCTACTATGCCTCTAGATTATTCTAAAACATTAGAATTTACAATTCATATAATTTCACACAATACTTGGATTTATATCTTTTTTTAAAATACATCCCAGTACTGTGTCTTGAACTGAATATATCTAAATATATAGATACAGTTTCTGTTGATGGTTAAAACCATTACATTAAGTCTTTGAGGCAAGATTGCCCTGAAATAAATATTACATTGAAATTAATATATATTTTAAGAAGGACTTCGCTGTTAATACTAATAGATATTTTATGCAGAGAAGATAATAAAAACATTTTGTTATGGATGGCTAAAGCTTTATGACTACCATTAGCCAAACTGAGGTTATAATAACAGCTGCTTCAAACTTCCAGATTTCCAATTATACTCTATCAATTGGCTTTTGTTTAAATATCTTTACTTTTTTGAATGAGTGTTTTTATGATTATTCCTCTCTTTGGGCCTGTTTTGAGCACCAGCATATAACATTAATGAAATCTTGGCATGTTTTGGGGTCCAGGTGTTATGAACAAGGATATTGGTCTTTTAGCTTTGAAAGCTAAAGCATTTGGTCATTAATAAATAAACAATTAAGTTCTTATTTCAAATCACATGATAAATTGATGTTATGGAATAACTCACATTTGAAAATATAGGGAGATATACTTCATTGTGATGCTTGGGCCAAACAAAGAATCAAGACTAAATCAGGTGGCTCCTAATGTTTTTAAAGACTTTGAGAGATAGCATGTTGCATATGACTAACCTCTAACATTTGTTTGGAATGTATACAATTGAAATATGTATTAATGAAAGAATATGGCAACCACTAAAGTGTCTGCAATTTTGGGATTCTTAAGTGATGCACAACTTGGAAACTAACAACTCAATTTAATAAGTAATAAAAGAGTAAATTGAAAATATTAGCAATATATCTGAAGAATTGTCATGAAGAATGTGGTCCCATCTAGCTTGGGACATGGCAAAGATGATAGCTTTATATAACTTTTAAAAAGTACTTAAAATTTCTGATTTTAAGGAATGGATCAAGGATACATGTTTCCTATCTATTTTTGTTAAATCTTTGGATTCTGAAAATGATGATTCAATGTGTTTATATATGCTCTAGATATAATGGTAAGTTGATGTTCAAATTAATTTTATATTGCTATCTATAGTTATATGGATGTTTTGTTAGTATTTTGTAACAGTAACTGTAGTTTATTTTAATCATTCTCTCTCTCTCTCCCTCCCTCCCTCCTTCCCTCTCTCCCTCTCCCTAATGTACCTCAAAGGGTTGCTGTTGTGGGGAAAGAGTATTAGATATGTTTGCCACTTTAAGTTATTTATAAAAATATTAAAGGTAGGATACAAATTAAATAAACAAGAACTACAACTACACAATATTTTAACTGCCATGGCCCCTTGGAAATGTAATGCCAATGTTTATCTTCCTTCTTTCCTTCCTTTCTTTCACCTCCTTAGTCTTTTCCTTCTTCCCTCCTTCCCTCCCTCTCTCCCATTGTCCCTTCTTTCTTTCCTTCCTTTCCTTCACCTCCTTCTTAGTCTCTTCCCTCCCTTTCTCCCATTGTCCCTTCCTTCCTTCTTTCCTTCCTTTCCTTCACCTCCTTCTTAGTCTCTTCCTCCTTCCCTCCCTCTTTCCCATTGTCCCTTCCTTCCTTCTTTCCTTCCTTTCACCTCCCTTAGTCTCGTCCTCCTTCCCTCCCTCTTTCCCATTGTCCCTTCCTTCTTTCCTTCCTTTCCTTCACCTCCTTCTTAGTCTCTTCCTCCTTCCCTCCCTCTCTCCCATTGTCCCTTCCTTCTTTCCTTCCTTTCCTTCCCCTCCCTCATAGTTCCTTCCTTCCTTCCTTCCTTCCCTTTTTGTCCTTTCCTTCCCTCCCTTCCATTGTTCCTTCCTTCCTTCCTTCCTTCCCTCTCTCATTGTCCCTTACTTCCCTCCCTCTTCATCCCTTCCTTCCTCTCCCCTCCGTGCCCAGGAAGGGACAAGGGGAGGGGGACAGGCTGCCAGAGGCAGAGGAGAGCTCCGTCCAGCTCACTTGCTCAGCTTCACCATGCTGCTTGCTAAGTTAGCAGAAGCCCCAGGATCAGCTCCGGGCTGCAGCTGATTCGCGCTTCTGCTAAATTAGCAAGCGGCATGTTTTCTAGCAAAGCTCAAGCAAGTTTGCTGGGCAGGAGCCAAGGAGAGCTGCCACAGCTGACCTGCTTCTTGGCTGCTCTGCAAAAGCACAGATCAGCTGTGGAGGTTTGCCCCGATCCTATACAAGAGGGAAGGAAGGAAGAACGGAAGGGACAAAGGGAAAGAGGGAGGAAAGGAGGGACAAAGAGGGAAGTGAAGGAAAGAAAGGAAAGAAGGAAGGAAGGGACAAGGGGAGAGAGGGAGGGAAGGAGGGACAAAGAAGGAGTGAAGGAAAGGAAGGAAGGGACAATGGGAGAGGGAGGGAAGGAGGAAGAGACCAAGAGGGAGGGAAGAAAAGGAAGTTCCAGCCAGCAGAGGCTTGGCAGCCCGGCTGCCGAGGAACAGAAAAGCGCAAAGCCAAGGAGAAGAAGGTGCGGTTTCCTCCCAAAGGGGGCTCCTTTTCTCCACCCCTTCCCTGGGTTTGTGGGGAATTTCTCATCACCAACACTGACAGGTGCTCCTTCGAGCCTGCGCGAGTTTTCTCGCCCCCTTTGCTTCTCCCCTCCCTCCCCCGCTTTTGTGAGGATTGTGGCACCCTTGGTAAGCCAATCATGCTTTGAAGCTTAGGAGAGAAGGAGGAGTCCCTTCCTCCTTCCCTCCCTCTCTCCCTGTCAAGCCCCGGCGGGCTCGACATGAACGGGCGGAGGAGTCAAGGATGGGCGGGGTGGCAAAGGAGACCAGCAGCCATCGCCAGACCTCCTGGCTGACAAGCACAAGTTTGGGGGTTGTCAGCTGAAGGGCGCAGGAGTTGGGTGCTGCAGCGGCCTCCCCTTCGCTGACCTGTGTGCACGAGAAGAAGTCAAATTGGTTGCTGCACAATGAGTCTCTGGGAAGGGCGGGGCCTTACTCTTCATGCGCCCCCTGCAGGACACATTTGGTAGAGCTCGTGCAGACTGCTGCCAAGCAGCATATTTTCCATAAACAAGTGAGGTGGAGCAGAGAGGGGAGAGGGAGAGAAGGCAATTGACAAGCCCTGCCTAAGACCATCGGAAATATGTGTTTTCCAATGGTCTTAGGCGACCCCTGTGAAAGGCTTGTGCGACCCCCAAAAGGGTCACGACCCACAGGTTGAGAACCGCTGATCTAGAGCATATATAATCACATTGAATCATCATTTTCAGAATCCAAAGATTTAACAAAAATGACAAAGTACTGATTATATTTCCCACTTAGAGTTGAATCTTCTCTGATGGATTTGTCAAAGTAGCCTCAACTGTTTACTCATTTGTTATCCAGTTTGAATGTATCTTTTTTTAAACAAGTTTTATTAATTTTCCAATTTTACAAAAATCCAAATATTAAGGAAGCAGTGTGGTGATTGGGTAATCAATAGTCCAATAACAAAATCTTTTATACATGTCTCAGGTTACATCATCAAGAATTCCATCTCTATTTCCCTTGATTATTATGTCACATTCAAATTAACAGATTGCTAATTATAACTCGATCACTTAAGAAAGTTATGAATATATTTTAATTTGTACATATCTGTATCCTGTTTTAAAATTTTACTTAATTTCAGTTACAGTGTTCCAAGTTAGCTTAACATTCATAGTAGCTAGATTTAGGGTAACCCAAATTTCCCTTATTTCATTACAAAATAATTGTCATATCTAAAATACACATATTGTTTACTTAAATGGATTCTTACTTTATTATACAAATATATTCTATTTCTCATCCTAGTACCTCATCACTTACTAATAACGTATCCTTTATTGTCTCAATCCAACTTCCATATTATAATTCAAAATTATTATTCTAATGGCGATTTTTTATTTCCCTTGTAAATCTAAGTCCTAAATGTTAACTCAGTTAATATCTTTTAAAATCTCCTTAGCCCATTAAGTAAGATTTTAAGCTCTTCCATTATAAGTCAAAAAATCCCATTTTTAAAATCTGACTCTAGCTTTCTTTTTGTGCCAAGCAGGCTTCCATGCCAGTACCTTTAAATCCTCAGGTGGGCCTCCCTTCATTCCTACACATGTTATTTGAATCAAGGGAGACCATCCAGTTATCAGTTTTTCAAAGGAACTGGCCCTTTTGTAATCATTGGATCATTGGCCTAATAGTTCAAATCTCCATGTTTGGTTTAGTATATTTGTCATCAGCTCGGTCTGGTCTTCTTCCGGTTTCATCTGGCTTAAGTAAGAAGTTATGTCCAATGTTGTGATTGTTGTTTGATTGTCTAGGTTGTCTAGGTTCTCAATATGCTGTGCTTGTTGATCTTCAGCACCCTCCATCTTAGTGTTGCTTTCTTCAGTTTCTGTTGTTTTTTGAATTGCAGATTTTTTAGTTGAAATCAAGGTTTGATTATCAAAGTTCTCAGTAGATTGTATTTGGTGCACTTTAAAGTCCACTTTGATATTAATTTCTTCCTCTTCTGTTGCTTTTTGGATTGTAAGTTCATCAGTTGAAATCTGGGCTTCATTTTGTAAGTTTAGGGTGGTACCTTTAGGGTGGTACCTTTCAATCTGGAATTTATTAACTCAGTAGCTTCAAGGATTTTTTTCCAGTATAAGTTTATAGTTACGTTGTGGGTAGTATTCCTTCATTTCTATGGTGTTTACAGATAGTCTTTTAGTGGAGACTATTTTTGATAAAAGTCAGTGAATGTCCGCCTCCACTATTCCTAGAAGTTGTTTTCACCACACAGCTATTTCAAGTTCTTATCTTTTTTAGATAGTGCCAAGGACAAATCTAGGCAGTTAGCAGGTCTCGCAGTTAAATAAATTCACTTGCTATACCAGGCTTCACCACAAGATATCCCCTATAGCATGTAAAGTCTTATTCCAAACTCAAGTTAGGCTTTTATCCAGTTTAATTTTTTTCCCAACTTAACAAGTAGATAAGGTAATAGGTCCTCATAGAAATGGGAACTTTTTGGGACCCCAAATATCCAGAAAGTGCAAGTCCAGTTTTTTAGTTGTTTAGTTTAGTTGTTCTTTTCTTTTATTTTCTTTTCAAAGCTTTAATTTCCCAAGTAGGCAGACGCCGCCATGTTAAAGGGAGGGAAGAAATATCAAAAGGCTTTTACAGGAAGGTAGTTGGGGTACAAGAAAGGTAAGGTAAGGTCCCACCCAATTCCTCCGCGGTGCTTTCGTTGTGCTTGGTGGTGATTTTGGCTTTCGGCTGGTACGGCTTAGTGATCGGCCATGTTAATGGCTGATCTTTTCTCCGTTGGTCCAAGGGAGCTGCCTTGGATCAAATGGAAGGGCTGTTGCCCTTCTGCGATCTGCCAAGGGTCCTCCTTGCAGGCGTCACCTCTTCAGGGTGACTTTTGACCTTTTTAGGGTCTCCCGATGAAGGAAAACCAGACAGTGGAGACAGCGCTCTATCTGATTGTCCGCCGGTGCTGCGATTGCAAACTGGAAGCCCAGTTTGAATGTATCTTAACTGGGGGAGTAGGTGGGTGGAAAGAGCCTAATCTAATACCTCATTTTTTCATTTCTTCCTTGTTTTTAAAGGGCTCTGAAGGTGTGCAAGGGCCCAGAGGACAGCCTGGGGAAGCTGTGAGTATCTGTCTACCTACCAGGAATAAATACATTGGGTTTTTTGAGATGGCATCAAACTAAGCCATTTTAATGGGGGAGTAACAGGGGTATGGCTCTCATGCCTTTTTTCTTCAATGGAACCAAGTTTCTGGCAAGCATGTTTCATTGAACAATGTTCCTCAAAGTCTTCTACTATAACCATATTTTCTCCTAGGGTGTACGTGGTTTGCCAGGCTCGCGAGGTAATCCTGGTTCTCATGGCCAGCCGGTATGAATTTCCTTCCCTGTCCCCTTTTATTCAAAAGAAGATTTGAGCAGGGATTGAGCAGGCAATTGCTTCAATGAATGGGAAGAATTTCAACAGGAAAAATGTGTATAAGTCTTAAATTCTGTTAACGTTTTGAAATTTAACCTGAACATAAGATTTTGAGCACTACTTTTGAGCACTATTTAGTTTTTGAATTTACAATTAGGTTTTGAGTTATTTTTATGATATTGCAGTGTGTAATGGTGAAAGCCCAGAACAGATATATTGTCTGGGTCCATATGTTACACTAAGATATATTTTCGTTGAACCATTGTTGGTTGGATTCATACACATTGGTAAGCCACAATCCATGGTTTACAAATTATTAGCTGGTTTTGCATATCATACAAAAAAAGAACCTAAAGAAATCATATGAGTTAGAATCATCATCACATTAAACTATACTTTGTTTCATTTTTATGTTAATGTTCTAGTTTATTTATTGAATAAGTGACAAATTCCTGAATTTGCATAGTACTCAAAGCTAATGCCAAGTGCACACATTTAATTTAATCCAAGAAGTGAACCTACATGTCTGATCTTTCAGTAATAGTATATTAAGAGTATGTGGCAGACTCTTTCTCATCCTTATTTTCCTCTCTTTCATATTAAGATGTTTAACATTTTAACCATGCTGTAAAAAAAAATATCTGAATAAGTATCAATCACAATTTGCCAAGTTCAACATCACCTGTTTATTTAGTTTGCACGTTTTGCCCTTAAATATAATCTCAGTGGAGCCATAACATGTGTCATTAAGGTAAAGCATGGAAGAGAGAAAATTATGAAAAAATGTTCCTAAAGTCAGAACTAGATTAGGAGATAGAAAACATTAATGACTAAGAGACACAGAAGTGAATTTGCTAAAGTAGATGAATGTTCTTTGTCATCCATTTCTATCTATCCCATCATATTTTCCAAAATAGACACAGAATAATTAGGGTTAGAATTTTAGTTTTCCAATTTGGACTTGAAAAATAGTTTCATTTTATATTATTCTGAACAAAAATCTCCCTTTAATTTTCATGATCTTGTTGTTTACCTCTCATAGGGTATCACTGGTATTGATGGTGCTCCTGGGCCTAAAGGCAACATGGTAGGTAAGCACAGGGAATGAGGACTTTCCTTGTATATGGTAAAAGGGTTGTTTGCATTTAGCAGAGAGATATGAATAACAAATGAGATTTAGGGAGTTGAACATTATTAAGTTATAAGGTCAGAAATGGCTGAGTACATGCGGTTAGAAGGCTGAAGGTCTCATACCTCAATCCTTGCCATCTTGTGTCTTCAGATCTTGCCTCTGTTTTAGGTCAAAGTTTTGGTATTTCCTGTTGTCACTATCTATCTTCTGGGGGGGGGGGGAATTATCTGACACCCTTCTCTTCAACCTAGTGCAGGGATAGGCAACCTTGGCTCCTTTATGACTTCAACTCCCAGAATTCTGGAAGTCCACGAGTCATAAAAGAGCCAAGGTTGCCTACCCCTGACCTAGTGTATAAGAGATATAGGGTTCTCTTATTCTGTATTGTCTTTCTGATATCTAAAAGATATAAAGTACAAAAAATAGAGGTTTTAGCCTTTCTTCCACCTGCCCATGGGAGATTAACCAATGTTATAGGACTTAAATAAAAAAATAAAAATAAAAATTGAAGTAAAATGTAATAACAAATATTCTCTTTTGAACTTTAAGATTGAAACTATAGATATCTGTGATGCAGGAAATATATACTGCTTTCTTAAAAAATAGAGTATACAAGACAAGACAGTACTCCAGGCAAATGACAAGATGGTGTTGGTTTTCTACAAATCAAGGTGTTTTTTTTTTTTTGTCAAAAAGTTATTGATCCAGAAAACCTATGAAATAAAGACTTCAAAGAAGCAAATTTGAATAGTGCCTCAACTATGAATGAAGGCTAAATTGAAGACAATTGTTTAGCTTGTACAGAGAAACAAAATCATTAAATTTGGTGTAATACTACAGTGAAAAAAGAAAAGAACAATTTAATGCAAAAATAAGCAAAAACAATTGAGTGTGCTTATTTCTACAGAAATAGCCATTTCTTGAAACAAAATGCCTTTTTTGTAGTCTGCCAAATTTGAATCTGAGGCTGGTGGGCGATGATATCAGCCCTTTCTACTCTCTGCTTTGGTTCATTTACCATCAGGCCTGCCTAAAACTTTTAAAACACTAATAAAGAGCACATTTCCTCAAAAATATAGGACGAGCAATTAAGCCTATCTAGCAAGCAAGGATGATGTATTCACAATATAAGAGAATATATGTTGTCAGAGTTGAATTGTGGAGTCCTTGGTGCTCTCTGAGCATAGCTGTTTGCTTGCAGATGTTTTATTACCCAACTAAGTAACATCATCAGTGAATTCACAGTATATAAATATTAAACACAAACTAGTATCCACTTTGATTTCCTGCTGTAATACTTTATATTGATCCAATCTACATACTACTAAATCTCTCATGCCTATAACCTTTAACTGGGGGGAGGGCAAAGCCACGTACCATAGAGGCAATCATATTTGAACCAAGACATCTCAAATGGGCCAGCATACAGAATGCATCCAAAACCCATGACCCCTGGCTCCTGTTGGAATGAAAATTGGCAAATTAGAGGTGGCAACGCTGCCACATCACCCCCAAAGGTTAAGTAAAGTGGTCCTGACCTAGCCCTCCAGAGGTCAAGTAGACTGGAAGGCAGTCGGCCATGGTCAGGTCTATAGGAAATAGGAAGTTGGTCCTACTCCCACTGCTTTTTTTATCTTTGGTCATTCTGTTTCTGTTTACATAAAGAAATATCTCTGAAATAATGACCCGACAGGTCACAGGTTGCCTAGTTCAATCTAAGAATCTTCTGAGAAGATTCTTCTAGAGCAGAACCTGAGAATATATCAATCTTCACACCAGCCATTGAAGTTTGATTTAGTAGACTAATTTTAAAGGGGACAAGATATAACATAAATGGAGTTCCAGTCTGGCTAGAATGTTACTGTCCTGATCGAAATGCTATTTTTTTTAAAATAAATTACTTTAATTGAAGAATACAGCTCATCCTATTTTCTTTTACAGTATATATGTGCATCTTGTAGAAATATGAGGGAAGTGGCTATATTCATAAACAGTGGAAATGTGATATGTATATAGGGTGGATTTTTTTAAAAAAAAATAAGCATGGCAGTTTAATTTATGAAGAAAAAAAGATATAATTTAAATACTCCATGTTTTAATCTGGAAAATTATATGTTTCCAAATATTACTAGCATAAAATAGTCTTCAATTAAATAGAATTTTTGTAAAGCCATATTTTGCTCATATCATCCAATTCTTTTCCAATGCAAAACAAGGTCTACTTAAAATCAAGGCAACCAGTTTTGTAAATCTGGGTTTCTCTTTTGTCTTCAGTGTCCTTGGAAGGAAGGACATTTTTAAGTACTGTCATTTGTTCTGAAGATGAAGTTATATTTGTTCCTTCAGCAATTTAAATCTTTTGCTGGATTTGCCATGTGACCAGAATATTTGATCTTTTACTCCCTTTTATTTTAACCAAAGGAAAGTAGAAATAAAAAAATATGGTAAAGAAAAATTAAAAATGCAGTAGATTGTAATAAGCATACATGTTTTTGAAATATCCTAAAAACAATATATTTCTAAACTTTAGGCCTGTGCTAAGCACATCTGGTTTTGTTTCTTATATTTATTTGTTCAGTGCAACAAAATACAGGGAAGAAATTATGTAAAGGGTCTCAAGAGTCTGTTAGTATGTCTATCTTTCTATTATTAGGACCCAGAACAGATTCAAAAAGGACTAAATTTTGTGTGCTAGGAAAACCAATCAAAGAACATTTGAATTGAACAATGGATTAAACTGGGGCTGGGATGGGGATATCTAATATATCCTTATGGGAGGGGCAGTTGGCCAGCAGTTTGGAATGCTGCCAGTTCCCCATTCTAAACTTGATGGTGAAGCCCAACAATTAGTGAGATAGAATGAAAAATGTTAATGCTTTTTCAATTATACTCTTCTATACTGAATCATGAACAATAGTTTCCCACAACAAATAGATATGTGCAGTCTATATTCGCATAGGGTTTGTTTGCTTACTTACAATAAAATGTTTACACCATGATTCTCAGCCAAACTTTTAATCCTAAGAAACGTACTGCAAACAAACCCTAGTCCTCAATGAAGAATTAAGAAGTAAGACACAATACCCTAGCATCAGAGCATTGGTTTCCCAAAAGCTTTAGAAACTGGATCTTGACCTTCTCCAGATGTTTCATTCTTCAAGTCTCTGCCCTCTCCACCTTAGTAATTTTACTCATTGTGTCACAGCTGTTGTTGTCCCTTCCATTATGACATATGTAAGTATGTATATGCACTGAACATTGGCTGACTTTAGGGTTCTCTGTCTTCAGGGCATTCCAGGTAAACCAGGCCCATCTGGGCAACAAGGAAACCCTGGATCTCACGTGTGTATTTTCTTTGCATGTACATGTGGAAGGCTGGGATGTAGAGGGTGGGGATAAACATGAGCAGGTCATTTGCTGGCGAGTCTGTTAAAAAAAACAGGGAGGAGAGTATTATATGCATGATGAAGATTTTTGTTACTTTAGTGAAATGTGCGGGTTAACCTTTTTTTTCAATCATTATTATATTGTTAATATTCTCCAATCTCCATGTGGGCTATTATTAACCCCAGGAGGACAGTTCCCACAAGTGTCTAATTTGACTGTGAAGTTTATTATCAACTGGGTTCATAGGGTGAGGACAGGTACAATATAAAAACAGTTCGGAAAATATTAAAGTGCTAACTTCATCCGACTGTGGTAGGGAGGCAGATCAGCACATTGAATAGTCATGTTACTTGTTTCATCTGTATCAATGCAGGGTAAAGTGCACCTAGTTAATTTTAATTATATCATCAAAATAGACCATATTTCTGTGTTTGATCATCAACCTTAACATGGAAACTTTAAAAAAAATGAGCATTAAGAGAGAGGCTTGTGCTGTGCAGTTCTTTGAAGATATGCTTCACTTTCTTGATAATAGAAGTGAAACACTCCCTCAAAATTGCCCAAAGAAGCAATATCGCTCACTTGCATCTAAGAACAAATGAAGTAGCCATGTTGTCTTCTCTTGCTGTCCTTCAGAACCCATTTCTGCCATCTACAGAACTCATCCAATGGGAGAACGCTAAAAGAAGTCTTCTTCAAAAAACTAAAAGAAATGGCTAAGGAGCTTTCTTGTACTATCTACTTCTTCTACGAAGTGCTTCTGAGCTAGATACCTTCAGTAAATGCTATAGGAATGTCTAGCTTGGAATGTCCTTGGTGTACAGATGGTCTTCACTTAATGATGGCATTTAACAACTGGGACCAGCAATTCCATCACTAAGCAACACGATCGTAAAGCATGACATTACATGACTGCACCAACTTAACAACAGCAGTTCAATAACTAGGCATATTCCACGTTTATTAAACACAGTGTCACTTGGTTGCCTTTTGCAACTTCTTGGCAGTGTACCCAGTGATTTTGCTTGTCAGAAGCCAGTGATGAAGATCTCAAGTGCTGTTCATTTGACCACAGGATGCTGCAACATCATAACTGCAAGCCAAGTACCTGATGTGGCTATGGAAGCACTGTGACAGTTACAACTGTAAGGAACCATTGTAAGACTCCTCATTCAATCCCATCAAAACTTTGAATGGCACTGAATGAGGATGGCCTATATGCAAAAGGACTTCTGGATTGGCTAGGTTTGAGGAAATTTCAGGCAGTCCTAAAGGATTTACTCTGGGTCACTTGCCAAAAACTTTCGTTCGTGGTTTAGAGAAGGCAAGCAGCATATTTTCTGCGGCACTCATCAGAGGAGACAAATAATTTGTCTCCTGTGGTAAATGCTATGTAGCAGGCATCACTTAGGTTCTTCAGAATATTTAGTGAAAATTTGCATAGTACAAATCTCCAGATCTGCATCACACACCAGAAGTAGGCAACTGAATTCACTCAGCATGCCCATAATATTTTGTCTAAAAAGTTCTGGATAGTTTCTGCACATGCTGCAGGCAATCCAGAAAAGATGGCTGAAAGTAACTTTATCTTTTTTTCTAGTATAAATTGATTTGAGACAACCAAATTGCTATAGCAAAGTGATTACATTGCCTCTGCAGTGAAAACTATTTCATCAGAGAAAGAAACTAATCAATGCTCTGCAAATGTATGCACAAAATGTGGTGGTGTATGTGTGTGTGCCATTAAGAATTTACCTTTTCAGGGAAATAGATATATTGGAACTGAAAGGACATTTCCAAGATAGTCCCAGGGCTCTGAAAATAGTAACTATGCCTTATCCAGAGAAATGATGATGGTGATGATGATGATGATAATTCTTGTAAATTGTTACATTTCTCCACTCTGGTTGGTTTTTCTTCCCTAGGGTTTGCCCGGTCCTCAGGGCCCCATTGGGCTTCCAGGAGAAAAGGTGAGATGGAATTAGGGAGTGTCTAACTGAGTGGAAGAATTAGAACTAGGCTGAAAATTTCAATTTTCAAGGTAGTTATAGCAGCGGGCATCAAAGTTCTACCACTGGGATCTAACGCAAAAGACTGCTGTGCACAGAAATTTGTTTTAACCACCAAGATCAATGTGATTTTGTAGCACTTCCACCTAATAATCCTCCAAGATTTCTTTATTTCAGCCGTGTAATATATGGCGGGAGAGGATTACATTTTGTTGCTGATTTTGTTTCTGTAGTTTGGAAGAAAAAGTCCAGCTTAAATCTGGTACAAATTCCTCAGAAGTCTGCCAGTGGCTCCCAATCTGCACTCCTACTCTGTCAGCATATCTTTAGTCACGTATTTGACAGGAGATATGAGAACAGATAGAACTATATCAGGCAATCCATTGTCACAAATCAGATTGTCCTACCCAGCTTTCTGATCATCTCCCCGCACTTTCTTTTCACAGGGTCCACCAGGAAAACCAGGAATACCAGGATTGGCTGGAATGGATGGACCTCCGGTAAATGACAACATTATTAAAATCTTCATGAACATGGTACTCAAAGATGAAACCAGGCCATTTTTGTATATTTTACTATATATAGACAATACATTAATATCTGAGGAAGAGGCGAATGATGTAAACATATAGAGATCTACACTTGGAATGCTACATTATGCCCAGAAGAAAATGTAGCTCCGTGCCTTTTCTATTGACCCAATATACTTTCCCTGTGCAACTGCTTCATTGTGGTGAAGTACCTTTAAGCAAGCATTCATAATACAGTTACTTCACAAGACTGTCTCTTCTATTGCTTTACAGGGGCACCCTGGAAGAGAAGGGCCAGCTGGAGAGAAAGGAGCTCAGGTAAAAAGAAAGAAAAAAGCCTGCATCTGATAGGCAGAATTAAAGCTTGCTATAGAGGCATCTAAAATATATAGTCTAGAAAAGAGAGGTTTTTTTCCAGTCTCTCATCTTCTTCCCGATGCAAAAAAAAATCCAAATCTTCAGAAACAGGTGGATTTAGGGACTTTAAGACTGTAGCAAGGGTGGGAAGGAAGGCTGCCTGACAGACCTGTTTTAAATGTCTTTCTCCTTCAGGGTCCATCTGGTGCAGCAGGGCCAGTTGGTTATCCAGGTCCACGAGGAGTCAAGGTAAAGAGATACCATTTTTCATCATCTTTCACAAATAAACTTTGGACTGAAATTTCTTCTCTCTCTCTCTCTCTCTCTCTCTCCCTCCCTCCCTCCCTCCCTCCCCCCTCTCTCTTTCTTCTCTCTCTCTCTCTCTCTCTCTCTCTCTCTCTCTCTTTCCTCTTTCTCTCTCCCCCTCTCTTTCCTCTCTCTTTCTTTCCCTCCCTCACTCTTTCTTTCTTTCTCTCTCCTTCTCTTTCCTCTTTCTCTCTCCTTCTCTTTCCTCTTTCTCTCTCTCTCTCTCTCTCCCTCTCTCCAGCCTCCCTTTATTGCCAGTCTATTTTTAATTATTTATATATCCATGAAATCAATATACATAGCTATCTAGTTGACCTGGCCAGGGTGGAGTACAAAATTAGAAACAGTAAATAACAACAACTACAAGAATACAGTAAAATATAGTAAAATACATTGCACCAAAGGCTATGTCAAACAAAGAAACAATCAAGATGGGGTACAAAATCTTCCAATTCTGTCCCAGGGGAAGAAAAATGGGTACCGTATATGCCGGCGTATTAGGCGACCCGGCGTATAAGACAACCCCCGTCTTTGGCACCGAGTTTAGCGCTTCCAGAAGTCGTCTTATATGCCAGAATATACGGTATTTGGAAAGTATCTGAAAAGAAGGGAGGATCAGGCCACCTGGATCTCAAGGGGATGGTATTCCATAGGCATAGTGACAGAAAAAGGATGTCTCCTGCGTCCTTCTAGAGGATACTAGTTAAGTGAGAGGACTTGGAGCTCCATGGGACCTAAAGCCCCAACACATGCGCCATTCTTGTCAGATATTATCAGAGAGCAAAAAAAATTGAAGACAGTCCCAAAGACTCTGTTTCACTAAGGAGTTTGTAGATAACAACCAGCATCTTGAATTGTACCTGGAAGACTACTGGTAACTAACATAGCTTGCAAATACTATACTTGTGATGTTACATGGATGCACTGAGGTGTGCTCATAACTACTTATGCATTTGCATTTTTTGAGTGGCTTTCAAGGGCAGCTGCATGTAGATATACAGTAATACAGTAGTCCATACATGAGATGATCAAAGTATAAATCACTGTGAGTAGAGTCTCCTAATTCATAAATGGGCATAATTACTGCACAAGATGAATTCATGCAAAAACCCTCCAAGCCAGGGTTGCTATCTGCTCTTAACATAAATGTCTATAGTGATTGTCAGTCATCCAGATCATGGTTGTTCCAAAGGTGCTTTTTTTCAAAAGGCAACTGGACTTTGTTTTTCCTTGAAGATGTTTTGCTTCTTATCCAAAAAGCTTGAACTGAAAATGCTTCTTGAATGAGAAATAAAATGTCTTCAGGGAAAAACCAAGTCCAGTTGCCTTTTGAAAAAAGCATCTCTGGAATGCTCTTAACATACCATCCGTGAGTCTAGGAGGGCCCCTAAACTGAGCAGAAACCCTGTTTGAGCTAGTGCAATCCCATCCAGAACCAAAGATGGATACTCTCACAATCCAGGTAAAATCCACACATTTGGTCTAGCTAAAGTTTGGTTTGAGCCTGTTCTCCTCCATCTAGACCTCCCCAACCCCCAGGCCTTGAAACAGAATCTCAATGGCATTGCTCAGCCAGCTGAGGTTTGAGTTGTAGTATGATATCCAACCCTATGCTAATGGATGACTTAAGTGAGCAACCTCCAGTAGAAGCCAAGCAGAGGCAAGAACACCCAAAGGAGGTGATCTAAAAGTCAGATGATGGCTGCAGCCATGCAGTCAAAGCTTGCCTTGTCCTAAAAGTTGAATGCTTTTCTTCACAGCAAAGAACTGGACTGTCAAGCTTCAGAATTTAATAGTCACCGCTTGGACCTACCTTTGTGTGTGTAGACATTCACAGCATGTAGCTTCTTGCCTGAAATCAAGGCTTCTATGTCAAAATAAATGTTTAAAGTTGGTTTCTATTAAAAAAAGTACCATATCATTGTTTTCCTTTTCCATAGGGGGCCTTTGGAATAAGGGGCCTCAAAGGCAGCAAAGGTGAGAAGGTATGTCTCTGAGGAGAGTACAAGGTAATATCAGAGAATGGGTTCCACAGATTTCATCAAATTTAAGAGAGCATTTCACTGCTCCTGCTTTCTCTGTGTTGTTAACATGCTATTCTAGAACAGATCATGAACATTTAACTGGAGTAAGTGGAACAGGTATTACATCTTTTGGCCTTCTTCCAATGCAGAAATTGTGGCATGCACTTGATCTGAGTATTGAGGTTCCATTTGGGTATAAAGCCTTAAAAAGTAATTCTTTTGAATTTTTATGTTAGTTTCTAGACTGCAACAAATTAAAATTTAGAGTTGGGCAATACGGTAACTCTGTTAGGATCAATTCACCCACACATCTTGATACGATACGATACGATACGATACAACACGACACGACACGACACGAAACAATACAATACAATACAGACCAATATCTGTAACTCAGGTGTAGGATGAGGGTGAATGTTCATTCTCCAAGCTTGTGGGTTGGTTTCTGAACATTTTGTTACCAGGCTAGGTAACATCTTCAGTGGCGCTTAGGGGATGTTAGTGTCAGTGTTCTGTTTATAAGGGCTTCAGGTTTGGGTGTGTCAAGTGAAGGTAATGGCTCAAGTATGAGTCATCAGTGAGAGACTTGTGATGGGTCTTGTGATGGAGTGGTTACATCAGATCAGGGTATTTGGGAGGTGAACTGCTGAGAGGGGCTTGCGTGGTTGAGAGTCAATGTTGTCTCTGGCTGGCTGTGCGATTGATTTGGATTCTGAGGGGTTTGTAGGCTGGCTGTAGGCCGATGTATCTGTTGGTGGAATTGCTTGTGGAGTGCCAGGCTTCGATGAACTCACAAGTGGGGTGGATGGTAGTGTGGTCGATGATTATAGTGTTGCTCTAATCGGTGTTGTTTGGTGTTGGTGTCGGTAGAAATTAAGGATCTGAGATCGTGACATTTCACTGGTTGGCAGTGGTACTTAGCCTGGTAACAAAACATTTGGAAACTAACCCACAAGCTCAGAAAACAAACCTTCACCCTCAAATACATACATACATACATACCCTCAAAGGAGCAGAAAAATATTCTGGTTATCAGCCAGAGATGATATAGAATAGAATAGAATAGAATAGAATAGAATAGAATAGAATAGAATAGAATAGAATAGAATAGAATAGAATAGAATAGAATAGAATAGAGCTGGAAGGGACCTTGGAGGTCTTCTAGTCCAGCTCCCTGCTCAAGCAGGAGAACCTATACCATCTCAGACAGGTGATTGTCTAGCCTCTTCTTAAAAACCTCCAGGGATGGAGCTCCCACAATTTCTGAAGTCAAGCTGTTCCACTGGTTAATTGTCCTCATTGTCAGGAAGTTTCTCCTCAATTCTAGGTTGCTTCTCTCTTTGTTCAATTTCCAACCATTATTTCTTGTCCTGCCCTCTGGTGCTTTGGAGAATAATGTGACCTCCTCTTCTTTGTGGCAGCCCCTCAAGTACTGGAACATTGCTATCATGTCTCCCCTATTTCTTCTTTTCTTTAGACTAGCTAGATGACCTGGATAATATTTTATAGCAAAATATTGTCCACATTTGAAATTCATCCAAATTTTAGAATCTCCTTTCCTAATATAATTCAGTATGTTGATATCTGGTTTTGAAAGATTTCTTTTCAGTATTATCTTTGAAGTTCTGACTAACAAATTATTTCTTTATAGTTTAAAATTCTTATATTCAGACAGTAAGGTATAACTGACAGATTGACAAGACAATATAATCTCAGATTCAGGCAGAGACATTTTAACTAGCAAGTTTACTAGACAACTGTTCTTGTCTTTAGAAATATTTATGTTCTTTTTTTTTAGGAGGGGGCAAAAATTAAAAATGTAGATTTGAAGTAAAATGAATTTTGCACACCATTAAAGCATATGATTCTTCCTTTATATTTCAGCAGTAAAATAAGATGGACATTTTTATTATTCTCATGTTTTGACCTTTCATGGGTTCCTAGGGTGAAGATGGATTCCCTGGCTTCAAAGGTGATATGGGGCCCAAAGGTGATCGGGTGAGCAATATTCTTCCCAATATTCCCAGTATGAAATATGTCGGGAACCTTTTAAAAGAAGACATGAACCACCACTGAAGCTTTAGAAATTCATTCTTTACTGTTAGCATTGATAGTTGATTTTATTACACAATTTTAAATAGAAGATAAAACCAACAAAAACCAGTGTAAAGTAAAAGAAAAGGGAAAAGACAAAAGTACAAAAAGAAAAGATAAAAAGAAATGGAAGCCTCCCAGCTCTTTTGCAAAAAATACAAGTATGATTATAAAATTATCCATTACTCTATGTTCACAAAAAGAAAAATTCTCTTTTTAATCTCACCTAGTTATTTTCTAATCACAAAAACCACAAATCATTTTTTCTGTATCATGCAAAAAGTCTGTAAGGGGCTTCCAGTCAGCCATAAATGTAGATGTTTCCTTTTCTCTAATCAAATAAGCTAATCTAGGTATATCTGCAGGTTCCACTATCTTCATCAACATTTCCTATGTTGTTGGTAGTGTTGGATATTTTCACTTTTGAGCATATAATAGTCTCGTTGCATTTGTTATATGTGAAACAAAATTTCCATGACTTTTTTCTAGTTGCCTGTCCATTAATCTCAAAGAAAAGCTTCTCATTTCAATGTTACTTTAATCTTTAAAATTTTCTGAATTAATATATTATGCAACATTTTTTGACTGTTTTTACACATCCAGCATAAAATGTCCTTTGATGATGTTCCCATTTTCAACAAAGATTCAAAGTAGCTTTATGCATTCTATACAATTTCTCTGGTGACAAATGCCAATGATATATTATTTTATAAAAAATCCTCTTTAAAATTAGAAACCAATGTAAATTTCAATCCCATGAAAAGATGAAGCCTCTACCTATTAAAAATAATTGTTCAAGGAAGAATCTTTCATCCCAATATTAGAAATCTAGAAGGAATTTTTCTTTTTAGAAAATTTTTGTAATACAAGGCAAGGATTCTCCATCCTGGCATTAGATACTATGATCTCTGTGGATGGCATGGAGTGTGTCTAGATTATATCTAAATTGTTTTTACTGGCATGCATTGGTATCTGCTGCTGCTGAAGGTCAGGGAGGTCCTAAGAAATGACTTGGATTTATATGGCATGGTCCAAATTTCCAGAAAAACAAAGATCACACAGTCACCTTACCTACATTTTATAGCAATCTGCAGAATCTCCATTCACTTTTTTTTAATGAACTGTATCTTTAGATCCGTTATGGACATCAAATAAAATTACCAGTTCAATAATGTTTTTTTACATTACTTTCACAACTGTGTTTTTTTTTTCAAATTTAAATTTGGTAAATAGTGGGAGGGGAGCATTTATAGAAGGAGACCGCTGAAGAGTGTAGCTTAGCCTTACACAAATTAACCATTCACCCCCAGCAGAACCTGTCTTCTTTCCTCTGAGTTGGAGTTGTTTCAGAGACCAATTATAAGGAGAGAAAATAACCATGGGAAGAAAAATTGATGGGACTTCCAGGGTGGGTTCGTGGCAAAGCAGATGTCTCTGAAGGAGCAGGGGTGGCATCCCATAGAGAGAGATGGCCAGATGGTGGCCAGCACAATTTCTCCAGAAACAGGAGAGATTGTGAGATCATCCATCTGTACTCTGGACAGGTGCTTCTTGTGAGTAGACTGTAGGAACTGAGGCATTTGCAGTTGGCTTGTGAGTTGAGCAGCTGGGACTTGAGAGAATATTTCATCAAGCTCATAGCCATAATATAGCCTTTATGGATATAACAACCACCACAACAACAATAATAATAGAGTTGGAAGGGACCTTGGAGGTCATCTAGTCCAACCCCCTGCTCAGGCAGAAAACCCTGTACCATTTCAGACAAATGGCTGTCCAGTCTCTTCTTAAAAACTTCCAGTGTTGGACCATTCACCGCTTCTGGAGGCAGGTTGTTCCACTGGTGTCAGGAAGTTTCTCCTTAGTTCCAGGTTGCTTCTCTCATTGATTAGTTTCCATCCATTGCTTCTTGTCCTGCCTTCAGGCGCTTTGGAGAATAGCTTGATTCCCTCTTCTTTGTGGCAGCCCCTGAGATATTGGAACACTGCTATATGTCCCCCCTCGTCCTTCTCTTCATTAAACAAGACATACCCAATTCCATCAACCGTTCCTTATATGTTTTAGCCTCCAGTCCCCTAATCATCTTTGTTGCTCTTCTCTGTACTCTTTCTAGAGTGTCAACATCTTTTCAGTGAACTTCATTTCTTAATCACTTTTGGATGCAACTTATTTACACTAAAGAGGAACTATTAGGAACCTTCAGAATGACAAATTTTAACTGTTAGTGAAAGAAGTTTTAAATGCTAGTTTAAGAATCTTAAACTTTTTTTCATTTGCAGTAAAAAGCAAAATGGCGATTAGAACTTTTGATTCAGTAAAGTAATAAATGGACTGGGATCCAGATGGATCAGAAATAAAAATTTAGAATTAATTATAAAAATCCTTCCCATAGGAAAATGCTTTTGTTCCGAATTCTTTAAAAATATGATAGGATAGGACTGTGAAGGTTGGGCACTAAAGGGAACCAGAGTGAACTGAAGATTATAGTACAATTAAAGGAGAAGAACACTTAAATTTGACTAATACAGCATGGATCAATACTTTAATATTAGAGGATATCTGTGAACAATGGACCAAAATATAATTTTAAGCGTCTCTGCCAGTTATAGATAGATTGTGTTTAAAAAACTATGTGGAAGAGGAAGCTATTTAACCAGATAAGAGTGAGACTGATATGAAGGTGGATTTAAAAATGACAGGCTACAAGAACGATATGGAAAATGATGCTACACAGGATATACAAATGCAACCAGTTGATGTCTTAATACTTAAGAGGTGTATACAAAGAACAAACCAAAAGAATGACTTGGATAACTTTCCCATATTGAATTCACAAAGGAGACTTGTTAAAGCTTTGAAAAATTTTGTGAGAAGGGACAAAGAAAAAAATGACAAGAAATCAAACCTGAGGATATAATTAAGGGATTAAATATTAATATTGTTAAAAGTAAAAGGCAGGAATATCAAAGGTTTCTTTGATCAAAATAGATATGTTGTTATCTCTGGTAACCGTGAATGGACTTTTACTGATCAGGATTGAACAATGAGGCTGTAAGGATATATTATTATAAATGAGATGGGATATGGGAAGAAGAGATTATTTTTTTTTTTTTTGGTATTTAGAGAAATAGTGATAAGTTACTAAAATTGTTCATACTCATTGGAATGAAGGTGGAAGTTGCTTCTTTATATATTTGTCTTTGTCTTTGCTATATTCTATGTTTTCTTACTTTACTGTCTTTCCTTCCCATTTTGTCCTTTTAGTTTTCTTAGTTTGTATTAGTTTTATTGTTTATATATATATATAAAAGAAGAAAAAATGATGGGTAGGTGAAGGGTCATCCACAGCAATCTCATTCATCGACATTCCCTGCAAACTGCTTTGTGTAACTAAATTCTTTATATATAGCCTTGTTCATGCACTGGCAGAACTTTGCTGTAAAGTACCTCTATTTCTCTCTCTCTAAGACCCCTGTACACACACTAAAACAGAGAGAGGGGGGGGAGAGGGAGAGAGAGAGAAAGAGAGAGAGAGGGAGAGAGGAAGAGGGAGTAAAATCTCAGTCAGCCTGGGATTCATTTCCCTCTCTCCCCCATCTGAAATGATGGATAAAATCATACATTTCTCCCTTTAGGACAAAAGTGCAGTTTAGATTAGTTTCAATACCTATGTATACACTCCATTGTATCATTCTCAGAAATGACTGCAGTCACAATGCATGAGTGTCTCTGAAGTACTGAGAACATGTTTTGAAACTAGAATTTTATAGCTATGATTGGCACAATTATTTTAATTCTTTCAACAGGGTGATGCCGGCCCACTGGGCATACGTGGTGAGGATGGCCCTGAGGGGCTGAAAGGACAGGTGGGACCTACTGGGGAACCAGGTCATCCTGGCCTGTCTGGTGAGAAGGTGAGCTTTTGGAACATAAGAAGCCATTTGTCTGTCCCCTTAGTGGTCACCCTGGCATTCAACAGCTCTCAGAGTATCAGCAGAGGTCTTCCTCATTATCACTTGATCATAAAAGAAGAAAGAAAAAACCAAGAGGCTATGTATCCAGGGCCTTTGCTCTATTACTATGTTGTGGTCCCACTGATTAATTGCAACAGGAATTTGTTTAATTCTTTCTCCACTCACAAGAGATTGTTTAATTTCATCCCTGGGCAGATGTAGGCTCTGATCATCTCCTTTTTTCTACAGGGCAAATTGGGGGTGCCAGGGCTGCCAGGCTATCCTGGCCGCCAAGGACCCAAGGTAAGCCGGAGGGAAGAGTTGAAGTAACGGAAGAAATTTTGTCCTAATCTATCCCGCCCTGCCCTCAGATTGGGTTATTTTTCCACAGGGTTCGACCGGATTCCCAGGGCCCCTAGGCCTCATTGGAGAAAAAGGCAAACGAGTGAGTGAAACCAGGAGAGAAACAGGAAATACCTCTTGAAAGAAACCATGAGGGTTTTTTTTTTTTTTTTACAGACTACAAAGATGGGAGAGGATATGGGAAGAGATGAGATTCAACAAAAGGGACTGCATTGGAAAAGGAAGTATGCAAACCCTTTTGTGAAGGTGCCAACTGCAGTTTAAGCAAACTGGTTATTCCCTCCTCTCTCAGAGACTATTTTGCAGTCTCTTCATGAGGAGCAATTGTCAGGAGCACTTGTGGGCAAACTTGAGTTCTTTCCTTGCCCTGAAAGGAGCATGTGGAACTGCATTGCAGCCTGGATCTTGCTTTTACTTACAAAAAGTAACTGCATCAGGATTTGGAGGACTGTTTGTCCTCTATCCCTTGACACATTTTATTGATTCATTTTATTTGCTACAGCAGTGCTTTTATTTGCTAATGCTCACACTTCAGCATGGATCACAGCAAGGGAGCACAATCTGAGAAGCAGGATTACCCAATTACCAGCTGTTTTCACTGAAATGAATCAGAGAGAAATGGTTCTCTGCTTTCAAATATTCCTGTTGAACGTGACTTTCTAGTTTAGATCTGAAAGAATAATCCACTTTTTTATTGGATTTTCTTTTTAATCTCATAGCACACTTGTTAGGACAAATGCTATTGAGGACAATTGCTAGTAACCATAACCAAGGGATATAAAATAGAAACTTGCCTTAATGTTAGGCAAATTTAATTGAAGTTTATAGTTTAAGTGTCCAAATGTTTAGTATTTGGCAGATATATTTATAACAGGGCTTAGCATTTCTATTGTACATTTCAAGTTTAGATATACATTTTGGTTCTTCTGTTAATGGACAGTGATGCACATTAAAGTCCAAACTAGAGGTGACCTGTGAGATAAGGGGACACCTGGGATCTTTTTGTAATGTCCCATTTAAGCCTGAAAACTCGGTGTGTGGGGGAGGGGGGTTATTAAAGTCCATCTTACCCTCCTTTTCTGTTTTCCTTCTTTTCAAGGGAAAAGCTGGCCAGGCAGGACAGACTGGAGAACGTGGTCCTCTGGTGAGCTTTCATCTAATAGATGCTTATAAAGTCCCAAAGAATTTTTTTAATGCTTATCAACAAAAAACCAATATATATGCTGGCTAGAAGATGTCCTCTCCCCACATCCCTTCAATGAAGAACAAATTACAAGGGCACAAACATCCTGATGATAATATTGATACAGTAAAAAAAGGATGTAATGAAAGTTCAGCCCTCTAGGGCCACCATATTCCTTATATGACAGTGAGTAGCCCTGAGATCCGCAGCTTCTTTTCTACCTTTCAGAGGTCGTATCAAGTGTGTGTAATGTTGTTCTTGGCTCTGAATAGAGCAAAGGAGCTCTTATATTTTCTGGAAACCCCTTATGAGGAAACTGCTTTCTGTGAATTGGGGGAATTTTAAAAATGGCTTCTGATAATAGCAAGATATTAACGGTTTATGGCACGGGCAAGGAGGAGGAGCATCACCACCTTAATTCTGTAAAGTAATATGTGTCTGACTCAGTTAAAAATCATAGTTGTTAGACTGCCCATATTTATGTATCTGAAGGATGGGAGAAGTATCTCTTTAAATTTCACACATTTGGAGAAGATAACAGGTGCTTTTTGTTGCAACTCCCCTACCGTCACAAAAAAATATGTAAATAACCTATATACTAATAGTAATCCATTTCTGTTCTGGGATCTAGGAAGCCTGGTTCAGTACCAGATTGCAGTTTACAAACACCAATCTGAAACTGATATCCTTTCCCATTCTAGGGTATTTCTGGTGAACGTGGTTTGCCAGGCTCTACAGGGAAACCAGGACCAAAGGTATGCCTGTTTGCTTTATGATGTATATGGCCTTTTACATTTCTCCATGTGCAGTGTAGGATGTGTGTGTAATCAGCTGTGGTCAGTGCTGTCTTGATCCTTAACCACTTTTTGACAAAATTATATAACTGTATTAGAACTGAAGTGGTCATTATGCATTAAGTAATAGTAATAGTAGTAAAGTTGGAAGGGACCTTGGAGGTCATCTAGTCCAACCCCCTGCTCGGGCAGGAAACCCTACACCATTTCGGACAAATGGCTGTCCAGTCTCTTCTTAAAAACTTCCAGTGTTGGAGCATTTACTGCTTCTGGAGGCAAGCTGTTCCACTGATTAATTGTTCTCACTGTCAGGAAGTTTCTCCTTAGTTCTAGGTTGCTTCTCTCCTTGATTAGTTTCCACCCGTTGCTTCTTGTCCTGCCTTCAGGTGCTTTGGAAAATAGCTTAATTCCCTCTTCTTTATGGCAGCCCCTGAGATATTGGAATACTGCTATCATGTCCCCCCTTGTCCTTCTCTTCGTTAAAGTAGACATACCCAATTCTAGCAACCGTTCCTTATATGTTTTAGCCTCCAGTCCCCTAATCATCTTTGTTGCTCTTCTCTGTACTCTTTCTAGAGTCTCAACATCTTTTTTACATCGTGGTGACCAAAACTGGATGCAGTATTCCAAGTGTGGCCTTACCAAGGCATTGAAGAGTGGTATTAATACTTCACGTGATCTTGATTCTATCCCTCTGTTAATGCAGCCTAGCACTGTGTTGGCCTTTTTGGCAGCTGCAGCACACTGCTGGCTCATATTTAAGTGATTGTCTACTAGGACTCCGAGGTCCCTCTCACAGTTACTACTATTGAGCATGGTGCCACCTATGCTGTACTTGTGCATTTGGTTTTTCTTGCCTAAATGTAGAACCTTGCTTTTTTCACCATTGAATTTCATTTTGTTAGTTAGTGCCCAGTGTTCAAGTCTGTCCAGATCCTTCTGTACCTGAAGCCTGTCTTCTGGAGTGTTGGCTATTCCTGCCAGCTTGGTGTCATCTGCAAATTTGATGAGTTCCCCATCTATCCCTTCATCCAAATCGTTGATGAAGATGTTGAAGAGTACTGGGCCCAGAACAGAGCCCTGGGGCACCCCACTACACACTTCCCTCCATATAGATGCAGTTCCATTGAGGACCACTCGCTGAGTACGGCCGGTCAGCCAGCTACGGATCCATCTGGTGGTGGTTCTGTCTACCCCACATTTTTCTATCTTGTCAAGTAGTAGGTTGTGATCTACTTTATCAAATGCCTTACTGAAGTCCAAGTAAATTATGTCCATAGCATTCCTCTGATCCACTAATTTTGTCACTTGGTCAAAGAATGCAATAAGATTTGTCTGGCATGATCTATTTTTGACAAACCCATGTTGGCTTTTAGTAATGACTTTGTTTGCCTCTAGGTGTTCGTTGATTCGTTGTTTGATTATCTTTTCCAGGATCTTCCCAGGTATTGAGGTCAGGCTGATAGGTCTGTAATTTCCTGGATCCATTTTTTTTCCTTTTTTGAGGATGGGAACTACATCAGCTCTTTTCCAGTCCTCTGGTAGTTCCCCTGTGTTCCAGGATCTTTGAAAAATATAGTTCAGTGGCTCCGATATCACATCTGCCAGTTCCTTGAGAACTCTGGGGTGTAATCCGTCTGGTCCTGGCGATTTGAACTCATCTAGGCTGGACAGGTGCTCACTAACGATTTTCTTGCCTATCTTAACTTGTGTTTCTGTTTTGTTTTTTATGGCACTATTTTTGATAGGTTGGTCTGTTTTTTCCCTTTGTGTAAAGACAGATGCAAAAAATGAGTTAAATAGTTCTGCTTTCTCCCTGTTGCTTGTCACCTTCTTGCCACTTCCACCCACTAATGGACCAATCATTTCCTTCACTTTTTTCTTGTTTTTTACATGTTGAAAGAAGCTTTTTTTGTTATTTTTGACTTTGGTCGCAAGCCTCAGTTCATTTTGAGCCTTGGCTTTCTTCACTTCATCTTTGCAGGCTCGGGCTATTTGCTGATATTCTGACTTAGTTATGTTCCCCTCTTTCCACTTTCTATACTTGTCCTTTTTATCTTTCAATTTGTCAGAGAGTTCTTTATGCAGCCATGCTGGTTTCTTTTGAGAGCTGTTATTTTTCCTCTTTGTTGGTATTGTGCTAGACTGTGCTTTTATTATCTCATTTTTCAAAATTTCCCAAGCTTCTTGAGTTGTTTTCCCCTTGAGGATTCTCATCCATGGAATCCTTCCCAAGCCCTCTCTAAGTTTATTGAAATTAGCTCTCTTGAAGTCCAAGACTCTAGTTTGACTGTGATCTATTGGTTGTGCTTCTATAATATTGAATTCTAATATTGCATGATCACTTCCTCCCAGGGTTCCTATGGCTCCAACACCGTCTATCATTTCATCTCTGTTAGTGAGAATTAGATCCAAAATGGCTAATCCCCTAGTTCCATTCTCTACTTTTTGGGAGACAAAGTTGTCTGCTAGGTTTGCCAGGAACCTGTTTGATCTTCCACTTGGTGCGGAGTTTGTCTCCCAGTTGATGTCAGGGTAGTTAAATCAATCTACATAGGCAGCTATAGGTGACTAAATTACATTATACAAAAACATTGTATAGATTGTGCACGTTTCATCCAGAATTGCATGATTTGATTTTTAAATGATCCCACACATTAAGACTAACACTATTGGCAAAACCACCCTAAAGTTCCCACAAACAGAACTAAGAAAACATGGGAGAGGCTGATAGATGTATCTTATTTTTAAAATATATTATCTACTTCCTAAGTTGCTGATTTTTCTATAAATAGAAGTTTTTTTGCAGTGTAACTTTACCTGATAATGTCCAAAATGGTATTTTAGGAACTCTGCATCATGTGATTTACCTGACTTTGTAGATGAATAGTAGAACTCCTAGGACTAGGCTCTGGTGATCTTTGATATCTGCTGGACTCATGGAGTCAAATTCTTTCTCATGATGTTGCAGCCTGAATTAATGGGGGTAACTATGCTGATTTTTGTTGCTGCTACTTTGTCAACCCTTGATGTTAATTGTAATAAAAATCTGGAGAGGTTTTTGTTGTTGTTGTTGTTAACTAATGTTCCTTCCTCTAGGGTGACTCTGGCCATGATGGCCCCCCAGGGACTATAGGAGAAAAGGTAAGATGAATGATCAAATCCCTGCAAATGAAGGACATCTGTGGTCAGTAGTCTTTGTTCTTCCTCTTGTAAAAGTATGTCATAGGAAGAGAAGTTATGACATCATAAAGGCTGTTGAAACCATGGATATCTTCATGGATCCAATAATTTCAGAAATAGCATAAACTTTATGATGTCACAGGTTCTCTTCCTGAAATAGATTTTTGCCAAAGCAAAAAGTAAAAATCTTCACATAAAAGGTTACTTTATAGTCTGTGGGAAGAAGAATTAACTTCAGAAATTTAAACATTTACAATATGATAAATGTGAGAACGGGGAAAGCTGAATAGGAAGCTAAAATATATCACAATAATTTTTCTTTTCCCACAGGGGCCCACTGGGCCACAGGGATCCAATGGATTCTCAGGATCAAAGGGACCACCAGTAAGTAACCCACTATTCCTTTTGCAAAAATTTCTATTTATCTACAGTAGATACAGAAGAGGTAAGGATCAATATCCCATAAAATAGTTGTGTATGAGAGAGCGGATTGTACTTTTTATTATTACAATCTAGCTAATAAAAATTTGCCATTTGAATTATGCATGGGGAGAATATAAAGCCCAAGTTAAAAATAGATTGTGTATTCAAAGACTTAAGTAATCAATAGACTTACTGTTCATTACAGCACACCTGTAAGTAAATAAACTGATAGTTACAGAATTTCAGTCTTGGTGGCATTATATTTTCACTTGCAAAATGAAAGAGTTTGGGTCGACTTTACTGCAAAATGATAGTTTGGATAATTGGTTGTTAGGCTTATAAGGTTGGATGCTTATCTGCCTGGGACTAGAATTGCTTTTGTAAGGTATACAGGATACGTAAAACTTCAGATACCTAAAATATTACCACCAGTATCAGATTTTGCAGAATCCAAACAATGGCATTTGAGCTAAGGAAACATGACCATGTTTGAATTCTGTTCTTTTATTTATTTATTTATTTTGTTGCCATGGGCATTCATTTTGACCAAATTAGTTTTACCTAAAACATGTTAATTGCATAAAGAAATAGCATAAAAATGTGGGGCATATTTCTATCAAAACAGTTTAATAGCTTGACATATTCTTTTAAAAGCTGCCTGGAGGGGACCAGGTGGCAGAATTTATTATTCGTTCTTCTTTAATCTTCTCTTCTTTTCAGAGCTATCTTATTCCCATCTCAGTCCCAGTAGGGGAGCTCTGGAGGGCAGTTGTCATATTTCAATCTCTTCGCCCATGTTCATGATCAGAACACTTCAAAAAGTGTAATCCTTGTTTGCTTTTTGAGTACATGCGATATAGATTTCATGAACCCCAAATTTCCCAACCTTTTTATATTAGAAATATTTCAATCTTAAAACAATTTCATTAGGTCTGGCCCAGCATGGCTATCGATCTATACTGCATTGTGAAGTGTATTTATTTTAAACAGTAGCACAATAGATTAAACATGGCAGTTGCAAGTGTAAAAGAGAGACCAAGTCTTCATAAACCCAGTACGGATTTTCCTTCAAAGGGTCATGTATGTGTATATAAGTGCAGAAAATCTCTGTATAGCCCACAAAGGAAGCCTTCTAAAGCCTTGCGTTCTCCATACACATTAAAGGAGAATTCTCATCGCCCCAACTAGCATGGAGAATCTACATTGCTGGAGAAAGTAGGACATTAGGTTAGGAAAGGTGAGAGAGATAGGTGACGTTCAAATTTTGATAAACAAACTGCTTTAGGGAAATTTCTGGGGCAGTGATATGCTCTGGGTATCCCTTGATTGGACAGGAAACATTTTGGCTTATGGATCCATTTGAAGTATTAAGTTAACAGCATGGATTCTTCCAACAAATTATTGCTAAGAGGAGGACTCCTGTCCAAAATTATTGTCAAGGTAATATGATGAGACTGTTTCACACCACACCCTCATTCTCCTGCAACACTTCCTGCCATTCCAGCTTATCTTTATCTTTTTTTTAGGGCAACTGGTGAACCTCTAAATGTAATGCTGAGCTGCAGTCATCCACCATTTACATTTTCCAGAACTATGTTTGTTTGGGACTCCTATAAATAAAGATGATATTGGAAGCAGGCAAACTCAGAAAACAAGAAAACAAGAACCTCTTGCATTTCTGGAAAGAGAAATTCTTGAAAGCTTGCTAGAATAGTTCTCTAGATCAACTAAGGTCTAGCAAAGTGTTAGTTACTTTGAGCCTCTTTCCCATGTTCTCCCCTCCCTGGGCCAGGGAAACTTTTCTATAATGGCCCAAGTCCCTCTTTTAATAGGTCTGTTTCCTTTTCTGTGTTCCAGGATCTATTCGGTATTTCCTCATAAAAGCTGTCATTTCCTTTATAGTATGCCAGTTTTCCTATTGATTGATTGATTGGTTTAGAATTAGAAGAGTTACAAATAAATAAATAATGCAATTAAGTGAGGGAAGGCTCCTGACATGCACCATATTTACTGCTTGAACACCTACCCCAATCTTTTTTTATAAAACAAACAAACAAACAAACCCAAAAAACACAATTATTTCTGTTTGGAAGGGTCCTATAGGAAAAGATGGTCTACCAGGACATCCAGGCCAGCGTGGTGAGCCAGTAAGTATTAATGTCAACTTTAGAATGAGCATGGATGCAGCCATTTTTTCCTTCTCATTCTTAGTTGCCACATAGCATGGAGGGAGGGGGGGGGTTGCATTGCTGGCTGTGGAATTCTGGGAGTTGAAGTCCACATGCCTTAAAATTGTCAAGGTTGAGAAACACTGCACTAGACAAAACAGACTTTCTCTATGCAACTTTCTCTCATGAGAACCAAGGTCATCAGCTGCTCCTGAGACTGTGGGCTGGCCGTTTCATGAAAAGTCCGCCAACAAGCTGAATTGGGAAACGTAGTTGCTTGCATAGCTTTAGGGGTGGGATTTCTTAACTTTGTATTGGGGAATTGTTATGCATCTCTTCAGAGTTGGTTTCACTTTTGAAGTGTCGATACTCTGTATCAATAAATATGTTCTTTGAGGAATTTGCGAGCCTCGGAGTTCTGCTTTATTTGTCTCTGTCGATTGGAACCGTGACAATTAATGTAAATTCCTCTCAAGGTTGGTTGTTGCCACGTGGTCTGTGGATAACTGCCTCCTTTTTTGTCTTGTTCTCCTTTGCTGATTTCTTGCCTTGGAAATTTGTCTGGCTGCTTTCTCTATATTTCCTTAATGGGTTCAACATTCTATTGTTGACTCTATTGTTCACTTCTCTATGAGATGAAGGGGAAAAAAAATTCAGTCACACCATTTTCTCTACAAGGTGATCAGTCTTCAAAACTAAAATAGCCAACTGGGTTTCAGGTGTTGAGCATTGCATTTTGAGCATCCCTAATATTGAGTATTGCATTTTTACTTGTCTTATCCAGTATAATTCTTCAGATACATTGGACCAACACATTTGGTCCATGGTTCCACTTGATGGTAATCTTTTTTTCTCTTTTCTATAGGGATTTCATGGCAAAACTGGCCCACCAGGGCCATCAGGTGTTATTGGGCCACAGGTAAAGAGGTTCTTTAGTTTATGTATTCATAGTTAAAATATATATTCATAGTTAAAACTGGGCAGACTTAGCTGAGATACTATCCATGCTGCTAAGGTAGTAGTAAGACCTATGTGCAAACTTGAATTATAAAATTAATGATATCTTTTTGAATTTAGTAGATACCATGCATGAAAAATATTCCAGAGTTTCTAGCTATCACAGTAGGACATACAACAATTCTTAATCAGAGGGCCAGATTTGATCTCTGAGTGGTAGGCCCACTAGTGACATTTGCATGGTGATGTCATTGTACATTTGTTGTCTTGTTGACATTCATTTGTTACAGATGCTGCAAAATTAGAGTTAATTAAGTTCAATGATGATTTGCTATGCATTTAATATTATTTAATATCCCCCCTTCTCTAACATTAAATGTTTTGAAAATTACTGGAGGTATATATTATCCATGCTCTCACTATCTGCTTTCCAATTCTGAAAATAAATCTTTTGAAGTAGAATTTGGGAAGTAGAAAACATAAGGAAGTAAGCTTTAGTTAAACATTAGGTAGTACTTCATAGCAAACAGAGCTAGTAGCAGTGAAATAGGTTGTTTTGGGAGGTAACTTTTTCCTTCACTGAAGCTGCTTATCTGGATAGCTTTCTGTCAAGGATACTGTAAAAAACATCCTTCACTGAGATCTTTTATTAGCTTAAATCATGTTCAATTTTCCTTCAACTTTTATGAGTTAGTTAATATATGGATATAATAGCTACATGTTATACGTAAAACTATCGGACAGCTTAGTGTGCAAGTGTTAAGCTTCCAGTTCAGTAGTGTTGAAATACACACACACACACACCCAAATATAGTCTATGTGCATAGGAAAGAGAAGAGATTGTCTTGATTATGGTCTTCTTGAATTAATAAGGAGATGCAATGGAGATACCAGCTGGATCCTTTCAAATGCAAAATGAATGATCTGAAAGATGACCCAGAGCAATACTAATATTCTTATAGTTATGTCTCATTACAACATTTAACCTGCTCTCAAAAGTATTGTATCTTCTCTGCAGGGAAACACAGGAGAAACTGGCCCTATGGGGGAGAGAGGCCACCCAGGGTCCCCTGGTCCTCCTGGAGAACAAGGCCTGCCCGGTATTGCTGGTAGGGAAGGTGCCAAGGTGAGCACTTACAGGTAGCATTGTCATAAACAAGAAATGAGAGCAGGTGAAAATGAATTTTCCCAATGCTGCCAAGTGTCCCTAAACCAGTATCAGCATTGCTTTAAATGGATTGCCACATATACATCTCAGAAGAGCTGCATTTCAGTCCTAAAGAAATAACCATTCTGTATTTTTGTCACGTTCTGTACAAGAATTAAGAGCTTGTTTATGCAATCTTCATTCTACACAATCCTTTGCAGTGAGACTGTAGCAAAGCATATGCCGATCCATACATCTGGGGCCAGTAACTATAGGAAATGATTGGTTTGTCTAAAATATGGCAGGACCAATGAAGTTAGCCCAAAATTGTTAGAAGTAACTGCATAGTAAAACTAGATCTTTACCTCTAGGGTGATCCTGGACCTAGTGGCATCCCAGGCATTCCAGGTCCTCCTGGAATCAGAGGCTTCACAGGAGCCCGTGGTGCTGTTGGAGAGAAAGTAAGTCTTCAAGAAGATGGACAGGAAATGATATGGTACTTAATAGTTATGATGGGTATGGAATAGAATAAAGGTCTATGCTGTACTAGACTAATTTAATTTAACTGGGTTATTTGGCTGGAACCACCATGTACTTCTAATTGTAATTTGCTTGGAATGAGCAGTCTAGGAATACTGTGTTACTATGTCTTAGGGAAAAGGTTCCATGGATCAATTTTCTTACTGTTATTGGAAACCTTATGCTAGGTTAAAGGAGCCTTTGGCCTTTTCAACCACAGTGAAGTTTCCCGTTCCTGCCTGCATGTTTTGTGATCTAAAAGATCCCAATAGAAAAGGAGAAAGAGAATAAGGACAGAAGATGAAATGCTGGCACCCCCACGGAAAGTCATCTTCCTCTGTTTTACTTTCTATCACAGGGACCAATTGGGCTGAAAGGAGCAGAAGGGCCACCTGGTCCAGCAGGCACTATCGTAAGTAACCTAGAGTTTCCCCCTAACATCAAAAGGAAAATAAGACTTTCATTGCATGATAGAGAGAGAGGGCATGCATATAATACCCATTATCAGTGAAGACCCCTTACTGCAGCAAGGGTGGATTCTTGGAGTCAAATTCTTTCTCATGATGTTGCAGCCTGAATTAATGGGGTAACAGCAAACATTAATCAAAGGAGAGGTCTGCATTAGAGATAACTTCAGATAGAGAGATGGGGTTCATAGATTTATTCCCTCCTGACAGGGTCCTCCTGGAGAACGAGGTCCCTCTGGAGCAGCCGGAGGCATTGGACTACCAGGAAGAGGGGGTAATCCCGGACCACCTGGACCTGCAGGGGAGAAAGGAGCACCGGTATGTACAAGCCACTGCCTTGCCATTAATGATCAATTTTAAAAAGAGACATTCAAAACTCAACTAGTATGCAAGATGATCTTAACCTAAAGAGTGGGTGAACTAGACACTTTGATAAAGGAAAGTCATCTAATGAATGCTTATTGTAGCCTTTCACAACTTCCAGATGTGTTAGTCTACAATTCCTTCTATGTGATGGGAATCTATCCCAGCTTGTTGGAGAGCATCAGATTGGGAATCATGGCTTAGAGAAAATTTTAAGATGAAACCACAGAATCCAGGACTTGAGTAATAATAAATCCTTAAGGTCTGATTCTTTTACTTCTAATGCAAAGAGTTTCTTTGCTCAGAACCATAGATGACACCACTTGCTTCATCCTGGGTCTGGTTTTATCCATTGCAAGATGATATAAATTCAGCCTAAGAACTGTTTTGGACCTATTGTACATTAAAAACATGTCTTCCTCTCATTTCATTACTTTACATTTTAATCTTTGGACGAGGAACAAGACTTTGCATTTCTAAATGCAGTATGCAAAAATTTGCACTTAGCCAAATTTTAATTAAAATTTAAAAGAGTGTCATTATCAGATTAAAATACTAATAGGAAAAAGAAAAGTGTTGCAGATAAAAATGGATTTAGGGAAGCCAAATAGCAAAAATGAATAATAGTATTAAAATGTTTTCCAGATGTCCACTCATATTATTAAGAGCTAGTACTGTGACATTAATACTTGCCTTATAAATTGCCAATTACAGCACTTTAAGAAGCAAACTGTCCATCAGAACAGGACGACACATGAAACAGTGGCACTTATACAAGAGTTTGCCTATAATTTCCTGGTATAAATAATGTCAAAGTCAAATATCAAGATTTGTTAGACTCGAATGTGCTCATTAGGCCACGGGCTGATTTGTAAAAATTACTACATGTAAAACTGAATGGAAGAAATCTTGCCATTACTGGCCTGTGCTGATTATTTATCTTTTATTCCTCACATAAATTGGGAATATCAGGTGACTGGTTGCAAGCAACCTAATTTTTATGTAGCTTTGTGGCCATTTTGAGAGTTTTGTATCAGCATCCTCAGTATGAAATAACTCAGATGTAAATTTGTATGTCTATATTCTCTATATTACTTGTGGATTGCAGTGGATCTTTGGGTGCCAGTATCTACTTAATGAAACTGAGAATTCCAAAGAAAGTTTATTTCCAAAGTGTTTATAATTAAGGTATCCATTAACCACAGCATCTATTTTTCTATGCATAGTAAAAATTCTTTTTTCATTACACCCTGTACTTATGGGTTTTTTTCCCCCTAGGGTGATCGAGGACCAATGGGTCCAGCTGGTCATGATGGAATCCTAGGTCCAGTGGGGCTTCCAGGCCCAGCTGGGCCTCCAGGACTTGCTGGAGAGGACGGTGACAAAGTAAGGGATCTGCGTTTTAGAGGAAATAGGAGGTGTACTGGATCCATTCGATTACATAGACCCATTTTTGTTTCCTTGACAACCCATGGCTTGGCAACAGCTATACTGAGATTTTCCTAGCAATTATTTCTATAGCTGATTTCATTAGCCAAGATTTTAGTCAGTGGGACAAATGTTCCTGACAATAATTGCTGTAATGATGTTTTCTCTGTTGTTGTTTTTTGTCCTCTGTCTCTTAATGTATGTGTGTGTAGGGAGAAATGGGTGGCCCAGGACAGAAGGGAAGCAAGGGCGACAAAGGAGATGTGGTGAGTTTGAAGGAGATTGCTCAAAGGCTTTGATGTAACTTCTAACAATTGCCCTTTAAACCTACTCACACATTTGTTTGCCGTTTCTTTAAGGTTACTGAGTAATTGAGATTTCTTAAAAATATTGTAAGAGCAGGAATTCAGCACCAGGAACAGACAACTAAGTGTCACTGTTTCACGTACTTTCTCTTTCAACAGGGTCCTCCAGGACCAACTGGGATCCAGGGTCCTATTGGGCATCCAGGATCTGCTGTGAGTCTTTCTTCACCCCAACATTTTTTTCTGAAACAGTATGAATTTAAGAACTTTAGTGGGAGGGAAAGCCTTCCTCTTTCTGTATTTTCCTGAGATATTTATCATTCTTTCAAGCAAATGTATGCATCGTTTCTCTTCAAACTATTTGTCTCTTCTATGCACCGTTCAGCTCATTTTTCTTATCCCTATTTTCTTTAATTATTAAGATGTTCCTTCCCATAGTAATGTTTAAGATCCTGTTTGGTTAAAATGTTTTTCATTGTATCACATTCATCCCAGATTTTTGGCTCTCTTAAAGCAAGTGAGGAACCATTGATCCATAACATCATATTTTGCTATTAGGGAGTTGATGGGGAGCCTGGGCGCCGAGGGCAACAGGGCATGTTTGGCCAAAAAGGAGATGAAGGAGCTCGTGGATTTCCAGGCGTCAGTGGCCCACCTGGTTTACAGGTGGGTATGAGAACATCAAACAATGTTTAGAAGGCTATACTAATTTGAATGAAAATAGCATTAAAAAAACCCCAGGTTTCAATTCATTTTATTTCTCTATCCAATTAAATCATACAAGGATCACCCATTTTATCCTCATATCACTAGCATTGTGAACTAAAGTTGGCTAAGAATTGGCTAACAGTTGGCCTGTTAACTCACCCAATGAACTCAGTATTTGAATAGAGATTTGAAACTGGTTTCTCCAATCCCAGACTAATTCTTTAATCCATTATGTATTATTCAGTGGCTAAGTTTGTACAACATGTTTAAGCAAATCTGCTAAAGACATAATAGCTACATTTATGCAAGATATTAAAACTAATTGATTTAAAACTTGGGTAGCTTTGTTTTGGTTTAGTGTTATGCAATCATAGTTATCTTTAGCTGATTCATTATACTAATTAACTATTGAATTAACAGCCAAACATCCAAACCTATGAAGTTCAGGTATAAAAAAATCCTTCAGTTTATGATCATAGGTGAAACCAATCTTTGGCTGAATTTTGATATGCTAAAATTTGATATTTTGGGAATATCTTGTTTTTCCAAATATTAATTTAAGGGGGATTGACATTTATCATAGTTTGTTGAAGTCTTGAGTGCTGAAACATGTCACGGTAAAAATTAAAATGTTTCATTTGATTATTCCAGATTTTGATGCAGTTACACAGTCATGTCATTTTCATGACTATGCCTACATCAATCTCCCTACTAAATCTGATGTTCATTCACAAATATTTAAAAAAGAGAGAGAGAAGAAATCCCTACATAAATTTCAAATGTGCTGTTTAAATCTGAGCATTGTCCAGAATCAGAAAATGAATGGAATGTTTTCTGCTGCTCACTGTAGGCTACTATATACATTTGTGTGGTTTCCCTGACAGGGAATGCCAGGACTCCCAGGTGAGAAGGGTGAAAGTGGTGAAACTGGGCTAATGGTAAGAGTCATTCATTTCCCCTCTGACTTTCACCGTTGATCCTGGGCTTGATTTTATTGTCAGGATCGCTTATCAATTTTTCCCTTTCCATTTTCTCTAGGGCCCACCTGGAGCTCCAGGGGCCAGAGGCCCACAAGGTCCCAATGGTGGAGATGTGAGCAGTGTTTTTTTTTTTTTTTTCTCATGTAAAGCAAAGGGGGAGAAGAGTCATTTCAGACATTTGACTATCCTGGATAATTCAAAACTATAGGAAAATGCACACATCAATCTGTATAGAAGTGATTAGACTGGATAATCCTTGAAGATGAGTTGTGTGGAGTTGGAACATGTTATATGAATGAGTAGTATAAATGTAGTTGGTCTATTGAGAACACATACTATGGAATATTGCTGGTTGAATACAAAAATATTGCAGAGAAGATAAAATTCCAAATATCTGTATAGCTCCAGTTTACCACATTGAACCATATTCCAGTTATGTTTCAAGTCATAGACCAGGACATTTATTCATAGTGCCGAGCTCATATGCTCATTTTATATAAAGGCTGTTGTGTAATATATACAGTACATTGCACATTGAGCAATCTTCTAAATGGAAATTATCTCCATCCATTGATCCGCATCCATTGACTTTATAACAGTTTCAAAACAATTATGGTTACGGTGACCACATTTTTTTTTTCATTTATTGATTGGGTTTTATGCCATTACTCATTCTAATAGTTTTAGATGCAATATAATCAGAACCATAAAGCATGGATGCTCCTGGGGATCCTTGCAGATTGAAAGACAGAATAGAAAATTAAACAGGCTAATGGATATTGAAATAAACCTAGCATATAGATTTAACTGATAGAGACAGAAAAAATTAATACAGTCATAAAACAAATTCAGTCTTCCCTTTATACATAGCAGCTCAAAAGCAGATCCATGGAAATAGAACAACTGCTAAGCATAGCACCATGTGTCTCCATGATGTGCTAATTTGATGGATGAATGGTCCCACCGAGAAAGCATCCCCAAGAGACCTCAATAGCTGTAGCTATTGAGCAGGTAGATGCCTAGGTAATGCAGCATGTCAAGTAATCATATGAGGACCCTTGAAAATCAATTTAAGTAAGTGCCTGGGCTCAGCAGCATCCATTAATTTGTAGGGCCTTCTGATATGCATGAAGCTCCCTACATGGAGAAAGCAAAGCATAGTTTGGTGTCAGGAAATGCTCTGGGTATTAAATCTCACAGAGTCCAAAGATGATAAATGTCAGTGAGTTATTTGGTCTGGAGCTATAGTTAAAAACAACAAGGCGTCAGATATTAAACACAAGTAATATTAGTTGGATGGAAGAGAATGCTCTGAATTGATAGATTAAATAATTGGTTTATGAATTAATACTCCGAACTGGGTGATTTCTCTGAACTAGTTGTTGTGTATCTTTTTATTTCAGGGCCCACAAGGTCAGCGTGGTGGGATAGGCCAGCCTGGTGCTGTTGGTGAAAAGGTGAGGCCTGAGAGGATATTTCAGGTGGAGGGGTAACCCCTGTGATATACAGGTGACTTCAGCCAACAGGGGCTAAGGGATGTGAAGTATTTGGTGTCGGCATCAGGGGAATTTGGGATTTCTCCTGAGGGGAGGCAATTGCAGTGCAGAAAGAGTGAATCTGTGAGGCTAGATTGTGCTTTTTATTCTTTCTATCCCATTTCTATATTCGTTTGCGATCTCTTGTCACCCCCACCTCTCAAAATATGCATGAAAATTCGCATGCCTTGTAAGATGCATGTGCGCTTTAAAATACTACTTCCATTCTATCCACATTTTGGGACGCCTTTTTGTTTCATCAATATGTTATCTTTTATTTGAAAATGGCACTGCAATGTTTAAAAAAGAGTGTACCACGAAGGAGATTTGTGTTTTAGTTCTTGTGCTGGTTTGAAAAAATGCAAATGAGATAAGTTTGCATTAAAATATAAAGCCAATGAATTAATGGCCTGTCACTATATGATGGTATTGGAACCAACACTATGGGCCTCAGCATTTTCCTCAGTACATCCACATCTCTGCAAGGGAACGGCAGGTTGTAATTTCCCTGTAATATTTGCATACAGACTCTTTTCTCTGGCAGCCTAGAATTTAGCTAGCAGCAGATACATGGAGCTTTGAGTTATTCAAGAGGAAACAAATTCAGCATGGTAGCAGATAGGAAGGGGAGAGAGTATGGTGGAAGCTGAAAATATCGAGAGGTTGGTGTATGTCCCTTCTTGACATGTGCTTTGGCTATCAACAGGGAGAGGAAGAATTAGCTTGCAAAGCATGTCCATAGATAGGATAACAAAATTCTTCATAATATACATTTGCTTTGTGTATATTCTTCTTCTTGTTGTGCCATATCCGTTATCGGATGTTGGCGATCATGTTGGTGGTCCTGTTTTTATCAGCAGCCGCACGAAAAAGTGCAATCTAAATCCAATGACTTATAGGCACTCCTGGAGTTCCTGGATATACCACAAGCTGAATCTTGTCTCAGGGACAGTTTTTAATCAGAAAAGCCTTCTCTCAATTAGAACCTTTCATCCTTGTTCTGTGATTTGGAGAATTTTGGGAGTGTATTACAAGTTTTCACATTAAAAAAAATAATAGTCTATATGGCTAATAAAAATGTTCACTCCAAAGCAAATTGACGAATTTGATGCCTGTTACCATCCTATTTGAACTTCACAGATTCTTCTGTCTACCTGATCTTTATTTTTTATTCCCCCCCCTCTCTCTCTCAAATAAAATATTGTTTTAAAAAAAGAAAAATGGCAGGCAGCATGGCAAAGACCAATGAAGTGGTTCACAGGTACATTGAGGAAGTCCAGTTTTTAAAAATGGATGGGTACATTTTAGTATGTGTCAATGTGCATTTCTGAAAACTGGTCTCAAATAAGAACTGGAAATGCAACATGGCTAGGTTAAAGATTCACTTTTTATTTTGTCTCTATCTACAAGGGTGAACCAGGTGAAGCAGGGGATCCTGGACCACCAGGGGACCCAGGCCAACAGGTGAGTTTCTAAGTCTTGAGAAGATTTCAAATGTGGTACTCCTTCCCTGTTCTTAGTAGGGCATGCTACTTGGAACTCAATGTCTCCCTATACTAAATAAATCTCTGAAGTGTGGGGTCACTTGATTAATTGATCTCCCCTCTCTTCAATTAAGTGAGCAGCTTAATACTAAGGATGATTTAATGAAGATATATTCTGGTGGGAGTCTCCCACCACAATAGTAAGAGACTCTGGGTTATATCCATGTGTGCATTCACAGGGAGTGAAAGGTGATGTTGGTGAAAAAGGAGATTCTGGCCAGTCTGGAGCAGCAGGGCCACCTGGAAAAAAAGGCCCCCCAGGAGAAGATGGATCCAAAGGGAACCTGGTGAGCTAATGATTTCTGAATGTCAAAGTGGCAACAGCTATTTGGTCCTATCTCTTGTATGAAAAGATATGTCAGATCCATCTAAAATGATACATAAAATGATTTGATGGCCTTATTGACTATCCAGTTCTATAGCAACTTCCAGGAAAGATTTCATGGCTACTTTGAATGGATAGCTGAGTGAGCACTCTCATTTTGTAGTGACATAAAGTTAATTGATATTAATTGATTAATATCAGTTGATTAATATCAATTAATTAATTGATAAAATGGGAAGGGACCACATGGCTGTCAGTTGCAATCCTCTAGCATAGTTGGGATAATTCTAGATGGTGTTCTCTCAATTCAGATCTTAAATTCAGGAGATCTAGAAATCCATAAACAAGACCAACTGACATAGTCTGCAATTGATAATATTTTCACTTAGGCTTGTGAGGGAATAGTTTCCTTTCATCTTTGGAGACCTGGTACTTTCTGATATTTATGTCTTCCTGCATTTCTCCATCACAGGGTCCGATAGGATTCCCTGGTGACCCGGGCCCAACTGGAGATCCTGGTCCTCCTGTAAGTATCAGCTTTGAACTGAGTTACAACATTGTCACATTTCATTTCCAACTTTAGGAAAGAATTTATTGGGGTAAGAAGTAGGGGGGAAAAGTTTGAAAGCTACAGCTTTTTTTTGGTTTGGTTTGTTTTTAGGGAAAAGAGGAATCCCAGATTGGGATCCTACTCAGATCTTTTCTTTCATAACTTTAATTATATGAAAATTACACTACTGTTTGCTCTTTTTTCTTGAGAGAGTTGGGGTTAGGGCCTGCCCCAACTCTACCCCAAATTAAGAGATTACAGGGTCATAAAAAGAGAGTTCACTAAGTTAGGCATTTAGTTCAGCATCTAGGAATTGTTTGTTTATCTTTCCAACTCCTAGGGAGGAGCTATTGTTTTTAGATTTATAATCAATCATAGCTTTAGTTGGATGCAAGGAGAGACAAGAGCTTGGCTCCTTTTTAAGTTGGGGTGAATAATCACATAGAAGAGGGATGCAGAACCTATAGCCTTCCAGGTGTCACTAAACTAATACTAACAGCAGCTGAATCCAGCAGGTCCAGTGATTAATTTTTGTGGTAATTGTAGTTCAGCAAAATCTGCAAAGGTTTCTTGATGTGAATAATAAAAGGGTTTTAATTATATTCCTGATATAAGGGTTTTGGAGCTAGAACTTTAGGAATAGTTTAGGAAAAAGTTCTATGGGTAAAGCTCCCTAAATATCCTGATGAGATGTGAGCATATTCAATGACTAGGGAATCTTATTTCAAGTTGGAATGGGAAAGCACAATGTGGTGTGTAGAAGGAAGAAGGTATGACAAATTAAAAGACTGAAGCTCTGAACTGTAGCAGTCCATATTACAATATTGTGTTGCAGGTCCCATTTGTATTCTCTGTATTCAGAATCTGATTTGCTACTTCTGTGCAGGGCCTAGATGGAATTTCTGGTGAGAAAGGTGATGTGGGCGATCCAGGACTTCCAGTAAGTATAGAAAACATTCTTGGTGGGGAAACTATAGCTTCTACTCTGTAGGAATATTGTTGTTCATGTTTGCAAAAAAAAAAAAAAAGTATTTATTGTGCCTCAATAACAACAGTATATATATAGGCTTTATTTATTAATTTATGTACTTACTTATTTACTTGTTTTTCACATTTTTGAACCACCCATCTCCCTTGGAGAGGGGCTCTGGGCAATGGGCAATAAAATGTTAAAATTTAAAAACAGTATAAAAGTTAAACATTTATAAGGCAAGGATGACTGTTAAAATTAATTAGAAGATGGAGAGCTTTCAGGGCACTAGCAGGCCTCATGGCTATGTGCTCCTCTGAGCTCCCCATGTGAGGTTGCAGAGCTGTGTTTTAATTCCATTACAGAAGGCCAGGAGAGTGAGGGTCTTATCTCCAGGGTGGGGAGAATATTCCACCAGGTGGGGGGGGGATGGCAGAGAAGGCTCTCTTCCTAGTCTCTGCCAGTCAGAGTTTCTTAACTGAAGGGGTTGATAACATACCTTCCCCACCTCTCTGAAGATGATTCTGTAGGTAGCCTGGCCCCATGTCATGTGAGGATTTATAGGTCTCAACCAACACCTTAACTTAGATCTGGAAGCAAATTGGCACCCAATGCAGTTTGCAAAGTAAAGGTGTATCATGCACCCTTCTTTGGGCACCCAAAATTGTTCATGTGGCTGCATTCTGCATCAGCTGAAGCTTCCGGATAGTTTTCAAGGGTAGCCACATGTAGAGTAGAGTAGAGTAGAGTAGAGTAGAGTAGAGTAGAGTAGAGTAGAGTAGAGTAGAGTAGAATAGAATAGAATAGAATAGAATAGAATAGAATAGAATAGAATAGAATAGAATAGAATAGAATAGAATAGAATAGAATAGAATAGAATAGAATAGAATTCTTTATTGGCTAAGTGTGGTTGACACACAATGAATTTGTCTCCAGTGCATAAGCTCTCCGTGTACGTACAAGCAGCAGTGATAAATCATGATCATAATCAACATAAAAATACATTCATAAATCATAAGATACAACATATTCATCATAAGTCATAAGATGCAACACTTAGCGATAGTTATAGGATACTAGATAAGCAAACAACATACATTATACTAGGATACTAAATAAAACAATATAAATCATAAGATACAAGCAACAAAGTTATAGTCATAAGAAGATAAGGAGATAGGTAATAGGAAAGATGAGGAGTATTATAGTAATACAGCTTTACTAAGTAGTTTGACAGTGTTGTGGGAATTCGTTCTTTAGCAGAGTGATAGCATGGGGGGGGGGAATTGTGTTTAGTTGTTTTGGCGTGCAATTCCCTATAGCATCGCCTTGAGGGAAGAAGTTGAAACAGTTTATGTCCAGGATGTGAGGAGTCTATAGATATTTTCACAGCCCTATTTCTTGCTTGTGCCCTATACAGACCTCAGTGGAAGACAGGCTGGTAGCAATTGTTTTTTATGCAGTTCATTGAAGTGCATTGCAATAGCCCAAACAGGAGATGACTGGGGTACGAATGAATAAGATATATGTAAGCTTTTTCATAGAGGTATGGCTGTTTAGAAAAAATAGAAAAAATACAAAGTAATTTTGAAAGAAATAAAAATGTGATTTGAAGTGGGTGAAAAGACCTAAACAAGAAATCTCCAGCAGAGTAAGTAGAATTAAGAATAAAACTAATGAAATTGTTTGGAATGAAAATGAAATAAGGGAAAGAGGAAAAGAGGATGTTAAGGGTTTGTAAGGGAATGAAAACAATAAGTCAAAAACTGCTTTGAATGCTACTATGAAAAATGTTAAAATATTGATGTGATTTAGTTATGGTGAAGCATTTTCAAGTCAAGGTGGTTGTATTAGACAGATAAAATGGAGTAAAACATTGCACCTTTTTCATAAATCATGGAAAAATTGGTGAAGAGAGATGAATTTGTGTGTCTTGTTGGTGAAATATTCATTAAAAATGGCAAAATGGATGGAGAAATGTTCAGATATTAAAAAAATAATGGATAGCATGTGATCTGTCGTGAGGAATATTTCTTTGTCAAAAGAAGTGAAAATATTTTTAAGACTCTGCTTCTATCCAGTTTGATCACTGGAAGAAAGAGTTGGGAATGTCAGAAGAAACATAAAACTAAGTAGAATGCTGAAGGGAAGAAGGCAAAAAGGGAGAGGGGTCAAGAACAAATGAGTGCTCAATGAACATGATTTGAATGCAAAAGTGGGTGATTGATACAGGAGAAGTACCCCAGTGGTGGGATTCAAATATGTGAACAACCGGTACTCTGTGTGGATGCCGCTTCCGGAAGTCCATTTTGGGCCTGGGCAACAAAAAATTAGCTATCGGTTCTGCTGAACTGGTGCAAACTGGCTGAATCCCACCACCAGGTACCATGAGTTGGTTTGATCATACAGAGAAAATCTGTATGATTTTGAATTGCAAAATGAATATATAGAGCATGAATGGGTTGAGAGGAAAGGAAAGCCTGTTGAATGAAGTTGACAAGATCCTCAAAAATAGAGAGATGAAGTCTACACAACAAAAGGTATGTAGTGACTGTGGATATGGTTGAAACAAGAACAGTTTGCAAGAACAGAAGAGTATAAAAAGTGTATGATGTGAATTAAATTTAGTTTTATTTCCCTCGTTTTGTTCTTATCCTTAGTTTCTTTTCCCTTCAATTTCTTATATATTTTCTGTGCTTCACATATCATTTTGAAAATGAATAGTGGGTTAGGTCCATATATATGAAAGTCCACTTTCTCCATAGCATGCATGATTTTATATATCCTGACCATATTTTCCCCATTATCCTTCTTTGCCAAACGAAATAATCTCAAATTATGTTTTCACACGTGAAAAGTATTCACTTGCTCTATCTCACACATGTTTGATTGCTTTCATCTGTACTTTTTCCATCTCTATTACCCTTTTTCAAAATTGGTTACCAGAATGATATATTATTCTAGATTTGAATGTAATACATAAAGACATTACAGTATTGGCAGTTTTATTTTTCATTTCTTTTCAAAGGTTGCCTGGTATGAATTTGCTTTTTTTTCACGTCACATATTGGTGGAATCTTCACCAATTCTCAACTTTTTTTTCCTAATTAGTTACAGACAGTTCAGATCCCATCTTTATATATGGCATATGAATCTACACGTATGCAAATAGAATTGACAATTTTGCTTCCTTCCTGAATTTACAATTTTTAAATTTGTAAGGTGGGATTTGGGAGTCAGGGAGATTTCCAAATGTAATAAAATAATATAATATAAATAATATGAGAAACCTAAAATGAAAATAGTTGAAACCCATCAAAATGTTAAAAGCATTTTGATGTTAGAATGGTGCATACTATACAGTTGTCTCATAAAATATTAATGTTGATATATATTTAAAAGTCACATCTACTGATCCAAATAACGATTGTCACAAGTAGAAACACTGTATTCATGTGTAGTGGCATATTTATATATATCAGGAATCTTATATCAATCCAATCAAGTAACTTAAGTTTCATTGCAGTCAGAGACATTTTTTTTTCTATTTGATCTCAGTCCATGTTACGGCATCAGGGAAATTTCTCTGTACACTATAACATGTGCTTTCCCAAATGATGTCCTTAGAAATAATACTTTTTGTTTTATTTTTTAATTTTGTTTAGGGTCCACCTGGAGCTTTGGGGGAACCAGGTCCTCCTGGGCCACCAGGGAAGAGGGTAAGTTGGGACTTACATATACATAGGCAAACTTTCAAGGAACAATTGTTCTTTCTGGAGGAATGCCTGTGACGGCATTCTCTGCCTACCAGTATCAGATACAGATATCCAATAAACAGCACAACTGGATGGAAAGTAGCTCAACAAAGTGGCTGAAAAGTGATGCAGCTAATGATTGTGGATGCTCAAATACCAGCACTCCTTAAGAACAACTGACCCCAGAATACACAAAAAAGCTGGCAACCACCATCAAGACTACATTTCTAGGACAAGTTGAAAAAAGGAAATCAAACTCCAAAACAAACTGCTCAAGTATTCCCCAGAAACAAAGAGATACCCGTACCTAAATAAGTACAGTCCACTGCAGAACAATATCCTGCAAAAAGACCCCAAGTATAACTTTCCTTCCCTCCCTCCTTCCTTCCTTCCTTCCTTCCTTCCTTCCTTCCTTCCTTCCTTCCTTCCTTCCTTCCCTCCTTCCTTCCTTCCTTCCTTCCTTCCCTCCCTCCCTCCCTCCCTCCCTCCCTCCCTCCTCCCCCCCCCTCTCTCTCTCTCTCTCTCTCTCTCTTTCTAATTTTTGTGCTGCCCATGTCCCTTCCAAGATGACTCTGGGCAGTTTACAGGTTATAAAACAAGTGAAAAAGAGTTAAAAGATTAAAACAACACAAAGTTAAAATATTATTAAGAACCACAATATACTAAAAAAAACCCCTAACATTGTTAAACGCCAAACAGGACAGGGATGAGGTCTTTTTACCTCATCAGCCACCTCCAGCAGTGAGTGCCCACCTCGGGGCCCCAGGCAGCTGGCAAAGCCAGGTTTTTATACCCTTTCAGAAGGCCAAAAGGGAGGAGGCAGTTCTCACTTCCAGTGATAGGTATAGACATACTCTAAACAATGCTAATCAGTTAGAATTCTTTATAGCCTTAGAAAGGGGTTTTAAAAACACAGGACCTGCCACAGAGATGCAAGAAAACATAAAATGGACAATAATACCACAGACCAGATCATGAATCAGAAGCAGCTTGAAACAGGACTGAGCAGCCCTCAAAAATCTAAAGAAGGACCAAACCATCACCATCTTCCCAACAGACAAATATTGAACTATAGGTATCATGGACAGCACACAATATATACAAAAACCCAAAGTCTTGGAGGACAAAGAAACCTACATTCCAATAAGCACCAACCCAATAGAGAAACTAGATGACCCGGTCAAGAGAATCTTTAATGACCTAACCAAAAAAGGTCAATTCACAAAAGAAGAACAGTGGTAGATGAAATACAGTAGACCCATTCCCCCTATGCTTCTATAGACGTTCCAAAATACACAAGTCTGACAAATCTGTTCATCCAGTTATATCATTATTAGGGACTCCAACATGCAACATAGCTAAAGAACAAAAAAGCTTGGACATCTCAGAGGGGAGTGAATATTCTATCAACTTCCCACCACAGTACCTCCCAAAAAATCAAAGGCCTAAAAATAGAAGAAAATGAAAGTATAGTTTCATTTGATGTCACAGCACTCTTTATATCCCTAAATCTGAACCTAGTGAAAAAAATCGATGGCAGCAGTACAACACAACATGCTCAACCTAACCCAATACACTAAGATTGAAATACCCATAATCATGCACCTCATCAATCTCTGCTTCACGATCTACTTTCAATTTGATGACAATTAAACCAAAATAACAGAGGAACATCTCATAACTCAAAGCAAAGACTGCAAAGCACAACCCACAGTAACCAAGCACAGAGAAATGCTATGTTTATACATTAGTTGAAAATCTTATTAACTACTTTCTTGATGGGCAATAAAACAGTTAAAGGAAAATTGGGCATAGATTAAAGATGTGATATTTGTGGCACAAGAGCCCTCTTAGCCAAAAGATGGTAATTTGATTTGTTTTTTTAAAAAATGGGGAAATAGCCTTTCAAGAAAGCCTGCATCTGGATAATTATGCAATAAAGGAAAACAAGGTAATTTGCAAAAATAAAACAAAATGAATTTCTTGGGGAATTCACATTGAAAATACACTTGATGAGAAGCTATATACAAATGCTCCTTATATTAAAAAAAAAAGTCCCGAAAGAAAATATTTGCACAATGTTTTTTAAGGATTTTTTAAAAAAAAAATCTGCCAGAATAAAATGATGTAGCCAAATATTGCTCTATGGTACAGCCAATAAAACAGAATGGATACTATGAAAACAGAAATTCTGTTTGATCATCCTCCCTTCCAGTCCCGCTCCCTTTTCTATAAGTGGAAAATATTTCTTGTAAAAAAGCTGAACCAATATTAAAATGCATAGACAAAATCATGCATTTGCAATTTCACATCAGAAGCTCACTTGGAAATAAATGTTATGTTCTCTCCTTCAGCAGAAATTCCAGAATTAAGAGACATGCTCTCCAATATATTAGATGAAATAGAAAATATGTAACTTTTTTTTCTTGGTCCTGATTATATTATATTGTATTTCTGAGCTGTTTAAATGAAAAGAATCCTTTAAAAAAAAGGCATATTTTGTCCTGCTTACAAAGAAGGTTGAAGTTGACTTGGAAAATCATAATTTTTTTATTGGCTTTGCTTAAAGTTAAGCAAATATATACGAACTCTCACCTTCTCTTTAATTGTCTGAATAAAATACAATATTCATAACAATCCATGTGAATTATATATATATATATATATATATGGGTCTTTGGTTGTTCGGATTTTCTCCCGCGTAAAATTGGAAGTGTCTTGGCGACGTTTCGACGAAGTCCCATTCGTCATCTTCAGGCTGGTGTTTTCAGCTTCGTGCTCCTTGAAGCACGAAGCTGAAAACACCAGCCTGAAGATGACGAATGGGACTTCGTCGAAATGTCGCCATTTCCAATTTTACGCGGGAGAAAACCCGAACAACCAAAGACCTACATACAAACACCCACGAAAACCTCAGAAAACACACACACACACACACACACACACACATACACACAGTATATTTCTACTCTATGGGGATGGCTCCTCTCTAATATGCTGTCCATTTTATATTTTATTATGCGTGATTTGCCTGATTTTTATTGAAAGTGATAGCAAGTTGTTTAATTTTTGCATAAGCTTATGGTTAGAACAAAATTTAACATGTTTATTTAATAAAATTGGGAGTATAAACAGAATTAAGTGTTGTCTAGAAGAAGGGCAAAAATGTTAAACCACAAGATCTTAATCCAAGTGATTTATGCAGGGACTTCATTTTTTCTGTTCCAGGGACCTTTTGGGCCAGCTGGACGTGAAGGTCGACAGGGTGAGAAAGGGACCAAGGTGACACAAACCAAGCTAATTTTATTCTGATATCCAGTAAAGGAATGCTAGTTTATCTCTTCTTTTGTTTGTTCCCCCCCCCCCCCATTCCACTATCAATGTTCCCTGCAGGGCTGGACTGAGGTGAGGCAAATATCTAAGACAAAAGATTCTGAAATGTAGCAGTGGCATTTCTGTGCTGGAAGATATACACATTGTTTCTCAATCTTAACAACTTTTAAGATGTGTGGACTGTCAACTTCCAAACTTGGAAGTTGAAGTCCATAATCGTAAAATTGCTAAGATTGAGAAACACCATGTTGCAGCCTCTGTCACATAGCCCCTCAGTATATTGGAAGAAATAACATTCAGTTGTCAATCTAATTAATTTCCGTACATATGTATGCATAGGATATGGGCTTGTTATTCTTGACAACAAAATACCCTATACAGGAAATCATTCTATAGTAGCCACCTCTATCCTTCAGCTCAAAAAGCAAAAAAAGTCAAATTAACTTAGTATTCTTTAAAGCCATCTGCTCCATGAGAATAGTGTATAACCATTGGACAATCTTGAAATAATTAAATATTTCTATATAAATGGGTGTTTTTCCTCTTTCTTTTTCTCTCTGCCCCTAGGGTGAACTTGGTACAGAAGGTCCCTCAGGGAAAATGGGACCGGTGGGCCCACAAGGACCTCCGGGCCAACCTGGTTCAGAAGGTCTGCGTGGAATTCCTGGTGCAGCAGTGAGTATCTTCAGTTCTTGGCAAATGGTTGACAGAGGGATGAAGGAGAATAAGCTGCAAATCAACGCAATATCATGTTGCACGGAGAAGAATGCAAACATTAGCAATAAAGTTCCAAGGCAGAAAAGCAAGTTTTTTTGTAAGTGTGAAAAGAGTTTGAGGAGAAGGTGAGCCTTTGGTCTTCAGTCTAAAAATAGAGGACCAGAAGCAATGAACTCTGAACCACTGGCAGGTGGATTTAGTTGAAAAATTAGAAAATCTCTTTCTATCTCTAGAAGACGTGGGCAAGGAATAATAAAGTTGGAAAGGTGGTGGAAAAATATTCTATTCTTTGGAACAAACTTCATTTTAAGGAATGAATGGACTATCTCCAGGGTCATTTATTAGATCCCTTTCAAATGAGTGACTGTAGTTCAAAAGAGCTTTTGGTGCATCAGAAGGGAGGCACACAGCATTTTAAAGTTGTTCGCATTGTCAGCTGAGGGAAATGAAGCAGTGAAGACATCAAAGAAAGCTCCAGCTGAGCATGGAGTTCCCTTAGATGCACCCATACTGTTCCTTGTTTATAGACCATTTATTTTATATGGCTTAGTGAGTAATGATTAAAGAATTTCCTCTTAGCAAATTCTGATCCAATTTTACAGTACATCATGATCTGCACCTTTTAGTTAAGAAAACCTTTAATTTATTAATTGTTCTCTTCTTTGTTTATTTTAAAAGAAAAGAGGAAAAAGACAAATAAAAAAAAATCATAAAGTTCATATGTTACATGGAAAAGTTTGCAGAGTAACATTAAAGATAAAATTAAAGGACAACACGAACTATTCAACTGGAAGAAACATCTTACTTTTATCCGGATATATTAACTTGGGTTAAAACAAATATGAAGATAGTTTCATGACCTTTTTACTATTCTAGTAATTTCAAAACTTGTTTTTAACGATTATTGAAATCAAACTTTAGATTAGATAAGAAACTTATAAAAATAATGAAAAGAGTTTAGAATCTGTATTTTAAGAGAACCCAAAGTTCAGATGTAATGGCAGGGCATGTACAGAATTGTACTCCATAAAGAGTTTGTAAGTTAAACTGAAACTAATATCTGACTTGTTTTTCCAATATAATGTATTTTAGACTGTATTACATTCTCTCAGAGTTTAAACTGTCATTTATAAAGGAATTAAATGTGATTTCCAGTAAAAAGCATAAAGTATCCTTGTGAAAAATATGTATAAAACCAGCTAAGTAATTGGTAGAAAAGGAAAGTTAGTATTCGGGGCATGTTTCATCCTATAATGGATCATCTTCCGGAATAGTTGAGCTTTATGACATTTCCACCAAATATATGTCTCTTAAATTCCATACTTCCTCAATGCCTCATGCTGTTATCAGATTTTTTTTTTAAAATGAAAAGGAGTATATTAAGAGAAAAAAATGCTTCAAGAGCATGTTTCTAAAGATTTGTGGGGGAATGTTCACAGCTGTAAAAAAATTCACATGCTGATTTCTGTTCAAGCAAGTCCAGATGTAGCAAGAACTAGAACAGGATTGGACAAAATCCTGGATGTAATGATTTGGTGTGAACTTGGTAGTTACGCTTTGCCTAAGCTATTTTCTAAAACCAATTCTTAATTTGGATCAGAAATATGCAGAAAAACTTTTACTAGACAGTTCTGAACTGTCTTGTCACTTGATGGAGTTTACAAGGAGAAAGAAAGGAACAGCTATTTTGCTAGGAACTCTCTCTCTCTCTCTCTCTCTCTCTCTCTCTCTCTCTCTCTCTCTCTCTCTCTCTCTCCCTCCCTCCCTCCCTCCCTCCCTCCCTCCCTCCCTCCCTGTCTCCCCACCCTTCTCCAATAAGAGCAGGGGGAAATAGATTTCCATCTTAATATATTTTGAGAGACGACTAACTGAACACATAATGGTAAGTGAGCACATAATATTGCACAGTCACCTTATTAGTCAAAAGAAAATTACAAGGTGATTGAAAACTTGCTTTTACTCCACATATACCCATAGCCTTGTTGAGATCTTTTTTTAAAAAAATTAATGGACCCATAAAAGGCACATAAAAAGTATCTCTAAAGGATAATTTCTTTTTAAGATTCATTACTGTGAAAGCAAATACAAAAGTTTAATATGCACCACAGTTAGGTTTTCTTTTGATAAGATACTTCAAGAGAACTGGTGCTACAGCTTCCTTTATTGATTTGTTGTGTAGCCTCAAAGCTTCCTTTGTCAATTCTATTAATTCTAATAAACTTTTGCACATGCTGCTCTCCTCTTGGAACTGCTGGAGAGGCAGGTGGAATGAAGCAACACCACAGTTTGGCTTTAAGAGGTAGGGCAAATGATTTTGAGTTTGGGCAGACTCAGGGAGACAAGGGGGTAGCCTGGTATGTTATGATCCAGGGGTTGTGAAGAGTCAGACACGACTTAGCAACTAAAACAACAACAATGATTTTGGCAAGCCACTTCAAGGTTACCTCTTCAAAGCTTTGCATGGGTATAAAACAAAGCCTTTTTCACAGGGAGAAGATGAGGTAGAGAATGGGGGAGTTTGCCCAGATTTACTTTTTAGCTCCAAAAGTCTTTTAATTCTTGTTGCTAATGTTGCAAGTTCTTTCTTCTCTAGGGTGAACCTGGTTTATTGGGAGCTCCAGGACAGTCAGGGCCCCCAGGTCCCATGGTAAGCAAAAAGAAATCCCTCTGCACAACAGCTGGCCTTGTCCTGATATTCTTGTCAGTTAACAATGTTGAGGCCCTTTCACTTTCACAATCACTTTCCCCTTCCCCCCCTACTTAGTGTTGGCCTTACATGGATATTTATTGTTGGGGGCAATGTTAGGAGGACCTTCTAACAACAAAAAACAAAACAGTCCAGCAGTGAAAATAGACTTTCCAAATTATTTTTCAAAGAAAAGAAGTGAGGGAAGCAGCTGCTTATTCTGATTCATTGAGCAGTTATTATACCAAAATGCATGATTGATTAAGGCTCAGTTCCACAGGGAATTGCTACTTACGATTTTAATGAATTAGCCAAGATTAAATTATAAACCGATGCCATGCCAAAGAATAGATGTGAACGAACCTATATGAAGGAAACAATGGTCAGAATAAGGGAGGCCAAATGAGTCCTACTCTTCTGGTGTCACTGGATTGTGGCTTGCTATTGACTCCAGCTCTAAATGACCATTTATTGTAAGATTGCTCAATTCCTGTTGGCCCAAAGACCATATTCAGCCTTGCACAGCATATTTTAAGTGATACACCCAAAGTGAATGAGGCCATTACTCATCTGGAGTGGGGAAGAATTAGGGATACTAAAGGATTAAATGAATGTCTCAGCCTCTGCAACAAATACATGTAGCCCTTTAAACTTTTGCAAACTTCAAAAACAAGAAAAAGATCCAAATGCTGAAAATGTTGGGTCTACCTACTCTAGTAGGAAAACTATCATGCTGGTAAGACCACATTTGGTCATCAACGATATAAAAAAAGACACTGAGACTCTAGAAAGAATGCAGAGAAGAGCAACAAAGATGATTAGGAGACTGAAGGCTAAAACATGAAGAAAGGTTGCAGAAATTGGGCATGCCTAGCTTAATGAAAAGAAGGAGTAGCAGTGACATGATATCAGTGTTCCAATATCTCAGGGGTTACCACAAAGAAGAGGGGGTCAACCTATTCTTCAAAGCGCCTGAAGGCAGGACAAGAAGCAATGGATGGAAACTAACCAAGCAGAGACCCAACCTAGAACTAAGGAGAAATTTCCTGACAGTTAGAACAATTAACCAGTGGAACAATTAATCAGTGGAATGATTTGCCTCCAGAGGTTGTGAGTACTCCAGCACTGGAGGTTTTTAAGAAGAGATTGGACAACCACTTGTCTGCAATGGTATAGGGTTTCCTGCCTGAGAAGAGGGTTGGACTAGAAGACCCCCAAGGTCCCTTCCAACTCTGTTATTCTGTTATGGTGAGGCTTTCAGGCGGTGCTTTTTGAGCTCCATTCTAAATGCAGCTGTTCTCCTCTTCACAGGGTCCTGCAGGGCTCCCTGGTCTCAAAGGTGATCCTGGCTACAAGGGAGAGAAGGTAAACCATAAATAAACTATTCCTTCCTGAGTAGAAAATGAAAGACCTTACGATCTCCAACTGAATAATCTCTTGTCCTAGAAAGGCTTCTTCTTTCTGCAGCTACCTTGTTAAATCTTGAACCTTCTTTTTCAATTGTTGTAACTGTTAGATGGGGTCTTGCATAATTTATGACCCTGGAAGCTGATGAGCCTTAGATTGTAGCTCAACGAGAATTTTATATTTGCCTCCCTGCCCAGAACTGCAATAATTCAACTAGGTTAAAGAGGAGATTGTTAAGCACATCTGGAGGTGTTCAGTGCCACGTGTACTTTCAGGGAAGGGTGGGGGGAGCTCATCAACTGTCAGACAGAATTGCTTTAGGATGTTGTTAACTCACAAAGGACCAACAGAACAATGCACTATTGAAGAATGGAGAATCTCAGCTCAAGTTAAAAAATATTTTGAAAAAAAAAAAGGCTCGTTGAATGGATCATAAGAAAAGAGAACTAGACAGTATAAAGCAGTGGTAGATGAGTATGAGGTCCTTCCCAAATGACCATGCAGCCCTTGGTTACCTATTGCATCCAGGACTGCAGGAATCACCTTCACTAAGCAATATGGTCACATGATGTTTTGCATAATGGCTACTTTGCTTAGCAATGGAAATTCTAGTTCCATTTTGGGTTGTGACCAGAAGACTACCGGTATTAAGTAAAGATGTGGGCTTCCAGTCTATCTACTGAATAATATCTATTATTCTCATGTCATGCTTAACTGGAACAAAGTGTTGTGCATACAGTTGTATGAACATAGCCAGTAGGGGTGGGTTTTTAGCCACAATCTAAACTCCTCTTGTTCAGCTGTATTGTTCAAAAAAAGTAAGAGAGTTGATAAAAACTCAACTAGGTTTCCACCTAGGTCAACTGAGACATTAGCAATTGTACATTATGTCATAATTTTAATATGAAATATAGTTGCATTCGATTAAGTTAACACCCCCCCCCCCGGCCAACTATATTGAGCAGAATAAAGTTTTAAGAGAGTGCTAATCTGCTCTTCTTGTTTCTTAAGTTAAAAGCGAATTCCTAGAGGATCCTACAAATACAGAACTGCTCTGGCTCCTCTTGTCTGTCTTCCTTTCCCCCAAGTAATATTTTCCCCAAACAAAAAAAAAGGCAGCTTCTAGATAGCTTCAGCCAAGATGGCGTCTTGTTCTTTGATGAGAGCGTAGCCGCCACTGGCTTATCAGGTTACATCACTACCCAGCATTAGCAGCAACCATGGTTACATTCATTGTATAAATATAGCCTTTATTTAGCTTTGGAGAAATTCTTTTTTCTGGCAAGATCCAGAAATATGAATGTATGTATGTATATTTAAGGATGGTTCATGTAGAACTTTAAAATGGCCTTTTGCTTTCAAAAACATTGACTGAAGTACTCCAATGAAGAAGAGAAGCAGCATCTCAGCAATGGAATGGCTACTTTGCTGAACAAAAGCCACTTTTCCTGAAGTGAAGCAGCAGAAAATTAAGATAGATCAGCACTCCTTAATACTTCTGGTCAAAATGACAACTGCAGAATGTCTTGCCTCCATGTTGTGAAGTATCTCATACCTATTTTCACCCACCTTTTAGTATACGTTGGTTTCAAAGATCTCCTCTCCCAGCTTTGTCAGACTGCTCATTTGATCGTTCCCTCATCTTTTTTTTTTTTTTTTTTTTTACTAAGCAGTTCCCTTTTCCTTCTAGGGTCATGCAGGACTCATTGGGTTGATTGGTCCTCCAGGTGAGATGGGTGAAAAAGGTGACCAGGGACTGCCAGGGAACCAGGGAACATCAGGCACTAAGGGCGACCCTGTGAGTAGATGGAACCTGGTTGAGATGGGACTTCCCAGTCTGGCTGGGAAGAGTCCCCTCAGGCACACAATATTGATACTCGTTTTCCTCCTCCTAAGGGCAGTATTGGACCTCAGGGTCCTCCAGGCCCACCTGGATCTCCTGGCCTCTCGGTAAGTATTTTGTGCAAGATTCTAAATAGCTTCCAAAATAATTCCTCAAAAGCTCCCCCTCAGTAATGCCAATGATATTGGCTTGTTGGTATCAGATCTTCTCTGGGACGCTCCAACTTTTGCCTCCCTTTTCCACACCTGGGTTATTTTTCCTTTTATGTGGCTTTGCCTCTCTCTCTTCTGTTCTTCCCCGGTTATCTAAAAACATTTATTCTTGCAGTATTTCCATCACTATTACTATTTTATGGTTGCCTATCCATACTTTCTGACATTGTCTTTATTTCTTTAGTTTCCTTGCAAAAGGATATTATCTCTTATGCTATTTTGCCATCTTCTTCTTATATCCAGGAGCTCCTTTCGCCTGTTGACCCTTTCTGTCTTTCCGTAGGGCCATCTGGGACAAAAAGGCAACAAAGGCTCTTTGGTAAGTTTCAACCAATACTGCAGGGCTCATGAAGAGGAAGAGATTAAACCAGAGTTGTCTACATAAGTTGTTATTTTTAGGATTCTAATTTTGGAAGTCTGTATCAAAGGAACTCCAATTCTGGGTCAATGAAAGATGATAGCTGTAATCTAGAGGGCAACCAATGTATCACAAATTGTACATTTGGTTGATATATAATGTATTATTACTATTACTCTAATCATGGGCAGGGAGGTGCACTTAAGGGAGGCTCTGAATGGTGCTTATTATGCTTAGCTCCTGACACTAGCTACTCAAGCAGAGTTGGGCTTACAGATATCGCTAAACTGTTACTCCCAGAACTCCAGATATGACCAGATATGAATGTGTACATTGGTACCTAGTTCTTGATCCATCTTCCTGCAGGGACCTATTGGACCAAAAGGTGATCTAGGACCACCAGGGCCACCAGGACCACCAGTAAGTGAATGGTTTACTACAAGGTCTACACAAAATTCACCTATGTTCTATACAGCTTTCTCTAGGATATAGTAGGTGTATTGTATCTATATGCATTTTTCTAGCCATTTTCTCCCATTGCACGCATGTTTACTATATTTTCTCTTAATAATACATGTTATGGTTATAAAAACATGCAGAAATTCCCACATTGGGAGAGATGGATATTAAAATGCATACATCTCTGTGTGAATTTCTAGCAATGTAAATATTGCATATATATCCACATTTTTTACACATTACAAAATTCAAACAAATGCTAAAAATGAACGGTTTGGTTTGAGTTTTGGCAACATAAATTTAAGTGGTCTCCTTTGATTCATATTTGATTCCTGTCATTTTTCTGGACCTGTACATGATAATAGTTCAGAAGCAGTTTCCTTACTTCCATGAAGTTTTAAACATTTTCTGCCTGGCTGAAGTCTTAGAATTCTCTGGTGATCTCCCATCCAAGTACTTTGTCAGGTCTAACTTTATGCCATGTGTGTACATGCACTTTTGAGTCTTCTTTCTGTTTTCCATTTTCCTATCTCTAGGGCCACCCTGCTGAACTGCAGAATCCAATACCCATGGGAAGTGGGCGCACAAGCCGCCAAGACTGGGAGATAGAAGAACAGAGAGATGCTCCAGGGGAGGGGTATATTGATCCTGATGCTGATGGACTAGCAGAAGTCTTGGCAGCCCTGAGCTCTCTACGTGATGAGGTGGAGCAAATGCGATGCCCAGTGGGCACTCTGGACAGTCCAGCTAGGGTCTGCAAGGAGCTTCAGTTTTGTCATGCTCATCTCAAAGATGGTAAGTTTGAAGGTGAAACTCCAACTTCTGAATAGAATGTGCTTTCAATGTGCTGTCTATCCTAATTCTGAGTGCCAAAGAAATCTGTGTGTTGCCTTTGGTAACTGGGGAAGAGGGAGAGTCTGCAAAAGTGTAACTTTCTGATTGTGAGGGGACCACTTCCTCATGATTTTCCTAACCCTTTCTGCACTGGTCCACATAATATTCTTTAGGTGAATACTGGATTGATCCAAACCAGGGATGCAGCCGAGATGCCTTCAAAGTTTATTGCAACTTCACAGCTGGTGGAGAAACCTGCTTATTCCCTGACAAGAAATTTGAGGCTGTAAGTAGCTCACTTGACCACTAAAGAGGTGATCAGGAAAAAGATCAGAAGCTATGTAAATTGGCCTAGCACCTTAAACAGGTTACTTGGCTCAGGAACCTGAATTTAAAACCCTAAGGTGATCAACAATTTGAAATCTATACCTTTAGGTACGACTTGCCGCCTGGAGCAAGGAGCAACCAGGAAATTGGTTCAGCACTTTCAAAAGAGGCAAAAAGGTAACATTTTCCATTCTGTCAAGCTTGCTTTTATACCTAGAGGAAATCTGGAAAGTGAACACAGTACTATTTCCCATTTTCTGTTAATCAAAGTCATTGCCCAGTGCAGTATCAAATCCGTATGCAAGGCCAAGCCATCTTTCTTCAGATATGATTTATAACTGATTGAATAATAGAATAAGAGTTAGAAGGGGCCTTGGGGGTCTTCTAGTCCAACCCCCTGCTCAGGCAGGAAACCCTATACCATTTCAGACAAATGATTGTCCAATCTCTTCTTAAAAATCTCCAGTGCTGGAGTGTTGGAGCATTCACAGCTTCTGGAAGCAAGTTGTTCCAGTGATTAATTGTTCTAACTGTCAGGAAATTTCTCCTTAGTCCTAGGTTGCTTCTCTCCTTGATTAGTTTCCATCCATTGCTTCTTGTCCTGCCTTCAGGTGCTTTGGAGAATATGTTGGCCCCCTCTTCTTTGTAACAACCCCTGAGATATTGTGTCACTTGCTATCATGTTACCCCTAGTCCTTCTCTTCATTAAATTAGACATAATTCCAGTAACCTTTCTTTATATGTTTTAGCCTCCAGTCCCCTGTTCATCTTTGTTACTCTTCTCTGCACTCTTTCTATAGTCTCAACATCTTTTTTACTTCGTAGTGACCAAAACTGGATGCAGTATTCCAAGTATTGTCTTACCAAGGCATTGTAACACTTGATACTATCCCTCTGTTAATGCAGCCTAGGACTGTGATGGCCCTTTTGGCAGCTTCAGGGTTCAGACAATGCACCTAAACCATTGTTTACATTGTATAATTGCTGGATTCAAACCCAATAGATCATAAAAGGCTTAGTGTGTAGTGTAATTATGATCACTCTGTGTCTGTATTTGTGAGAAGGTTGCAGTGTAGGCTGGAAGGAACATAGTGGCTTTCTGTTAACCCACCAGTTCTCTTCTCCTTCTGCTTCTCCTTCCCAGTTCTCTTATGTGGATGCAGATGGCAATCCTGTGCTGGTCACTCAACTCACATTCCTTCGCTTGCTGAGTGCCGTTGCCCGGCAGAACTTCACCCTCTTCTGCCAAAATATGGCTGCTTGGTATGAAGCTGACACCCACAGCCATATGAAGGCATTGCATTTTCGGGCTTTCAATGATGTGGAGTTGATGCACAACAGCACAGATACTCCCATCCATGCCTTGTATGATGGCTGCCAGGTGAGAGAGCATTCTTCTACCTTTTTTTTTTATCTCTTGACTATTCCAGTTTTCCTTGATCTTCATCCCCACAACATGAAATGACTCTGTGAATTGCAGCTCACAGTAATTACATTTGAACCTTAAAGTGAAGATCTTGATCTATGAGATCACCATCTCATAGATGGAACTTTGAGTATTCCAAAATTATCATGAAGGAAAATCATCTGCTCCAAAAACCCTTTCAATGACTTTTCCCTTTTCATTCATCTTTTTTTTTTAGCATTTTCCAGCTCTCATATGAGCCATAATAGGGGAGACATGTTAAAAGACCAGAATAAAATATTCCTCTCTATTCCACTCTGAGAAAAATACCCATACTTTTCTGAATTTAGAGCCATTGCCTGCTTGGTCCATGTTTGCCAAACTAAGAGAAGTTATATTTTCTCAACCATGTTTGATCTACTGTTTTTCTGAAGCTCCTGATGAGACATTTTCAAAGCCTGTTGCAGGCATTATTTCACATTCTCAGGATTTTGCTTTTGAAGTTATCTTCTCTACTTTCAGGTTCGCAAAGGTCAGGAGCGGACAGTTCTACAAATAGTGACGCAACATGTGGAGCATCTACCATTGATTGATGTGGCTGTTCAGGATTTTGGCGATGCCAACCAAAAGTTTGGCTTTGAACTTGGCCCGGTCTGCTTCAGTGGCTGAGCCTTCCAAAGATGGACACTCCCTCTAGACCATGTTGGACCACCTCTAGAAAAGAGAGACCTAAAAGCCTTTTCTCTCTGCACTGGTGGGTGGGGGGTGGAGGGATGCAGGAATGGAGTCAGCCTTGCAAAGACCTGCCGTTGTATTTAACCTGATGACAGCCTCCTATTTATGCGGCCAAGGTCCCTCAGGGTGTGACTCTTTGGGAGTTGCACAGGGTTCAGACTGAGCCAGGGCCCTCTCTCGTTGCAGCTCCATTATTGGTGCTATTATGCCGTCTTAGTGAAGCACTGGACTGACTGGTCAGATCTGGCCACCTGTAGCGATGGGAATAATGGAAACCACATTCTCCATAGTTGAACTTCACCCCAAAAAAGGACATGGGGATGTCAAGATTATGCCTGAAGCATGTTGGGAACTGGAAATTCAGGACCAATCCATTGGCACAGCCATCTATTCTAAGGCATGGGCAATGGGAAAGAATGGAGAAGTAGAGTAATAGTTTTGGAACTAACAGGCAAACACAGAAAAACAAGATACTGTACTGATATACGATTTAAGGAATAAGCATAGGATATCCTTATTTTTTTAAACTGTATTGTACTGAATTCAACTCAAATGATAAGTGTCTTGACATGACAGTGGAATGCAATTTGGGATAGTGTATATAGGACTGTTCCATCTCATTCCTTCCAATTACCATGGAGATAAATTGACATATATTTCTCTACAACAAGCAAAAGCTATCCAGATACTATGCTTAGAATCTGCATCCTCTTGGGGAAAAAGAATCACTATCTGCTTTTCCTATCTTAAGATCAAATGGTGCTTGGGTAGCAAGACATACAAAATCTTGCTGTTAGAATGCTGAGCCTGTTTCCCATTTTTTATATTTACTACAAAAACTTCACCATAACCCTGCAAGCCCACCATCGTTTTTATGTTGGAAAGAGTAGTCACAAGCCATACTCACTAGTCTCTCATTCTATCATTCTATTCATGCTCAGCAGATTCCTATTAGACATTCTTCCCCAACTTAGCAACCACCATTAGTTTAGGGAGGGAAAACTGACTGGAAATTTTGAGAGCTGTAGACTGAACACAGCTGTAGAGCACTAGGTTGGGGAAGACTGTTGTTAAGGTATGGCTAGTGATTCTGACATGTTTTATCCTTATGGAGGAAAGAAAGTATAGTAAAGCTTGATTCTCTGCTAGCAAGACACTTAACAGACTCCTTGAAACCCAGCAGCCTATTCAGAGATGGAGCTTGTACCTTGTGTTTTGCCTTCTGCACTGTGCCATGTTCATCATTTATCACTGAATTTTCCTCACACTCTGGTGCTAAGTGCCCCTATTTTTTATGCTTCCATGTATCTCAGGCTGTGGCACAAACTGGGTATGTATGTGTCCACAGATGTATGATGGTTACTGTATTCGCCTAAAACCCTCATTAAACCACAAAACATGACTGCCCACCATTTCTGTATCGGCTGGATTGGAAAGACGCCTTAATCCAGGATTTTAGGACTAGTGTCTGGATAGGAGAACTGCTGGATTGAGTTTTGGCTGTTCTGAATTTGGAGTTGTGTACCAAATGTCATATGTGCCGGATAGACTTCCTCTTCATTTTTGTTTTGGTTTTTTTTTTTGAGTGATAATCAGAATTCTGACTGGTTGTTAGATGATCAATATTTTTCCTTGCTGAAACAAAGGTAGAGTTAAGCAGAGTGAAGCCTAACTATGGGAAGACATCGACTTGATAGTTATTGCACTTTCACTGCTGAGATTGGAGCGAACCACATGTGGAATTTTCTATCACTAATGCCTTGTGTATTTGATAGGAGAAGAGACATATTTTGTTATTTTGCTTCAGTGAGGAAAATATCTCTGGAAGTGGGACTTTCACTCTCAGCCTGTGCTGCTCACTAACAGCTCTTGACATCAGATGGAGATTTAATTCTGCATTGAAAACTGTGTCTCAGGGACCAGTGCTGAGCTGAAATGTGAAAGAATACATTTAAGGGATATTGTCCCACCCACAAATGTATCCTTTCATGGGTTCATAGAATCCAAGATGCCCCATTTACACTGTTTATATGAGAAGCTCATGATGTTTATACTAACTGTGCTCTTATTCCTGCCTAAAACTAAAGGGTCTTGGCATGAAGTAGTGGTACATATTTGCGGGTCTGACAATAAGTAGATATTAGGAATTACCTGGCCATAAAAAGGTTGTATCCTACTTTTCCTCTCCAGTCAATGGGAGCTTGAGCTTTCTTCTCTGATCTCAACACAGCTCTGTTGTGCTATGTAGATGGCACTGTGACATCATATGATATTAAGGTTTCTGATTGGCTAGGATTGCAGAAGATTTTTTTTTTAAAAAAAAGACAAGTACAAGAAAGAGCGATATACTTCTATTAGGGCCTGTGTCATATGGTGACTTTAATAAAGGTTCAGGATGTGTGTATGGGAAAGTCTAAACAGGAGAAGAGTTCCCTTCTCCTACAGTAACTTCCACAGCAAAATGGGAATGTGTTTTTACAGATGTGTGTTCTCTTTAGCAGCAAGTGACTCTTAAATTCAAATATTTATTATCTGTCTCTTCCCATACTTTTTTTAACTGTTCATTTTATTCATTCTTGGGACTTAATTATCAGGGATTTGCTAAAGACCATTTCCTTATTAATACAAGGGCCTGACCTTAAATAGTAATATTTTAAAAGGCAGTGGGTAGAGGAAGAGAAGAGGACAGTTCTTCTAATCATTAGTAGAGTACCTGTCCTTCTTCTCAAAGTAACAACACATCCCACTTGCATGATGAATTATACCAAATAAGATTTTCAGACAGCCTTCAAAGAAATTGTAATTTTGAATACAAGGACTTTAAGCATTATCTAGAGCAAGGACAACAGCTAGTGTTTAAATACATAGATGTCTGGCCAAGTTTTGATCAAAACTGCTTTATAAAATGGGGGCCAGAATTAATGCAATTCAAAACTAGTAACAATAGCACTGGCAGATTAGCTCTTGTAATCTTATTTAATCATGATATATCCACTAAGGGGTGCTTATGAGAAATGGGAAGTAAAAAGGAATCAGAAGGAAAAGGGGATTAATAAAACCTATATATTTACTGTATTTATACATGTGAATGTACAATCACACAGATATACAGTATATATTTATACCCACTGCAATTAAACAAGATCTAGTGAAACATTCAAGTTAAAACATTCTAGTTCAGGCATGTCAAACCCGCGACGTGACATGATGTCGTGTGACATATCAGGACTTTTCCCCATTGCCGGCAATGGGGTGGGTGCGGTTTCAGCGTGATGTATCCGGCCCACGGGCCAGCAGTTTGACGTACCTGTTCTAGTTAAAACATTCAAGCTAGCCAAGAACTTTTCCAGCTGCAATTATTCCCACAGACTTCATAGTTAATTTTCATGGGAAGGAAGTAGTGCTCCAGTAACACTATTGCCTTTTTTCTTCATTCTTAAATGTTTTAAATGAAAATAAAGGTTACTCATTCCCAACTTAGCTCAATTAATGTGTGGCTATGGAAAGTGTAGAATTAAACTGCCCTCTTTAAAAAATAATTCTATTAGGAGCAGCCCCTCATCACAAAAGATAAAACAAGTTTTTAATTTCCCAGAAGTTTTCAACAGGGATAAACAGATAGTGTGGTTGAGAGAAGCAAGCTACCATATCTTCCCTGTCAGCTCTACTCAAAGCAAAGTATTTGTGTTTTTGGTATTTGTGTCAGGCCAGATACTGCAGCCCTAAAAGAGAAGGGAAAATAGATTTGTTGGAAATAAGCCTTCAATAGTCAAATAGTCTTTTTTTTTTTTTTTGTAATTGCCCTCCCCAATATGGCACCCATATTTACATTAGATTATAATCTCTATTATCCTTACAGAAGCTGAAAGTACTGGGGTGGTAATGAACATGTTTGAAGGCTTCCTTCAATCCCTGTGTTATCTTAGAAATGCTCTTTTCTGGCACCGTAATGAAAATTGCCTGTTCCTCAATTTCCCTCTGCCTTCAGAATGGTAGTTGAAAGGGGGCTTTGGAGGTGTATGTGACAAAGATAAAGAGAAAAATCAGGAGAACATGTGTAGGTTATGGAATATGAATAGACCTCCCTATGTAGATTGCTTCCAGTTATAAGAAATGCACATTCCTATTCTAGAGCCATGTAATTTACTGTAGAGTGCAGAGATCCCCAACCTTTTGGGCACCAGGGACCGATTGCTTGGAGAAATTTTTTTCCACAGACCAGAGGGTGCATGGTTTTGTGTGCTGCTTGCATCCCACAGATGAGACTTTGCTTGTTTGTGCAGACCGGTTGTGGACATGCTGTGGGCCAGTACCGGTCCACGGACCGGGGGTTGGGGACCCCTGGTATAGCGTACCATAGCGCACAGAAGGATTCACCCTAACTCATGACAGCTGGAGGTTTGTGGGTGAATTGGCACAACACATCTGAAGAGTTACCACATCTGGAAGACAGGAATTGGGCCAACTTCATTATATTTGAAAGTTTTCAAATGTGACCTTGGATTGGTTTCGGAAGACTACACAAGTTGTCACAAAGATGCCACTGAAGCCTCCTCCTAGAAGTGATTCTTACTTGGTCAGCAATATTGCCAATACTTAGCCCATACCAAAATCTCACATCATCTCTATTAGTGTTCTACCTCCCCAGAAAGTGAGTATCCTCAATATTACCTACATCTCCTATGACTGAGCAGAGATTTGAACTGGAACTTTTCTGAACCAAAGCTGACCCTGTACCACAATGATTCTCGGTTACCACCCCAAATTTAGATGTATTAGCTAATTTATTTGTGGTGAGGGTAGTGTGGAGAAGTAGTAAGGGTAGTGTAGAGAAGCAGTCTTCAAAAAAAGTCTGTCTTTGGAGGAGGGGGCAATGTGGAGAAGCAGTAACCTCTATGTTCAAAAAAGTCAAGTTTTGTGATGATTCTATATAGCGGCTCCTTAATTCCATCTCATTCAGATCAATTATTAATTCAAGAGAACAATTATTCATTATGCCTATATGAAGAATTCACTGATCAACATACCTAAAGCAACTGGTAAAAAAGGCCTCGGTGATCAGAAGCTGGGGGTGCTAAACCTGCTTCTCCATACAAGAAAGAGTGATGTTGGATACTGTTAAATGGTCTCAAGCATTTGATTGCTCTGAGCTTAGGATCATTCAGTAATTCTCAGACACAAAAACGGCCCCAGACACGTAGTGAAGATGATTGAAGCCAGAGACTGCTTTTTTAACAGATCTTTTTAAAATCCATAGATTTCTTTCTTTCCTTAGAAATCTTGGCTTGCAGCAGTACATATTGTTTGAAAAAAAGAGACGCCTGACCTTAAACTGTGTGTGGGCATTTTAAATTGCACATGTCTGGTGTGATTAGACATACAGCAAACAAGGACATAAAAAAAAGAAAGAAAAATCCTCAAAGCTGTTGTGTTTTTTTTTTTTTTTTTGTATATGGAGCTGCCACTCTAAAATTTGTCTGATTTCTTTTTTCCTCTCATCATTTGAGAGAGCTTGGGGAAGTGCATTCTTATAACAATTCTGCAAGATATTGTTAAGCTAGAAAGAAATTACTCAAGTCAGCACCCTGAATGGAGGAGAAATCTGAAGAAAATCTTTCACCAGTCTGAATCCAACACTTCACAGATGAACCAGGCTTCACCTCTCAGTTGATTGAATGGGAGCAGATATTATAGGGTTCAGACTGCACATTTGGAAGGGTCTGTGCTGTGGAACACTGAGCTAGCTACCATAATATTTCATTGGTGAAAAACTAATAGCCTTCCAAATGTTGCAATGTCATCCTCATCCTCATGCTGTTTAGAGAAAAACAGGAGTTGGGTCCCATTGAATCTAACATCGGTTGAACCAGATTTATCCACCTCCAGCATTTAAAAAAACCCTGGACCAGTCACAAGTATGCCCTGAAAAGGAGACAGCATAGTGCAATTACAATTTCATCAGCCAGCTTTATGGCATCAAAGCAGTATCTGATGAAGCAACAGGAGAAAACAGGAATAGAGAAAAGTGAATACTCTTCAGATTAAACAGGCTGGTAACGTGGCTGGAATATATTATTCGGCCACATTATTTTAACTGAAATATCAAAAGGATAGAATGCACATAGGGCAGCGAAGCCTATTGATTCAATACAGATTCATTCAGGAACATACAGGTTATTTTGCTACTGGACATGAGGATGTTAACTTGTTAGATAATGAAGTGTCTGCAGGCAAATGACCAAGCTCAGAGAGCATCAGGAACTTCATAATTTGATCTTGAGCTATAGATATTTTGTCCTATTAAAATTGTTGACATGCTGGGAATTTCCCATTTAAAAGACTGTAATGAGCTCAATATGGAATTATTTTATTTATTTACTTATTAAATGTATATGGCGCCCATCTCCCCAGTAAGGTAACTTTGGGTGGCTTATTAGTCTTTTCTTTGGTGCTGAAATTGCAAGGAGGTGCAGATTACCAGCTGGTTGAGTAGGGCATGTGGCTGTGCATATATCACACTTTGACTGAAGTAATGGTACTACCTGCCAATTTTCAATTATAACATATAAACCCAATTATAACACAAACCCAGTTGGCACTAGAATACCTATTAGACTGCCTTCACCATTACAAACTTAGACAATCAATGAATTTATCAGGGGAGGTCCCTTTCTATATATTTAGTAATGATCCTGATCATACTCAGCACATAAGAGGAACAAATTATCCAGAGATGCCACTTTCCCTTGTGACTTGAGGTTTAGAGCTCTCATAAAACTCTGCTAAATATATTTAGATTTTATTTAACACTTAGTATATCCTGCCATTCTCTGGGTCACTCTAAATTAAAGGATGTAACCTAAAAACATTGGAGGACACCAAACCATCTTACCTTTTTCAGATATAATTATCTCCAAAGATAATTGTGATTGTCATTAGCCTAACACTTCTGGAAACCACACATTTAGAGAAAGACACTGAATTTTATGAATGAAGTTATAAAGGGATGTTTTGGATTACAATTCCTATAAATAGCAAAGACAAGTGATTGCAGTTTGGTGTTCTGAAGCATTGTGCATGACCTATCCAAACTCTTAAATAAATAGATCCAAAGACTGCACCAAACTCATGTGATCACAATAGTTCATACAGACTTTGATTAGTTTGGAATGCTACCATTAAAGTTTGGGTTCTGAGCAATAAAGC